TTCCATCTTTGTATCACCACCCACAGTGCCTTTCTTAACAAAACTTAGCCGCACTTGCGGTCCATTCTTCTTCACCAGGTCTACGCGTAGCCAAAAACCAAGCAGAGCTTTCAGCATGGCCTGGCAAAGCTCTGGTGACACTAATGAGGCTCTCGTCACCAATCTTGCGAGCAACAAGCTCATCAAGTCTGACAGGGTCAAGGAGGCAATGTTAAAGGTAGGAAGCCTCAACACCACAGGTAAGGTGGCAATCGATGAATATGCATAGGTCGATCGCGCGCATTATGCCCCATCCTCGCCCTACGAAGACTCGCCCCAGCCCATCGGCCACCGTGCGACCATCTCTGCCCCGCACATGCATGCCTCGGCTTGCGAATCGCTCCTCGACTATCTCAAGCCTGGATCCAAGGTCCTGGATGTTGGCTCAGGCTCAGGCTACCTAACCGCAGTCCTCGCCAACCTTGTCGCACCCAATGGAACGGTAATTGGCATTGATCACATTCAGCCCTTGAACGATCTGGCGATAGCCAACATGTCCAAGTCGGACCAAGGCCGGAAGATGTTGGAGTCGGGACAGGTCAAGTTTATTACTGGAGACGGGCGAAAAGGTTGGGCCGAGGGTGCACCATACGACGCTATCCATGTTGGCGCTGCGGCTGCCGAGCACCATCAGGTCCTGACTGACCAGCTCAAAGCACCAGGGCGCTTGTTCGTGCCCGTCGCAGAGGGCTGGGCGCAGCATATCTGGGTAATTGACAAGCGAGCGGACGGAAGCCTCGAGCGCCAGAAGTTATATGGTGTGCAGTACGTGCCCTTGACAGATGCGCCTGCGTAAGTTGGTCAAAATGGAAGTTTCAACAACAAATCCAAGCGGACAGAAGCTTGAGTCTGCACATGCAGGGCGTGTGAGCCACCCTATGATCAATCCATTTGTACCATTACTGTGCCACCAATCCCTCAAATAGTTCGTCTCTTCGCTTTCGCACCTCGTCAAGTTTGACCTCTAACTTGCCGACCTCTTTCCTTGCAGCCTCTTTATCAGCAGGCAATCCAGCAAACTCCGCGACTTCCCTCTCTATGCTTTCTACCTTCTCTCGAAGCCCATCCAGGGCTTTTTGTTGCTCCAACATGTCATTTATAGCTTCTGCAGACGCGATGTTCTTGGAGCCTGGTGTCATGCTGCGCGACTGTGATGACTGGAAAGACGACAGCTTGTCCTCGTATTCTCGTATCTTGGTGCGAAGGTGCTTGACTTGACGTGTTTGCTCGGTGGTCTGGCGCTGGAGATTCGCGGGGGTTGTGAAAGCAGGATTCGTCTGGAGCTCGTGCAGTTGCGTCCGAAGCAGAGATTGTTGCTTGTCGACGTAGCCTTGCAGCGTTGCGATGTGTGCGAGCTGGTTGGTGAGATTCTGTGAGGTGGTCGTGTTGTAGATGAGAGTGTGCGCGATCGACTCGGGGTTCGCAGTGGGTGTATTGAGAGTGACTGCTGTTGACGCCAACGCATCAAGTGCCTGCTCGCCCTCGGGCGTGAGACTAGCTCTCAGCCTAGACAATATACGCTCGTCGTCGTCGTTCCTTTGGACCTACCGTTGTGAGCAGCGTGCTCAGAGCATGGTAGCTGAAGCGGACCTGTAGCTCTCATACCTCATCCAGCTCGCGGAGCGCCTCTCTCTCTACTCGTTCGAAGACGGCTCTCTCCTCGTCGGCCCTTTCGTTGGCTACTGACAGCTCACGTAGCACCTTGAGTGTTTCGTCATTGCGCTCAAATGTCGGCACCGTGCGCCCAGCATACTTGTACGACAGCCACGAGTCAATCTGCGCCCAGTCCTGGGCTTGCGCGCGTTGTTGGCGCGCCTTTGAGGGCGAGAAGAGGTCCGAGGGTGTGAGCGAATCCATGGCTGTGTATAGAAAGTGGTGCGGCCTGTGTTGGTGGTGCTGAGTGTGTTCAGGTTATGCTAGACTAAACCGCCTGGTGAGCACTCACAAGTCCAGGGTGGGGCTAGAATGAGCATGTACTACGTAGCAGTTGAGGTGCACAAAGTAGATGCACCGACACTCCGAAAGGCGGACAGAGACCCGGAGAAACTGACTGTTTGCATTATCGATAACCTTATTTTCCAAGTGCCGAAGTCGGAGCTAATCGGCTTTTGGTATAATCTCTTGGGTGACTGGACTCATTGCCCCATACATATCTGATTTGCCTTCCGTCGTCGAGTTTTACACAACTCTCTCATTGTTCTTGACACACTCAAAAATGTCGCCGATGTTACTCGAAAACGACGTCGAAGTCGGCGAGAGTCTTCCGCCGGCAACCGAACACGTGCGTGTACCTTTCGTTACCCAACACTGCTCTTTGGACTAACACGTGATAGGCAGTGAGTGTTTCGCTGCCAACATGGCGGGCAAATGTAGGTTACGAGGAAGGTGAAGAATGGGTTCTCAGCAAGATGAAGACAGGATATCCGAGGTATGTGGCGGCGAAACACACAGCAATTATATAACTGACCCCAGCCAGATTCTTCATTCACAAAAGCATACAAGCATTTGCAGCAGCGATTGCCGAGAAACATGGACGTGAGGATGAGAGTGCTATGTTGTTTCCAACACATTCCACCGCATCGAGATGCCAGGAGTTCATTTTTCAACAAGTGCCTGAGCTAGATGCATCGCAAGTCCGGATTCTCGACTTCTTACCAACGGGTGAGAAGGCAAGATCAAAAGAATTCGACGTCATATCTCCGAGAGTATCTGCCGTGCTCTTTCCGAAAGATCGCTTCAGCACAGCAAAGGCTTTCTGGCAACATTCTGGTGACGGTGTATCGAGTCGGAGAGCAGAGTTCTGCGCCCAGTTATTCAGGGAAGGTACCTTAGTAGAAGCTTCAACGCTCAACGAGCCACTGCGGGCACCCAAAGGTCCCAGACGGTACCAAAAGAACACTTCAGTTGACCTCGCTCTTTCGGCTGATTCCACAAATGGCAACGGAGAAGTGCAAGATCCAACTCGGTTTGTAGAAGAGAGATTTGGACGCAACCTGGACCTCTCCAAGACCAAGAAAGCCAAGCTGGCAGTTCGAAGACGTATTGCAGGTTCTCTTACTGCAGATGTCGAACTGGCCGAGGCGATGAGTCTGGATCAAGATGCTGCAAGGACTAGACCAGTTGCAGACTTTTCAGAAGACGATGTCTATCTGTATCCGACCGGAATGAGCGCAATCTTCAACTCTCATCGAAACCTACTAAGGGCAAAAGGCTCCAGAAAAGCCATTGTGTACGGATTTCCCTATATCGATACACTCAAGATTACTGAAAAGTTCGGCCCGGGCTCTCAATTCTACGGCTTTGGCTCCTCGGAAGAATTGGATGATCTGGAACGGCGATTGGAGGGCGGCGAGAGGTTTCTAGCTCTGTTCACAGAGTTTCCCGGAAACCCTCTTTTGACATCGCCTGATCTTGAGCGGATACGCAAGTTAGCCGACAAGTATGATTTCTGCGTTGTTGTAGATGAGACAATTGGAAACTTCATCAATGTCAATGTGTTGCAGTTCGCAGACGTTGTAGTTAGTAGTTTGACTAAAGTCTTTAGTGGGGACTGTAATGTCATGGGTGGAGGGTTAGTACAGCCAAACTCCTATTTGCAACGAATATCAACTGACATGTCACAGCCTTGTGCTCAACCCAAAAGCGAAAAACTATTCTCTCCTCAAACGCACTTGGGAAGAGGACTACGAAGACAACCACTGGGCTGAAGATAGCATTTTTCTCGAGCGCAACAGCCGAGATTTCGTCTCGAGAATCGACCGTATCAATGCCAATGCAGAGGCAATTTGTGACGTGCTGAGCTCGCATCCGCGTGGTAAGTTTTTTCTTGTTCGACTGTGTTTCATCGAAGTCGCTCTAACGTTAAGCAACATAGTCAAACAAGTAAACTATCCCAAAACATCGCCTTCGCGCCCCTACTACGATAGATGCCGGAATCCCACTGGCGGCTACGGCGGTCTGCTCTCTGCAACATTCCACACCAGAGCCGACGCTATTGCTTTTTTCGACAACCTCGACACTGTCAAGGGACCTAGCCTGGGCACAAACTTTACGCTTAGCTCGCCATATGTGATTCTTGCACATTATGGGGAGTTGGATTGGGTAAGTGTTCCGAATCTCCGTGAAGTATGTCGGATGTACTGCTAACAAATTTGCCATAGTGTGCCAAATGGGGCGTGGAAGCAGACCTTATTCGTTTCAGTGTGGGATTGGAAGAGACGAGTAAGTTGGTGGATACGTTCAAGAGGGCGCTGGCAGCTTTGCCGGCGCAGGCAGCTGGAGAGACGAAACAGTAGGTTGCTAGTCATGGTGAGTGACGGTTAGATATCCAATCAAATTCTGTGGGTTTTCATGATATCTTGATTGTTTGAATGATTGGCGATGGGTCTAGCTCGTCCTTGGTCTTTATTTTCCTTGCTTATTCAAAGGTGGAATAACGAGGGGGGAAACGGAAATTGAGTTGTGATGTTCTTGTGCATATGGGGCCTATCATGAGTGGGGTATTGCTTTGTCAGATGGATACTAGCTCTCTACGTACTTGGTATCAAGCTGTAAAGAGATGGTCTGCAAACACGCTGGCGCGGAAAACTAAAACTCGATGAATGTCTGAGTCGGATGCATTTTTCCTGGCAGCAAAGCAACGCTATGCAAGACATTTGCGGGGACGGACTGAAAGTGTCGGTACAAGAGTGGGGGTTCGGCGTTCATTTGTAATAACGGCTGGATGCCTTATCGTGGGACTAGCAGTTGCGAAGTGTCAGATACGTAGTTGGGCCGTCTCAGCTGCCATGGGACCGATGACTTCTTCGGCAGCCGCATGGCACTAGGGCCGGTAGAACATGATGTAACACGGTAATGGTACTGTCGACTCAGCAGCGCGCCTTGGTGTCCGTGAAGGTGGTTGTCAGTAAGCAGCAGTGCGGGTGTAAGTACGGATGCGTAGTGTGACGCTCGCGCGCTCGTCACGGTGATGGCATGTAGGTGTTGAGCGGGCTTGGTTGTGATGAACTAGTGGCCTGGGTATGGTGGTACATACATAGTAAGTAGACGAGATGAATGGGCCATGGAGGCCGGGGCAAAGGAGCGCGCCTATCGTACTGCCAGGGTACTTGGTATTGAGAGCATGGGAAGCTTGGAGATCGGTGTAAATTGAGCCCGCTGCTGTGGTCCGACTCATGGCCGTCTCGGCTCGAGTCGTCGTCCAAGTCAGGTCTAGCGCAGTGGCCCCGCTGTTTTGGTGGTGGTGGCTGGCTTGACGTGGTGGTTGTTCGTTCTTGGGGGGGTCATGACGGCCACAACAGGCGCGCCACGGGCATGCAGCCTGTCTTGGCACTCACTGCCTCTCACTTGGTGCCGCCCGGCAGTCTCCGCGCGGCTGCCGTTGCGACTGTCGTTGCAGAGAGTCACCACCGGCCATGCATCCTCGAACATGTACACTAACTACACTCCATCCATCCACACATCCACATATCCACGCATCCACACGTACCCACATGCTCATACACCCATATGCACACAGACATACAGTACACACACATGCCACACCCAGGCGCCTGGCGACGTCAGACCCCGGGCCTCAGCTGGACGCGGTGGGGTCGCCAGAAGACGATGGACCCCAAGGCATGCGAAACAGGGCATTTGCAGTGCAGCCCAACATGCACGCATCCGGCCATGGAGGGTGGAAGGGACCACGGGCTGCCCTGGATACATAAATTCCCATGTACTGGGAGAAGTCATATGCCCGAAGGCGTGCCGACCGCCTGCCGGTGCTAGTAACGGCACCGCTTCCGAATGACAACGGGCCGCTTGGGCGACGCACGCTCTCGGGCCATAGTTGGACTTCCTACTAGCGAGCCAAACATAGAAACCCACTACGCACAAACACTCGCCGTCTGGGGGGCCACGCTGAGGATAGGCAACAGGCGCCCTTTGTGGCGGTGCTAGACGCCCGTGTCCCAAGGCCTCGACGGCACCAGCAATGTCCTCACACGCCATGTTCCTATCCAGGCCGTCCAGGCCGAAATCACTTGTCCACAGCTACTTTCCCTCTTGTACACCTCCGGCCCACCCGGCCCTGACGCTGAGAGATTGGATAGGCCACGCCGTCCAAAAGGGCCAGACTCGACACGGTATGGCTCTTCGTCTCGAGCGGGAAACCACAAACGCCACCAACCCTCGACATGGTACCTCAAGGCGTTCGTCAGTGCTCGCATAACTTCCCCTCCCAGTGCCGTATACACACATGCCACTCGTCGTCCTCAGTGGGGGGTGGCATCCGACTCCCCTCAGCGAATGGCCGTCGAAAACAGGTTGACGCTCTGGATCATGACCACAATCTAGTCCTCACTGAGCAGGGCAAGCATGCCTGCCATCACCCCACTTGAGACAATCGCGCAATACTTACTGATGTGTGGATACCCCCGGCCTACACCAGCTATTGCGGGTGCATGTTCTGTGGCTAGTCAACGGCCGGAGGGCTAGCACTGTCAAGGACTGGGTTGCGCATCCTTCGAGGCTCCAATCAGTCCCCCCAGCCGCAAAGCCGGGAAAAGCGCTCTGCCTCTGTTGGGTCTTGAAGCTCAGATACCGTGTTCCTGTATTTCCAGGCATCCCCCATGCAACAACGCACACCACTCGCCCATGTTCCAACATCAGGGTTTCAATGGTAATGCTGTCTTGGTGTAAATTGCCCATAACCTTCGTATAATTCCACACGTAGAGCCCTGTCCACACACCAAACCGTACGTCTTTACCCCCCCTTCTGGTCCCCTTACACGTCCGATGGTGCCTGTCTGCTCTTAAACATGACCCATTGGTCTTCCAACCCACATCAACCCAAGACGACGACCATCTCACAAAGACTTAGGGACCGTGCCAACCAGCATTTGTCTGTTCAGCCACCAGAAATTCCACAAATAAGGGGGCCTTATTCGTGCCGTGCCGCAACCTTGCCAACGCCCCGCCACAATCCCATTGATTATCAGACGCCCGGTTCGCACCTACCTTCGCTAGCCTGGAATACCTCACACATACTCGACGACACCTCACACAATCGCTCCTCTCCACCAAATTCCCCTGCCCAGGATCGATTCTTGGACTCCACGAACGCGCAACCCGCACACTTCTCTCTCCACGAATCTCATCCAGGCTCAGACTCGACAGTCGTGCCTACTACTAGTAACCAGATAGTCCGCACTGATCATATTCTGCCAACACAAAGTCAACAAACCCCCACGTCGCCGTCATTGTCTGCATCTACCGGGCACTCGCTCCAACTCCAATCCCTGGCAGACTTTGAGCAGTCGCACGACCCAATCCTCGAGTCACAAGATATGAGGTACGAGACCCCGCCGACTGTTGTGACCGAATAGCATCTCATGTACACAGCACCTTGGGCTTCATGATGCCTTCTTCGCAATATGGTATGGGCCATTATGGTTCTTCCCAGACATCCTACGCACCTGGCTACCCACCGCCCCAACCCTATGGAGAGCCAAGGGCTTCGGCGCCAGGCCCATATGGCCCACCTTACTCTTCCAGCCCAGCCCCAAATGAAAGTCAACAAAGAAGAAGCGAACAGCACGCAGTCCAACCGCCCTACCCACCTCAACACCCTTCACTTCCGCGAAGCCCATATGAGCAGCACTCATCGGATCACATGCGAGCCAACCCAGCCTCTATGGGTACCACCACGCACACCTACACTTACTCCAACTCCCATAGTGCCATCCCCAATCAGCCGCTGGGAGGCAATGCCTACCCGCCGTAAGTTTGTCGAGCGCATCAAGTATGCTTCCCACTAACAGGAGATAGACCACAGCTTTACCCTCCTAGCTCCTATGCCGTCAGTGACTATCATCCATTACCGACCATGTATCCACCAAACAACACAGCGCCTGCTACATACGCAGCATATGATTCACCATCGACCGCTCCAGTTTCTAATGCGTCAGTCCCTGCACTCTCTTCGTCGCCAAGCACGCAAGGCAACCCAGTAATGCCGCGAGTCATCAACTCACGACCGAAACCTCAATGCTGGGAGCATGGATGCAATGGACGACAATTTTCTACATTCAGTAATCTGCTGCGGCACCAGCGAGAAAAGTCCGGAACTGCCTCCAAGAGCACCTGCCCCCGATGCGGGGCTGAGTTTACCCGCACTACTGCAAGAAACGGACACATGGCGCATGACAAATGCAAGCCACGCAGGCCGTCAGAAACAAAAGGATAGACGGGGATATTTGTCTCAACGTTCGATTTGTCTAGACATTTCCAGCTTGCTGCAAGCGGCCGCAAGGCGCAAATATAGTCGGCGCAATCCCGACATTATCAGATGCCAGGACACGGATTATCAATGTCTCGAAGCGGAGATGTGTGTCAGTACGCTAACGCGCAAGGGAAGCTCCCGACGTTCTGTGAATAAGCCAGCTGGCCGAGAGAGAGCCACTCAGGAAGACAAGGCATTGGGCCTTGTAAACTGCAATTCCAGCCTTGCGCGTGCGGTTTTTTCTCATTGTGCATCCTTGGGTTGTGGGGGGGGATTTATTGATCTAACAGGAGCATCACCAGGCGTTATATATCAAGCGTTCAGCGACCAGCAAATGCATACGGGTTTATGTTTCTTGTAACCCACAGTTTATTATCATGTTTTTTCTTGGTTCTTATGATATCATGTACATGGAATTTGGAAGGGGACACAGAAGGGGACAAGGGGACAAGGGCATGTCGAGTCTAGAATGTCTACGTTCCCTCGCACAATGGCTCACACAAGCACCAAGTTGGGTCAAACTCCTGGCATCGCGTGGCGGGGAAGACGGCCCTCGGGGAAGCAGAGTGGTGGCCGCCTGTCCGCTGAGAGATCGCAGCGGGAGGATTTTTTGCAGGAATCAGCAAAGCAGGAACACGGAACACTTGCTGCTTGGGGATTCTTCCCCTGCCCCCCCATGGATCAACCCGGCTGTTTGGTTCGTGAAAGAACACATCTACGCTGCTGACACGGTCTTCCATCTTAACCCAGGGTCCGCAGAGGGAGCTTGTGCGAAAAAAAAAACGCAGCGTCGACGCTAAACCGACATAGCAAAAATCTAGGCAATGCCGAGGTAGAGACTTGCTCAGCGACTGAAATACCGTCGAATAGACTCGAAAGGCGCGAAATCGCTTGGACGTAATTTCAAGGGCATGCGCACCAACAATTCCAGACTCGTTTTCACACTGCATTACATTAGCCAAGGCCAGGCGGGCGAGGCTGTCGACCAAAAGGTCGCACGGCCCCTCTGTCAGATTCGAGTAACGATCAGACGAGCGGGCCGTTGTCGCCACGACTTGAGGGCGGGAGTGGGAGAGGCCTCGTACAGGAGCAGCGCATCCATCGTCCAGGCGAGCGGCCAGCCGTGAAGCGATGACGGCGAGGGTTCCAATCAGGCGCAGCACGTTTTTCTTCTGACTGTATCCGGAGCCTCCCAGAGTCAGCAACCATGACATGCGCGACTACCGTGCGTCAGTGAACCATGCCGTTGGGACGTGAGCATCTCTGCAATGCCGCCATCCGTTGGTTGTACATACATGCTGTATGCAATATTCCCTGGGCTGGTCGTCGCCCTGTTCGTCACCCTGTTCGTCACCGGGCAGCGGGACAATACTTGGAGCTAACTGCCTTGAACGTCGTCCTTGTCTCGGAAGCCGTTAGCCGCGATGCGTGGGTGACTATCGGGGGTTGCGGGCTGGCAGTTGCAACACCAAATCTACCGCAGCATGGCGTACATAGATGCATGCATAGGTGGATAGCACCGGTGACGCGGGCATTTCCGGTCTGACACACAGCTCGAGTGGTACGTAGTTCAGCGTCGCTCGACGCCAGTTGCATCGAGAAGGTGATTGAAGCTTCAGCGTGCATGCTGCCAAGACCGTCACTGCAGCTGAAGACAGCGCCTCGCGGTTGAAACTCGAATAGGAATCTGCGAACAGATATGGTCGCTGTAGCGGCCCTCATTGGCCATCAGGCGAGGTTACGAGGGCGGACCGCAGTACTACATCCAGGAGCAGACGGCAGCTATCTCGACTGGCGCAAGACCTTCATCTCTCCTACGTAGCAAACCGGACGGCTACCCTGCAGATTCTCACTCAGGGCCTCCATCGGAACCAGAGCCTCGGAATCCCCCCCTTGGTTATGCGCGCTTGAGTGCTGCGCGCAATAATAAGTAGCTTCCGATTGTTAACTACTCGGGATCTCGGTCCAGGTGGTTCGGGCTTGATATCGAACAGACGCGCCGAGGGAGAGGGGCCTTGGCTGTTTCCCACCCACTCTGGCCCCACTGCAACATGCTGACCCGAGTCTTGCTGCTGACGTGTGGACTTTAAGGCGAGAAGCGTTGCAAGGGTCAAGCCAGCGGGGGCGCGGCTGCGCGGGAAGGATGACAGTCACTTGATCCCTCGACCCAAACTCCCGCAGGGATACGACAGAGAAAGAGAGAGGGAGAGGGACAGACGTGGCGCAAAGAGAGTTGGTTACCCGACAGGCGACATGTATCATGAGGCTAAGAAAGAGTTTCCACACTCGGACATAAGACCTCTGGCGGGTTGAACAAGCGCGGTAGAATCGCCGGACATTATCCGGTAGCCGGCTATGACGTTAAAATACAGCATGTGATTGACAAGATTGAAAGAAGGGGACCCTGGCGATATTGCGACCAAGCTCCGCCGTTGTGCGGAGACCGAGAGTGCCGCGATCCAGGTATCTGACTGCCCACTTTTTTTCCTTTCTTGCCCACACCCAGCGAATGGCGCAAAACAATTGTCCGTGGGATGTTTTTTTCTCGTTGCCGGACGATTCACCGTGTCAGGGTGCAATCGCCGGCGGCACAGTTGCAGCCCCGGTCGACTTGGCCCATCTCAAAACGTCTGAGTCGTATGGTCTACTGAGAATAGTATGGTCGGTTGCCTGAAAGAGGCCCCACATTACGATGGCCTTGATTGTTCGACCTGATACGAAAGAAAATGCACCTGGTGCGGCCAAGAAGTGATGGACATTCGCTACGTCTGTATCATACGATCTCGACCGAGCGGCGACATCACAGTCAGTAGGTATGTGCATGCATGAGTTAAGTATATCCTAGGGGGAAGTCGGGACATGTGGGGGCCAGCCTCATCTCGTATTAAGCGCCTTGACAAGGTGATTCAGACGCGCAAAGGGCGCCGGGAACCTCTCCAGAACCGAACTGGATGTGCATCTCTGGGACTCCGCACCGCAGGTGATATACACTAGGGTAGAAGAGCCTGTGAAGCTCATTATAGGCGACCCGTTCCCTGGCGGAGACTTGACACGGTCACTGCAGCCAGACCATGACGGCGATTGAATCGCCAAACAACTGACTTGCATACTCGCTCGCGTGGTAACCCATCGCGCGAGGGAGCAATGGCCCGAGTATACAACCCATGTGGTGACCTTGTGGGCACCGCACGAGGCTTACCTGCATGTTCCCTGGTTACGCCAAACCCCAGGACCATGGACGTAGCTCGCAAATACTTACTCGGTTGTTGGCTATGCCGCTTCAGACAGGCTGCCGTGCTACCTTCGAGAAAGCCGGCTAATATCAGTTGCCGTTCGCTGCCTATAGTAAACGGTCAGGGCGCTTGCAAGGAAGCGGCCTTCGCGTGGAGATGGTTGATTGTGAGACGAAACGGCAGCAAGTAGTCGATGGTTGCAAGAGACTGCCTGCTACTGCAGTGCGACCTAGGAGACCCGCAATTATAGACGTAATGGGGTACGATACGGCCGAAAGCGGTATGCTAGTCGTTGCCTCTTTGGCCGCTACTGCTGCCGGCCACGGCTTGAATGTGGTTGCGTCGGCATCGGCATCTTCGATCTGTATGTGCTGTGCTATGCAGTCAGCATGTCTCAGTCATGTGCTCATTGCTGGCAGCTTCAGAAAACAACTACTAACAGTGGCGCATATGGGTACGAAGAAAAATCTCAGTGAAACAGCGCCGATTTGACTATGCCGCAACACCTGCTTCATGCAGAAAAGAGACAACGTCACAGCCAATCAATGCCTGTCTACCAAGTCTTTTCGTCTTTGTTTACTAAACAAGTACTGCACCAGCCCCTGGAACCTTATACTAGAACTGGTGTTTCTTCGGCTCCTGCAGTGGATGCTGATGCATATTAGTGCCACCGAAGCTCAAAAGTAGATATGAGTGGCCAATGCGTGCCCATACTCCAGCTTCGGCCTGCTTTGTCCCCTGGGGTATTACGGGGTGTCCACAACGACGACAGTCTGGAGCATCTTTGAGTTGCCGGTTTTCCGGTCAAGAACCCACTGTGACGAGTGTGAAGTCAGGCAAGATCTGGGCCCTCGAGTGCATAACATCATCTACTGCGCCGCAATGCTACGCAACTCCTGCGAGATATAGGGAGGAATCACCAGTTGACTCGACAGTACTGTGCAATCAGACCTAATGCTCCTACAATAGTTTCAGATGACACTTCAGGTACAAGAGGGTGGAAAGGCGTTCCAATACGACGATTACGGGTGACGTGAATGCTTTAGCAGCCCTTTTACTATGCGATATAGTGGTAATGGCATACATATGGAACCAGTTCACAGCAAGTGTTAACAAAATTTATACGGATGTGAGCACTCAGCTACGCAGCCAAAGGGCGATAGAAGGGCGTTGCGTCTTGTCACGATTCACATGGGAGCCTAGCAACGACAAATGATGGCTTGCCCCACTGAACGGTGACTCCCCGCAGCCCCGAGCTCGGACCAATGGCTAACATCACGACAAGTTGATACTTGTAACCTCTGGTGACCGTCTCATACCACCATATCGCTTGCCATCACCTGCTTCACTATCTCACTAAATCGAATATACAAATGTCTTCCTTCAGTCTGTGATCGCCTCATTGGCATCTTCACGCAGCTCCCCCAACGAGCTGTTTCTAGCTATCGTTTGACGAAGTCTCACCCATTACTTGTGCTCTACACCCGTCAAAATGCTTCCTCTTTTATCGCAATTATTCCGGACGCACTTCTTACACACTAACTCGCGATCATTACCACGTTTACACACCGTCTCTGCTAAAAGAACACCTTAACACACCATCTGACAAGTTTGGCACATTTCACATCATCCCAACTAATACATAGAAGGTTGGACGCTTCCAGCTGTACCCAAATACAATTTCAACAACATGGCTTCTATATTTACTTTCGATCCCGACCCGCCCCGTGTTTCGTCGCCCTGGGCGGCAACTTCAGTTGGCGACCCGACGGAACCGTCGAATACCTACCAAAAGACCAAGTCTCCTCTTTCAAGAATCAGCGGCGATGGCGAGCAGCAAGGACTACACGGAGATCCTCTAGCAGATGCAGTAGACTATACAAATATTACCAGGTTGGAGGCGGAGCCTCAGGATGGTCCAACAGAATATAAGCTGCATCTACTTCTGAGGCGGCGACGGTCGTTCACTCGAACCACCACTGGTCGGCATATGTCTGGGTCTACGCGCCGAAGTGATATTCCTATACCAGGATCGGTGGGCCGCAGCGTATCCGAGTCGGGCCTCGTTCAAAATACTCCCCCACCGTTGGCCTCTACACAGTCAAAGCAGCATCGTCTTGAGCAGCTGACGACGCAGCTGTTGTGGCGGTTGCAACAGTCATGTCCTTATCACATATCCTCATCGAAAGCTCCCGTGCTTCCTCATTTCCCGGGCGATGCGTGCCTCTCAGCCCCTGAAATGCCACAACGGCTTCTGCCTGGGCTTGAGGAGAGCAAGGGGGCGCTCTACGAGATTGGTGTCGCTGATGACGGCAGCATTGTTGGTTTAGCAGAGGATGAGATGGAAGAGAGTCTGAACAACTTGCGCGCCATGGCTGCGAGTTTGGGCTGTGGGGTAGAAGTCTTGCGTAGGGTCCCAGTCGGCGAGTGTGAATGGGTTGAAGATGCAGGAACTACACAGCAAAGAGTACAGCGATCACAACTATTGGTCGCCGAGGCTCTAGTGCGTCCGGAGCAGCATCTCGTGGATCACACAAAGAAGAATCGTAATGGCGCTTATGAGAACACGTCAAATGCAGCAGACAACAACGCAGCTCTGGCCAAGGCCCCACAGGCTACCAGTGAGCAGATGCGGGTGTCAGTCACCGGAGCCACTATGTCTGGAAAATCCACTCTACTCGGCACGCTTTCTACCGCTACACTAGACAACGGCCGTGGAAAAAGTCGGCTTAGTTTGCTCAAACATAGACATGAGATTGCATCGGGAATGACCAGCTCCGTCACCCAAGAGTTGATAGGATATCGTGACGCGGACGATCACACGCAGGTCATCAGCTACGGGTCTGGAGATGTATCGTCCTGGATAGATATTCATGCTGCAGTTGAGTCTGTAGAAAGCGGCAGACTCGTGTTTCTTTCGGATTCTGCCGGCCATCCCCGGTTCAGACGTACCACTGTTCGTGGAATCGTTGGCTGGTTAGTTTACTCTATTTTCCATGTTTTTACTAGGGCTGATATGGTACAGGCAACCACATTGGACGCTTTTATGCGTGCCTGCAGATAATACAGAAGATTCCTCTGGCAAGCTCGGAGCATCACCCACGTCAGAAGAATTACTTGGACCAGCTGCTGCAGATCTCGACCTTTCTCATGCCCACTTGGAACTATGCCTTGCTTTGGAGCTACCACTTGTGATTGTCATCACCAAGTATGATCTTGCTACCAAGAACGGGCTGAAAAGTACTTTAGTCAAACTCTTCTCGGCCCTGAGAGAGCACAACAGGAAGCCCTGTCTCATCACTGACTCTTCGACGGCAGTGCTGGAAGCCGATTTGCATACAGTCGAAGCAGCCGATCTTGAAGAGACTGAAAAAACACTCTGCTTGCTAGAAGACTCCCCTCTCGCAGCAGTACCTGTAGTACTCACCAGCGCAGTCAAAGGAACAGGCATACAGAAGCTGCATGCGTTCCTGCGCAAGCTTCCTATGCCCAAACAGCCAGAACAGCCACCGCCTGAGTCACCATCCCCGCTTTTCTACATCGAGGATGTCTACAGCGTGGGCATGAGCGCCCCGGACGAGCAATGCGCCATCATCGGTGGTTACATCCGCTACGGCTCATTATCAATCGGAGACGAATTACTACTGGGCCCATACCCCGCCGACGTCAGTTCCGACGACAGCGACAGCGGCAGCGCGCGACCAAATCGCAAGCCCCTAATAACGCAATCCCGATCCTTCCCAGGTGCCCTCACCACAAAATCCAAAAACGCCTCCCTGCGTGAGAGCCATAGCGAGTGGCGCCGCGTCCGCATCACATCGCTTCGCAATCTTCGACTACCAGTGCGGACGCTGCTGGCGGGTCAAGTAGGCACCATGGGCATCATGCCCGTAGAGTCGCCGATGGTCAACACGTCCATCAATCGTATCAGAAAAGGCATGGTACTCGTAGCTCGCGAGCCCAAGGCGCACAAAGTCATTCGAGTCCGGTTTGAAGACAAGCAAGCACAGGGCGTTCGGGACCTTGGTGTTGGAAGTGCGGTCATAGTGTACATCGCTAGTGTCAGGGCGTCTTCCAAAGTCGTTTCTGTGGCTGCTGAGTCTCCTGCTACGCAGCCAAGCAGTGTCGATCGGAATGCTGCTGCTACTGCTGATGATGATGACGAAGATGGGTTTGGGTTTGGGTTTGATAGCGAAACGGAGGATCAGGTGGATGCTGCGGAGAGTGAGCCTCCGAGTGTCGTTGTTACGTTCCAGTTTATTGCTTCGCGGGAGTTTGTAGAGGTGGGTGCTAGAGTGCTTGTTATGCCGGGTGGTGGGCTGGGGATTTCGGGTGGAAATGAGCGGGGTGCAAAGGGTATGGCTGGGCTGGAGGGGTTTGTTGGGAGGGTAATTGAAGATGTGTAGTGCTAAGTTGTTGGAAGGGTTTCTTAGTCACGTTAATGACTAGAACGATGTCTTTGATTTTGTTTAACAAATTGTGTTTTTCTATTTGATGATTATTTTCTATTGTAAAAAGATATAATATAGCCTCCTCACTTGCAGGTATCGCAATATAAAAACACCTAACTAACCATTCAACTTGAGCAAATTTACATCTTGCTATGCACGACATCACGAGATGAACATATAAAGACGAAAAGATGTCGCACTCTACTTCTCCCCCAAAATCACCCATCTTCCCCTTCCATCTCCCTCACACCCTCATCACCACCACAGTACCCGTCCTCACCCGACATTGCACTTCCCCTAATGAGGTCGCACAACCGGCTAGAGTACAAAAAAAAAGTGGAGGAGAATCGGCGCAAGCAAGACAAAAAGGACAGAAAACGAAGAAAAGGTGATTGTGATCGGAGGGATGATGTGATTGGAGTGCACGCCTCCCACCAGCTATCCAGACGAAACAAGGCTCTACCACGCCATCCTACGAGAGGAAAGGAGGACAAACGATGTATCGTCGGCGACTGGTATGGGAGACTTGGATTGATCTCTCGCAAGGGCTATACTGAGCAGCAGGAATGAGTCTGGTCGCTGAGCTCCACCTTAGGCCGCGAGGTTCTTTTGTAGCTTGGAAATGTTGGGTGAAGGGAAGAGAGGAAGGACTAAGAAAGGAGGTGAGAAATGTAGAGATGCTTACGGTAGAAGGCTAGAAGAGCTGATCGTGATAAGAAGATTGGATTATTTTTTTGGGGATATCACAAACAAGGCTTCAAGTATCCAACGGTTCAACAAATGACGAGCTTTGTGTCGCGTGCTGTCTTGGGGTATTCATGTACTGCGGTTAAGCTGCAGAGGATGCAAAAAGGACCTTGCGAGGTCCGCCTGCGGTCAAGTTCTTTGAAGCGGCACCGTTGGTGACGCTGCTTTCCATGCTTTCGAGCATTCTGTCCATACCACCAAGGTCTAGCTCGCCGTGAGTGAGTAGGGCCTGGTCGGTTCTGGTGGTTGTTTCCTCCTCGAGTTGTTCGCGTGCAAACACAGCGTTCATGTCTCGTCCGAGAGGTTGGCTAGTGCTTGCAGCTATGACTAGGCGATGTTCCAAAGATATAAGTGTGTCTCTTGCAACGGCCATGCGTGAGGCCTGTGTCGTAGTGTCAAACTGGGAGACTGAGGTGATGGCTTCTCCGCAGAGTGACACGTCTTGGATTTGGAGACCGGGACCGGGCAATGCGCTGCCATTGCTAGCAGAGACAGTGCGAGCCCAGAACTTAGCGAGGTCTGCTATCCTGTAGACTTCTGAACCGTACCAGATGATGACCGAGTCTTCTGAGGTGCCATTGGCCAATGACAAGGTGGCGACGGAGATGCCACCACGCGTTACAACAGCCGAGCTCGTCGAGGTTCCTTGGAATAATGCTTCTTCCTTTCTGCGGCGTGTATTGGGTGTCATGGGGGCCAATGAGTTGCGACTGGCGCGTTTCGGGCTGGAGGGACCACTGCTACCTGCGTCTTTTTCTGACGTTCCAACATAACCTCGTAGAGAGAAGACTGAGGGATCTGCTGGCGGATTTGGACCAGACCGATCGACATCCCAAACTCCCCATTCGCCGTCTGCCAACAGGGCAATGATATGACGACCATCCGAAGCCCAGGCGGCATCGACAATGGCTTTGCGGGAAGCAAGGACCGGAGGCGTGAGTGTAACATTCTTGACAGGCTCAAATGCTGTCCTCAATGTAATTACAAAGGCACCTGGCTCAGAAGAAGCGCCACTCATTCGTTGCTTGCGATTAGGTGCAGCAAATGGGTCGTATATCCGTGCGGTTCCTGCGGAATCGGTAATGAGCAATTGGGAGTGTCGACGCTTGGGATATTGGGCGGTATTGAAAGCGACTCGGGATGCGGGTTTGCGCAGAGTGAGCGTCTTGCATGGTACGACAGGGTGCGCGACTTTGATCGCCGTCTCAGACAGCTCAAAGCGGAAGATCCTCAGCAGACCTCCTAGCTCGGCAGAGTGTGAGGCTACAAGCAGGTCGAAGCCTTCCTCGCCACGCGGTTGGGAGCGCGGGCGCGACTGTTGCTTGCGACGTCTGCCACTTGGTGTCGCCCCGGTCTCTCCCTCACCATCGATGTCCATGTCGTCTTCTACGTCTTCTAATACACCAGGCTCATCCCTGGCAGTCCAAGTCATGGTGACGCCCCGAGGGATGCTTTGGTGGCCTTGGATCTTGACGATCTCCTCACCAAACTGTGATGTTGAACTAAATGGACTGGCCTTGGCCGCATTCGGAGGAGGACTCAATGGCAGCGTGATTAGACGCACGGTAGAGTCGGCGCATGCGACGGTGAAGACAATGCTTTTGCTGAATATGGGCGGTGTGGTGTCTCCTGGACGCAGAGCAGACGCATGGGGTATCTGGGGCACAGCGATGTGACGGACTTGGGTGCTGAGGGATAGCGAGATGTGCTGAACGATTGAGGGATAGGGCTGGTCTGGGTCGAGCTCTTCGTCGTCCGCCTCGAACTTAGCCTTTGGTGGGGGTTGAGGGGTGGATTTTGCAGGCGCGTCGTCGTCCGAGTCGATGATCATGATCGCATCGCCGCTGGTGCCGTTGACCTTGGGCGGCTTGGCTGGTTGTTGGGGTTGAGGTTCCGACTGCTTGAGCCGCTTACCGCCTCTCCAGAGAATGCCGACGCCAGTCTCGTGGCCATAGAGAACAATGGTGGAGCCATTGGGAGCTCTCACAGGGTAGACGGCCGAGGTGAGGACGCGATGCCGAAGCTCATACCTAGACAGCGGTGTGGTCAGTGGCAGTACCGAAAAGTGAAAGGTAACATGAAATTACCTCAGCTGTGTCAGCTTGCCCTTGGTGGTGACAATAGGCTCCATAGCGACAGGGAGGGTGTGTATGGGTGGGAGCGAGTGAAGGAAGGTCGGAGGTGATGCGGAGGTTGAACATTTCGGGCAAGACGCGCTCGAGGCACGGCCATAGCGCGTCACCAACAAAGAGACATACCACCACCACCAGGCCCCGGCAACGAACCACCCCGCCCCCGCACCAGGCCCAGGTGTCGCCCATATGGCAAGACGAGCGTCGCCATGGCCTCTCTCTGCTCCATCGGCGTCCACAAGCCATCCGCCTGGCAGTATCTGGTGCAAGAGGGCATCTTGACCGAAGACAGCACCCAAGCCGACTATGCCTGGCATACATACACCGACGACGACCTGCCCGACGAGCTTATCACCACCAAACACCACGTCGTCTGGTCACGCGGCGGCCTTGTTCGTAAGGCATTCAACTTTGAAGTCGAAAAAGAGCCATTGAAGCACGCACTTCTGACTTGGTTTGTCGTCGATGAGCCCGCACATGGACTTGCAGACAGGGCACAGAGCATGCCAGCTCAGAATGCCGCCCACCATTCCCAGAGCTTCCTCACCCAGGGCACCCAGCCGGCTACGGATCCAACAGCCCCAGTCAACAATGCACCCGCCACAGTCGAGGTCCGCTCCCGCGCCCTTGTTGTTTTCCTCAGGTCCCAGGCCCACGTCTTCTTCCTTTCTGGCACTACTCATGTCGTCAACCTCCCCTTTGAGGTAGACAAGGCTTTTCCTGCTGCTCGGGGCGTCCTGGTGCAGAGGAAGCTGGCGCCACTGCATCCCCCACCCCCCAGTCCACCGCTCCCTGCAGCCCCAGTAAATTCCTTCCTCACAACCAACCAGTCTTTTCTCTCCCAGCACCTCTCCTTCACCCAGACCTTATCACAGCCACATCACCGCAATGTCTCTTCTATTGAAACATCACGCCGTGGTACGTCTCGCCTCTCAGGCGCGACCATGTACCTTGACGACTTGATCAACCCTTCTGCGCCTGTAAACCCAGAGGCGATACCCAGGTTGTATTCATTCACAGATCCACTGTCAGAGCTGGGATTGGTGGTAACTGTCGTGTCGGGAGGTCTCCGTAGCAGCCTGTTGACCACCAACGGCTCTGGTAATCGAAGACTGGAGGCCATTGATAACGCTGAGGACATCATATACGTATCGCCACAGAATGAGCTTCTCTTTGATCGCAGCGGGAATGACAAACCCCTTTTGCTAGTAGTAACTGCAAACCATGAGACGAATGTATTGACCATTTGGTCTGCGGCCTACCTTGAGCCAAAATCTATATCCACTTCTCGCAAACAACACGTTCCTCTGCCAATCACCAAGTCGCGAAGACGTAGCTCTCACGGTACCACGGTACCGGGCACAGGAGCAACAACTCCCTCAATTCGTGGCGCTGACAGGTTGAGAGAAAGCTTTGGGGGAGCCCCACGAAGCAAGGCTCAACCACCCTCATTCAAGATCACAGCCAAAGAACGTCTGTCTGACCAGGCTGTAGATGATGCTCTTGCTTCACAACTCAACCCCGATTCTGACATTGCGCGCCAACCCAAGGAGTCAAGGCGAGTGAGCTCGTTATTGTCTCGCGCTGAGATTTCGACTAGCTTCGATAGGAGCGCTTTTCAGGACAAGGCAACATCCCGAAATAGCCTGGGTGGCAGCTTCTCCGCAAGCTTCAATGCAAGCCAGCGAAGTCGACATTCGCTAGGCCACGATCGCACCAGCTTTGGTGGCCTTTCACAGTCACGCAACAGAGCCTCTACCCCTGGAAGTGTTACTTCACGGATGAGCTTAGGTGCTGTCTCAATCGATGACACTTTTGACGACGCCATGGACGAGGATACTTTTGACACCATCGAGGACTATGACGAACTTGACGATCTGTTTGCGCCGCCCGATGCCAAAGGTGGCCCTCGACCCGGTGATGGGCTCCACAAGGAGTTGGTAGTTAGTGCAATTGCCGAAATCCCAGTTACTCAACATCTCAAGAGCGGATTGTTTGCCCTCGGAAATCCGTCTGCTCCACAGGTGTGTTGCCATATAACTGATATAAAAGAATTACATCACTGACATGCACACAGAGTGAAACACAGCCCGAGGTGCTTACACTTAATGCGCCCTTTAATTCAGCAACACTGCATGAACGGAAGCTGTATATGTATATATCACACCCATCGTTGCAGCATCCCCTCGAGTGTGAGCTAGCAGTAACGCGGAAGCGACTATCCCCTTCTGCATCAGCAACGCAATCGGGCTCAAACAGCGCTGCTCCCCGGTACGCCTGCGTTCCTAGGTTTGTCAGTAGCCGGGAGCTTGAGGGTACATTGGACCTAATCAAGTTACGTGACGGACATGTTGAGCGTGTTGTCCAGCTCACTTCAAACGATCCCCAGGAAGATTGCTTATCATTGACCGCAGGATGGGGTACGCATCTACCAATGAAATTCAGTCTAGGTGCCTTGAAGTTGCATGATCCCTACGCCATATTACATCTTGGGCAGAACAGGGCAGCGGCAGGGTCCAAGCGAACCATAACTGCTAGCCAACCTTTACAACGGCTGTTATCTGCTGGTGCCAGCGGGAGGCTTGATGTTATCGACAGCCAATACTTTAGGCACCGGATGTCTCTGCGCCTGTCGCCTTCAGATGGATATGTGGCAGAGCTTTTCAAAGTGCTGTTAACGGTCCTCCCCAACTACACTGGTGACTTCGTCCTGGAGATATGGTGGCATATTCGCAAGTCACTTTCGGAAGAGGGGACCGAAAAGACATCAGCAGATTGGTCGGCCTTTGTAGCCACTTTGTTCACTCTTGTTGTTCCCTTCATCGAGGAGAAAAAGAGCAAAATCAAGACTCGTTCAAAGTCTACCCAACGCAGAAGCTTGGGTCGCCCTTCAAGCCAAGCCAAGCCGGACGAGCTGATAGATGATGCAGACTCGGCATGGCGTCTCATGTGCAGTCGTCAGACTTCAACAGCCCATGCGAGGAGTTGGGAATCATCTCCTTGGACTTGGGCGTTGCGTTTGAGCCCCATGTCAACTACCACCATGAGCCCATCGTCAAAAAACCAGTCATCACAAGAGCACTTGCCCTCAATCGCACAGCAGATCAAGGTCAAAGATGACACAATCCCCTCTTGTCTTGAGATTGCACGGCGCTATCTGCAATCACCAATCGGCAAAGCGACAAGCGACCACTGGAGACGGATGTCCCCTTCCGAGAAGCAAGACCTCCGCATTTCATCCCTTTCTGAGATTGTCGTTTCTCTTCATCTTTTCCGAGAAGAGCGCAAACTGGATACGTTGTGTCAGGATTTTACTGGCGTTCAGCCTGGCAACCTTGCACCCATACTAGCACAAATTAGCTATTGGTTGCGCTGGGATGCTTGGGACTGGAGACAAGGAAGCTTCTTTGACCTCGATGGAGGCTCAATCCATGACTGGACTTACGAAGAGACCATGCTTTCCAGTAAAGTTCGCCTACACGGCCAGCCGTGGGATACGCCGCCATCCATTTTGGATTGGCTCACCACTGTCACAGGATCTCAGCACTACGCTCCGTTTCCCACATTGGCGACGCTTATTCGAAAGTCTAAAGCCTCGCCACACTCATCTATCAATATCGATGAAATCATAGCAGGTGTCACGCCCCGAACAGTGGCACTACATAATTTCTTCCGCGATATCGACCCTACTTCGAGTCCTAGACGAGTAGTTGAGCTAATTCAGAGGTGTGAGATCAACTCCAATATGCTCGCTACGTTGCCAGAGGCTGCCAAGGCACCGCTGATGGAAGCAATCACAAGATGCCAGGCGAATCCACCTACAACATGGTCAAGCTCACTTTTGAAGCTTGTGCAACGCGAAGACCTTGACCTCCATCATAACTCAGCTCGAGATTTCTTCAATGACAGTCATATTAATACGTCTGGTGGCGCTCTTCATGCAGCTGGCATCACGCGCGATGTCCATACCATATGCCAGGCCGCTGATCGTACGGAACCTATGCAGTCGACAGCCGAAGTTGATCGCCACTACATCACAAGACTGATTTTTCGCGAAGACAGACGGTTCATGGAAGCTTACACGCTACTGGAGCCGTTACGGCAGACTGTTGCCGAGTACAAAGCCGATAACAGGCAAGACGACGCTGCAATGCTCGAGGGGCAAAAAGCGCTCATGCAATGGGTCATGATTCGCACCTTCTCCCTGCCTGTGGGCAGCTCTATGATCAAGTTTAGTAGCAAGAAGCCTCTACTGACAGAGAAGTACCCTCTCTATGGTTTCTCCACCTCTTGTCTTATGAAGCCCATGGGTAACGTTGTAACAGCTGAAAGGCAAAATTACTCCGAAGAGAAGTACTTTTGGGCTTTCTTCAACGCAGGTGCTGCAGCTGGACTGGGCATCTCGCGAGATGCCCAAGGCATTGATACTTCGTGGATAATGTACAACAAGCCTGCTGAATTGACTAACAAACATGCTGGGCTCTTGCTCGGGCTAGGCTTGAACGGACATTTGAGGACAATTGCCAAATGGTTGTCGTTCAAGTACCTTACCCCCAAACACACCATGACATCGGTTGGACTACTACTAGGATTGGCAGCTTCGTTCATGGGCACAATGGACACACTTGTCACACGACTGCTGTCTGTGCACGTCACTAGAATGTTGCCAGCGGGAGCAGCAGAACTGAATCTCTCCCCATACACGCAGACTACAGGTCTGATGGGTATCGGCTTGCTTTACTACAATACTCAGCACCGTCGCATGAGCGAGGTTATGCTTTCGGAGATTGAGCATGTGGAGGTACCAGATCCCTCCGAACCGCCAGATTCTCTGCGCGATGAAGCCTATAGGTTGTCTGCCGGCTTTGCACTCGGCTTCATCAACTTGGGCAAGGGAAAAGACCTCCGAGGTCTTCACGATATGCGCATTGTTGAGCGCCTCATGACTGTCGCTGTCTCACCCAAGCCAGTAAATGTCGTACACATCCTCGACCAAGCGACTGCCGGAGCAGTCATCGCAGTGGCCCTGATTTTCATGAAAACCCACGACCAAAGCGTAGCCCGCAAGATCGACATCCCAGATACGCTGCCACAATTCGATTATGTTCGCCCTGACATCTTCCTGCTCCGCACCTTGGCGAAACACCTCATCATGTGGGATAACATCGAAGCATCAGATTCGTGGATCATCAGAAACCTTCCCTTTGAGTACCGCGAGGCCTTTGATCTTAAGGGAATCGCACGCCTACGAAGCGAACAGATGCCGTTTTACAACATTCTTGCCGGTCTGTTGTGGAGTGTCAGTCTCAAACACGCTGGTACTGGAGATACTCAAGTACGCGATTTCCTGATCAAGTATCTGGATCAGTTCATTCGAATCAACAAGCTGCCGGCTGTGCGATATGATTCCAAGTTATCCAAGAACACAGTACGGAACTGCCAGGATCTCATTGCCCTAGCAGCCGCCACCGTCATGGCAGGCACAGGCGACCTTGACGTTTTCCGTCGCCTTCGCGGTTTACATGGCCGAATCGGACCAGACGTCCCCTACGGCTCCCACCTCGCAGCACACATGGCCTTTGGCACCCTCTTCATTGCTGGCGGCACGCAAACCTTCAGCCGCAGCAACAAAGCAATTGCCAGTCTCATCTGCGCCTTCTACCCCATCTTCCCCTCAGACGTCCAAGACTCAAAAGCCCACCTCCAAGCCTTCCGCCACTTCTGGGTCCTAGCAGCCGAACCCCGCTGCCTCGTCGTCCGCGACGTAGACACCGGCCGCGCAATCTCAATGCCTATTACCATCCACTTCAAATCCCGTCTTCCCGACGGCTCGAAGACGAAGAACCTCGTTGCCCCTTGTCTCTTACCCGAGCTGCCCCTGATCAGCAAGTTGGAAACGGCAGATCAGAGTTACTGGCCCACGACTCTCGATTTCTTGAATAACGCAACGCATCTGGCGGCTTTTGAACGCAATCAAACGCTCCATGTGCGGAGGCGCTCCGCGCACGATACGTATGCTACAGCGTTTAGTTCTACGCTTGTAGCACTCAATGATGCCCAGTCTTCGCGGACATCGCAGCTTCTCTTCCATTGGCTTTTTACACTGCCGTCTTTATCGAACTTCGTCAGCGCCTCCGATGCTGGTCTGATTCTGCCGTTGGATCAGCATTCCAAATCTTGGCTCGATCCCGGGGCTACGGTTGTGGAGTCACGACTTGTGCTCGCGCGGCTTGCGGGGAGCGAGAAGGTGGAGGAATTGAGGGTGCTGAGGGGGGTGTTTGAGTGGGCGCTTGCGGCTTGTAGGAGGGATGGCAAGTTGAGGTGGCTTGGGAGAGAGGTTGTGGAACGGATCAAAGCCGGGGTTATGGATCGGGCGAGGCAGATGGGTGGTGGGTGATGGAGACTGTGGATGCGTGTGGGACCTAGGATCGGGAAAACGAATATGTAACATCTGAATTGATACCTTTTTAGTCGTGATCAAACTGGACGATGAACATAAATGTGAACTTATATCTTTTTTTTGACAGGTCGTGTACTCTCGCTATCCATATAATTTCTCCATGCTACACTGAAATCACAACGCTCTATCCGCAGGGCCTTTAGAAAGAAAACATAAGAAAATCTCGACTCTTCCCATCTACAATGTCAAGGGCGCGATCCATTCGCACTTTGGCGGTGTAAGCGGAATATCCTCGTCATCGTTGAACCGACCGAGCTGGGCAACACGCTTGTAGATCTCTTCCAGCATCTTTCCTTGCTCGCCCTCATACTCTTCGGGCTTGCCTTCCTTGTAGCGGTCCTTGGCATCGATGGGTTTGCCATCGGGCGTGACACCAGGTACATGTGGACGCCCTGCTGAAGCGGGCTGTGTAGCAGGGGCTTGCTGTTGTGCTGGCTGGTTGGGCGTAGTCATATTAGCAGTAGGCTGGGTGGCAAAGGGTGAAGGTGTGCTAGCTGGGGCTGCAGATTTCTGTGCTGTGGAGAAGGGGTTGGCTGGCTGTGATTGTGTTGCGGCAGGTTGTGTGGGCTGAGTGCCAAAAGGTGAGGGTTTGCTTGGCTGGCCGAACGCTGGGGTTTGTGATGCAGCGGCGCTGGCAAACGGACTGGGCTGTGCAGGTGTCTGCTGCGTTTGTCCAAACGGACTTGGATTCTGTGATTGTTGGGCTTGTTGGCCGAACGGCGAAGGCTGAGATGTCTGCTGAGCTTGTTGACCAAATGGCGATGGTTGACTTGCTTGCTGAGCTTGTTGGCCAAAAGGTGAAGGACCCGACTGTGCTGCTTGCCCAAAAGGAGACGTCCCAGACTGTGCTGTCTGGCCGAATGGCGATGCACCGGATTGTGCCGCTTGAGCAAAAGGAGAGGCATTAGCGCCGGGTTGCGCAGGCTGGCCAAATCCGCTTTGTCCAAAGCCTGGTTTACTGAAGGGATTCGGCTTCTGCCCTAGAGCATTCGTCTGCCCGAACCCAGATGCCGCGCCTGGTGTTGATGGCTTCCCGAAAGCAGAGCCTGCACCCAAGCTACTGGCTTGTCCAAATGCGCTCCCTGCACCGGGCATAGACGGTTGCCCAAATCCAGAGGCGCCAAAGGCGGGTTTCCCAAATGCACTGCCACCACTACCCAAAGCTGAAGGCTGACCAAATGGTGATGGCTTTTGACCAAGTGCTGAGGCGGCACCAAAGGCTGAGGATGTCTGGCCTGTGTTCGATGCTTGACCAAACGGTGACGCAGTTTGGCCCGGGGTTGAAGCCTGACCGAAAGCTGAGGTAGTTTGACCGGGATTTGAAGGCTGACCAAAAGCGGATGTGGTTTGTGCTGGGTTTGACGGCTGGCCAAAAGCTGGTTTGCCGAAGGCTGGTGTTGAAGTCTGTCCGAACGCCGATCCTTGAGAGGCTGCTGCTGTCTGGAATGGGTTTCCAGGTGCTTTCATAAATGGATTAGAGGCTGCGGCTGAAGATGTATTTGCAGCGTTGGTTGAGTCACTTGCACTAGCGTTGCCTTTGGCAATGTCAATCCGATTCGGATGAACATTGGCGCCTTCTTCTATATACCGGATAGCACCAGGTATGTCATCGAGGATTGCCTTCACTTGCTGCTGCATCTTTTCATTGAGAGCAGATTCTTCTTGTTGCTATGATCGGTTAGTTTCTAAAAGAATCAGTCTCAGTTGCTAAGACTCACCGCTTGGGGCTCATTGCCAGCTGTGCGTAAAGTATAATACCGCAGACGAAGCTCTTCTGGGCTGATCTCGACTGGTCCCTCGATAAGCTGGCGAGGAGCCTCACGTCCTGGGCCATAGCAAGACAGCGGATAGATTGGCCGTTGGGTGGTGAGGTCGTTCTTCATGTCGTCCCGATCCAGATGGAAGCTTGGCGATTTAGCATCACGGTTACCTGTATTGGGTGAGTATGAATTCAACAAATAATCGAAATTACTCAGAGCCATAGAGTAGGGTACTCTGAGCGATCGACAGGGTCTTGCATACCCCCAAATGTGTCGGAACTGCCATTTTGGCCAGGACGATAGCGATCCCCGTTGAAGGCGCCAAAGCGGTTGTTGTTTGAACCGCCAAAGGCACTTCCCCCACGGTTCGCATCTCGCGAACTTCCGGGGTGTTCATTTTTGCAGGAATCTGATTGATGTAAGTGTGGTGTATCAATGGGATGGCTGGCGGTCTACCTCCAAACTTGCATGCGCCTCGCTGATAGTACGTGCAGACGCCCATGTTACCAAATAGGCAATTTGAGCCTTGCTGAAACTGATAGATAGAATTTCAAATGAGCTGTGGGGAATCAGTAGGGTCTAGAAAAGATGACGTGACGTTGGAAAGTATGGACGAAAGAAGAAAGCGGTGTCTGAGCGGCTGAACCCGACCGAGGCTGGGGTGAACGGAAACTTCAGAGCGAACGGACGCGACGCGCCAACCAATCAACGCGAACAACGCAGCGTGCTATCCTTGGTGCGCTGTGGACAGGCGCCAAAAGGCGCCGCACAGATGTCACTGTATGTGTAGGATTTGCTTGTTGTTGTTGTTGTTGTTGTTGTTGTTGTTGTTGTTGTTGTTGCCTGCTAAGTAGCCTTTCGGCCGTCTCTGTCCATTTGAAGTAATGTGTGCTTGGTAGATGGCAGTAACCAGCGATAAAAGGCTGGTGTAAACAGTAGGAAATACGCTGTGCGAGTTTTTGGTGCATGATATGTTACCTACCTTGTCTCAAAGGCGGCCCAGTCAGCCACAAGTCGAGTTATTCAGACGTTCTAGCAGATTTATCGTGTTGGTGTATTTAGCTACGTGTGATGCTGATGCCATTGAGAGCAGAGCGCGACAGGTATACGCTAGTACGCATCTGGAGCTAGTGCATCGTCCCGAACATGCGGGCCTTCCACGTACGCCACCATTGAGGGTGTTATGGATTGCGGCCAGGATGCGTTTTGCGCAATGTACATGCAACTTCAACCTCTCGCCCTGCTGTCCCGTTGCCAAATCTACCAAGACAATTGCCCTAGGCTCGCTCGCTAGCCCACAACATCCAACGCCGACTCAACTTGTCCTGAAGCACTGCTTGGCATGACGGGGTAGATGCACGCCTTCTCTATTCTTACCATTGGCATCTTCGTCGCGGGATACTCGACTGCCCGTTGGGACCTTGTGACCCGTGTGTACGAGCTCACCATATTCGCCTGGGACCACGGCGTCGTGACCAGAACTGCAAAGGGGTTCGCCTTGCTGTCCCTGTTGTTTTTCCTCTTCATACTGCCCGTGGTGCGCATCGCGGCCCAGGAGACGGATCTGGTCAGTAGGGCATGTACAAGTCTTCACATGGCTGGTTGACTAAATACTTGTAGCATCCCAGACTTGCAGGCACAGGAATATCTGCGCGCGAGCAGCTCAAACGTCGCGGTTCTTTCTAGCGAGATAGCAGGATGAGGACATGGTCACGCACAATGGCTTGATGCGCATATTTTGGCCATCAGATGTTCCAAACGATTCGGCGCCAGGGGTTCTAGTCGGATTCGAGAACTCCAAGACTGATGTCTTCGTGGTAGCCGTTCTGCAGGATGTGGATTTACGCCAGGTGGAAAATGCGCTACTTGTAGGGACATTGCTGCGACATAGCCCACATGATATCCAAGAACTGCTGCAACGATGCGGCCATTCAGCGCTTCGCGCTGTTGGCTGCGTAAACCCAAAGAGCCCACCAGATGCATGTGGCGCCGAACCCCTCACAGTGCACACCAATCCTTCGACCCGCTTTCCACGCATCCACTACCCAGCCGACACGCTCATGGCCATTCAAGTCATCGTATACGACCGACCGCACCCGACGCGCATGCAATATCTCTCGCTGAACCCTATCACACTAGCACTGGGAGACAAAACACGGGTGGCTGAGTGGGATGGGGTGTTTGCTGACCTCGAAGAGGCAGAGGCAAAGGAGCGGAAGAGGAAGGCACAGCTTGTCGAGCGGTTGAAGCTTCACACAGTCCTTGCGCATCCGCCCACACAAAAGGAGCTGGCACTGCCAATGATCATCGAACAGGTTAATTGCTCCTATGAGCTCAATGCTCTCCTGCAAAAGAATATTGGCATGATTGGCAGGCGCATGAAGCGGGCACTGAGTGTCAGTGAGCGCGTGGCCGAGTCTGCCAACAACCTCTGGGACTATGCCTGGATGATGCTCGACTACTTATTCAGAGTCTGGGTCTGGCCTATAGCTGCACAGCTCTTCATATTCGGCATCATCACGCACCGCATACTGGGAGAGGCAATGATCATGATCCTGCACTGGCGACCTGGTGCTTCCGACTCACCGGCCCTGAAGGACCTATCTGCAACAGCACAGCAAATCGACATTCGACTGCAGCAATCATGTTACTGGCCTATTCAGTACCTTACCTTGCGGAGGAGGAAAGCCAATTGGGAGAGCATTACCAACAGCCATCCAGAGTACATTCGATTCTACAACAGTCTGTGGTTGGTTGCAAACGATGTCATCATGGGTATAGCTGTAGGAACCTTCATCATCGAGAATGCGTCATTCGTGGCAGCACAAGTAGATACTATATTCAGTGCATGGTCGGTCGAGGGGCTGCGGCGCATGATATCATGGCTCATGGGGTGGCCAGGAGGCTTGAAGCTCAACACCGAGCTGGCAGCCTTCTTGGGTGACCTGTTCCTTTGGGTCATTGACTACTGGGCTAGTAAGTGCATGCCGCCGGCGTGTAGAGTGTCACTAACGGAATAATCTACAGACTGTATATCGCTCCTGCGACCCCATCTGCCTGCACTCATCCAGATCATTGGCTACTCCTCCTTTGCCGGCGCCACTATGCCCATATCAATCTTCTCGGATCTCGTCTCCCTGCTCACCGTGCACATCTACTCCTTCTACGTTGCATCTGCTCGTATCTTCCACTGGCAGCTCACCATTATCATTTCTCTCTTCCATCTCTTCCGTGGCAAGAAGCGCAACATTCTCCGCAACCGAATCGATTCATGCGACTACGACTTGGATCAGCTACTCCTTGGTACGATCTTGTTCACACTGCAGTTTTTTCTCCTGCCGACTGTGTTCGTCTTCTACCTGACGTTCGCCAGTGCGCGTATCGCTGTGATTGGGCTCAAAGCAAGCCTCGAGATGGGACTTGCATGTCTCAACCATTTCCCTCTGTTTGCAGTCATGTTGCGGCTCAAGGATCCAGGACGCTTGCCGGGAGGGATATGCTTCGAGTTGCAAGATACGGGCAATATGTCGGTGGATCAACAAAATGCGTCTGGCTTTGCGCCAACTGCCTACGTGCTGCTCAAGGTAAGTCTTTTGTCTACCGTCTTGTCATCTCTATACTTACAAATAACAGTCTGTACCGTTGTCACTCCGCGCAATGTTTCAACCATACTTTGATCTTGGCGACCGCATACGGAAACACTACTTCTCGCCTAGCGTGTTGCTCTACCTAGTGTCGGGTCAGTTTGTGCCGCCAATCCACCGTCGCAACCTGTACAGTCTTCAGTATAGCATGTTGCCAGCGAAAAGGGCAGGCATAGGTGAGCTTTGGAGGAGGTTGACGGAGCGGGACCGGCAGCCTTCGCGTTCATCGAGTAGCTACCCCCCTATATCGTTCAGAAGAGGTATACCAAATGGTAAAAGTAGAAAATTGATATAGTTTCTTATACTATCTACTCTAAACTTCTTCCGTCTCTATACATAATTGTTGTTTTTGTGCATTCTATAGTATCTTCTCACCTGTCTCTCCGTCTCCGCGCTTAGGCAGTGTCACTATGCAGCGTTATTGTTTAGTTAACAAACAATCACAACGTCATCCGCCACAGCACCCACGCACAATGCACGCACACACTTCCACACCTTTCACTCCACCAGCCCAAACAAACAAATAAAAAAAACAATCTCGCCCCTCTTCCCCCGGCATCTGCTGACCGACGCCCGTCCCTGTATTCGAACGACACGCCCCCCTAGCGACAGCCCATGTATGTGTGTAAATCCCTTGACTCTTATTCTTTTATTTCTCTTTCTATTTATGTTTTTTTCTTAAGGTATCTTTCTAGAAACGCATTCGAGTGCGTTGGTTTGACCTTTTTTGTGTAGTTTGCCCATTACCTCGATGTTTTTGTTAAGCTAGGAGCCCACCCGTTCCGCCAAGGAGAGAGAGAGAGAGAGAGAGGAGATGGCTTTTTGTTTGATGGGGGGATGGGGGATTGAGGGGGTTATATGGGAGGGGGAGGTGAGGGGGGTAGAGAGGTGAGAGGCGCAGGGTGAGTGGGCAAACGGGGGTGTGAGAGGGCAAACGGGGGTGTGAGAGGGCAAACGGGGGGGTGAGAGCGGGTGCGGGGTTTAGTTGCATGTGATGGTTGGGGTGATTTCACCTTTGAGGGGGATAAGGTTTGCTGGGGCGATGGTGTTAAGGGGTCTGGTGTGTTGGAGGTGATTTGGATGGTATGGAGGTACTGGCTGAAGTGACTTACTTGGTCGGGTGAGTTTAAGATGGGAAGGAACGAAATGGGCAGAATTACTTCAAGTGAGATTATGTACATTCAAGAGCTGATGCGGAACCTGTGGTATGTATGACACGTAATGTAGGTGCGGTCATAGCATGAGGAAGTCGTGACTACTTGGTTGAGAATGATGTTGACTTCGCCTATCACTCTACACCTGACACCACTCAACAAGCTTCATAGCACTATTCTTTCCTTCAACGATGACCATAAATCTTGGAAGGTACTTTAGGTGTGTCGATGCCCTTTTAGTGACCCTTACGAACCAGCAAGCTTCCATCTGTCCACACCCTTATAATCATCGTTGCTGGAACACCATGACTGCAGCGCCCCGCCGAGTATGTGTGTTTGCCCCGAATCTTTTCGCAGCATACTATCAAAAGTTGGGTAAGGAAGAAGGAGCTCAGTCTATCAATCAGGAAATGAATGCAATGTGCTCCGAAATACTTCACTCCAATGTATGCAGAAGGTCGATAGCCAACCACTTTACGATTCATAATGGATTACTTCCAACAAACTACCCGTACTATCCCAGAGTTTCTCGTCGACACGGTTGTGGTAACCAATCGAGCGACTAGTGGACTGCTACCCTTTGGCTTGCACTCTGAGTCGAATATATACCATCCAAGGAAGTGGCGAGGGACAAAGGATAAGAGGCAGAAAGATATAAATCACTGAGCACAAGAGAAAGACATATATGAGAATGTGGTGTGAATCACCTCTAACGTCGTATGTATTTGTAGGATATCAATGGGGACAAAGAGTCCCAACAACCATAAAAGATCGTAACTATACGTCGCTGACACAATTTCGCTGAGGCCCCTCAAGCTACACATAGCTTTCTCTTTCGAACCAACATAAGCCACCGCAAGATTGTATGGCAAAAGAAGCAAGGTACCTCCTTACTCCATTAGACAGAATCGGCGCTACGTGCCAGAGAGACAAACTGGCAAAAGCAGCCCATTCTTTAAAGACCCAAAACGCCCGATTCCGATTACTACTACTAGCAAGACACAAACGAGGCACCATCGTCACCCGGCGGTTGCGGCCAATCTGGCGGTTTGGGAGTTTTACTCGGTGGCTCGTCGGGGCGGGGTTTACGACCCCAAACAACGTAACTAGCAAAGATCAGCTCTGAGCTCGCAGCAAAAACCGTGCACATCTGGCAAACTTACACTTTGTAATAGGCGTGTATGGTCTTGTCTGTGAGGGCAGTTCGCAGGTGTGCAAGGTAGACCTCGACCTCTGCGGGCGACCATCCGAGAGCAGTGACAAAGAATTCAATTGACCACGCGTGCACGCCGGCGCACAGATTCCAGTAAAACCACTTTCCGAGGACCTTCATGCGTTCGTCTTTTGGCCATGAATTGACGGGAATAGCGAATATTTCCTCGTGCACGTCGACGAAGCCTGCTTGCTCGTACCATCGCTTCAGTTTGTTGGCGATGCGTAGGGGCCGGCCTAGGCGCATAGCTGCATCGTCTTGGGTGGCTGTCCAGTCTAGGAGCGCGTAGTCGGCAGGCATTGTACCATCGTTGCAATATATTTTGGGATAGAGCTCCTGAGATTCCATCCATCCTCCAGGGTTGAGGTTGTTGAAGCCTTTTTGGATGATTTCGCGAAAGTCGTGGAAGATGCCGAGCGACATACGTGTGTGGATGTAATCGTACGGCTGCGTGCAGCGCCACCATTCCGGCCGAGTAATATCGTCCATGAAGAAGTCGACATTTTCGCAGGAGCTGAACTTGTTAGCGAGGGTTGCTTAGACCGGCATGTGTGGCTTACATCTTGGGCTGGATCGGAGACAAGTCAATGCCTTCCACCTATTCCTTTTGTTAGGTGTGCCGCAGAAGAAAATATGAGGGACGTACCCGGCACTTTGGGAACTCGTTCGCTATCATTCGTTAGCGTTCTTGCTGGCACTACCTCGGCGCTCTACGTACCCATTTCGAAGCACCACTTGCCGGTGCCACAGCCAATGTCGAGCATCCTCTTGGGCCGCTTGAGTTTCAATGGGGCGAGGTAATTCCTCTGGTGAAACAGAGCTGTGAGGATGACATGTTGCATGTCCAGACGCTCTATCTCAGGCTGGGTATCAGCTAGTCAGTGACCGAAAAAAAACGTGGTGTGTGTGCCAGGGCTGGGGCAGCTACACGTACCGCGTCGTTGGGAAAAGGGTAGGCTAGGGCGCATTAGCTGGGAGGGTCAGTGAAGGAGTCGCGCGGCGATGCTTACCGCCAGCCTGGTATCCGTGGTATGTCCTGCCATACTTCTTGACGTAGTCGAAGATGCTTGGCGTGAGACTTTGGATCTCGCTGTGGCGAGTGAGTTTAAAGAAGGGATTTGAGAGCAGCAGAGCAGAGCACATACGAGTTGTCGTAACCCTCTTGTTGCGGATCCGACTAGAGGTCCCGATTAGCTGGCAGTGCTTGTCGCAGGCCTGGCGGCGCGGCGGGGGAGGCCGGGTGTTTGACATACATCAGGCTCCAGGGTCGAGTGCGTGATGTCGGTGAGGTCCGTGGCACTGGACAGCGGACGCAGCGGCCTCTCCTTGCGCAGGTGGTCGGGCACAGAGGTCGCCATGTTGGCGGGTTGCGATGCGCTCCAGGAGCGCTATTTGACTCTGGCCGAGTCGTGTCGAGGAGGAGGCGAAACCCAGCGGAGCGGCATGTCGTTCCCAATGCCAGGGCCTTGGGGGCGCCCGTCACGCCGACGGCCACACCAGGGCGGGACCATCCTGCGCTAGGCGTGGGCTAGCGAACCCCGCAATTCACCGAACCTCCACCGCCCATCTGCCACCTGTTGGACTGACCCACCATCATCTCCAAACCGCCGAATGACATCCCCACGAGTGCGCCGCACGCTGCCAGCTACCGCCGCCGCGGCTTTTGCATTGCGTCGTCTCATCCGAGCGAGTGGGTGACAACTCGCCAGGCCCTCGGGTGCGCCCTCTAGACACGCCTTGCATGTCTTCACTGTCCCCCTCTGCAAGGGATATGCCTTGCTCTCGACGTGCTGCTTGGCCATTTGCGCATCTTGCGGTCTGGCCCAGTTTTGCGGCAGGAGCCTGTTCCGCCTGGATGCCGCTCGAGGTACCCATCTGCATCTCTAGCGCTGCTGCAACAATCTTTCTTCACCGGCCGCCGCCCTGCTTGCTGCATGCTGGCACCTCGACAATTCCTACTACTTCTCCGTCCCCACCGTGGTCAGTGTTGTCGTCACGGCCATTCATCCACGTGGGTCATCCAGCGACTCGGCGTCTTCGGCGATGCAGTGACACGGTTGCACTCAAAAGATCCCCCGTCGGCGCTGCATCCGGAGCATCGGGTCGACAAAAGGACGGTGCCAAAGCATGTCATCCGGGCTGAATGCCAAGCGGAACGCGTCACGATAGTCAACCTTTTTTCAGGTCCTTGATACATTCGTGACAGCAATCGGAACTTCAAAACCATGACTCTTTCTCACCCGAAGCAGCATCTTTCCAAAGTGCACCAAATCACAATATTTTGAATTGACAGCAATTAGGCTCCTGTGCAAGGGGAATTGCAGCGAGGCTTCACGTCCAAGAACGTCTTTTTGAGTTCAATGCCATGCACCGAGCCTTTAGAGTTTACGCTGCGCACCTCGGCAGCCGACCCTGCATGCAAATGCAGCGCCACTGGTATAGTACGTGGTATAGAACACCACGTTAAGTATTTGTCATGCTCACCAAATGAGTGAGGGTCCGACGAGGTCCATGCCTTCCTCATTCAGAAAATTTTACCCGTTTTCATTTTCGCTATCTTTACTTTAAGCAGTGTCGGTCCCTCGTCGGCATTAAACTTGCATCAACAGAAAACCAAATGGCCCACCGGGTTTTCTTGGACGTATCAAGCCTCTTAGAGAAGGTTTTGAAAATTACGCAGTTGCAAATCAAGAGTAGCTTTATCCTATGAAAATTGCAACAGAACTGTTGCATTTTGCTCAAGCTCGGAGTTCGATATACAACTTGGGCATCGACTGCCACGATGTTGCCTGCTATCACGCACGGTTTATTCTAGCATTTCCAAGCAGAACTGAAAGCAACCTCATTTACTTGGGATTCGGATGTGATAGATGCATGGATTGATTGAGTCTCACTTGTAATTCAATGGCTCTCAAACATTGGGTGTCTATCCTTTTTTAGGCTTCGAGACACGGATTTTCCAGATGGCGCTCTCACCTTGAACGTTGTCTCTCACTGTGCAGCCCGTCTCTCACTACACTGCAGCTGTATATCTGAGGCGTCAAATCAGCATTGCTATTGAAACAATTTCCTGAACGGTCCCAAATAAGATACTGCTCATCATCACAAGAGCCGGTTATTACACACACCTGCCAAGCCTGAGTACCAGTAAAGATGGTTCGAAATGATTTCAAGTCGCTTGCGAAGCGGAACCCAACAAGAGCAGCGCGGTACAGAACTACTATGCGCATTGTCGATCACATCATGGCACATCGAACTACACGCAAAACTGGACAAAAACCCAGACCGAAGGACATACGCAAGACTACACAAAACGCAGCGCGTAGGCCTATCCGGTAAAACTCTCCATGCATAGCTCATTACTTATATCTGATTTCCTGTAGATTTGGAGAAAAGCTAATCACCATCTACGCGGGGGGCCAAGGAAAAATACCATTCGTAATTCACGAAGACTTACTTTGTTCTAGCTCTGGCCACTTCAAGAAGCTCTTCCAACAAAACCGTAAAGCCATCGAAGGGGAATGTCCGATATGTATTGAAGATCTATCTGGCTTCTTACCACTCTGCTATTGCAGAAGCTGTGGACAAAACTTTCACATGAAGTGTCTTGACGACTGGCTGCAGCGAAAAGCAACATGTCCAGTGTGCCATGTAGACAAACCGATAACCATTGACTTAGTGCAGAGTAGACTCTGGGATGCTGCCAATAGTGAACCTTGGGATGCGTATATGCAGTGGTTGTATACCGGAGTTATTACAGTCCATCTCAAAGACCTCGGCGGCGACGACAGCGCTAAATACTGTCAGCTACTAATGGAGTCATATGAGCTCGGCGAAAGACTCGAGGATGAATTATTCCAAAAAGTAGTGCTAAAGGAGATCGTCGTGGACGTCATGATATCTTCATATGCAATCAGCTATCACAATATCGGACAGGTGTACCAGCTCACGAATGGGGCTTCGACACTTCGCAAAGTAATGGTTGATCTGTACATTGCCCAGGCAGACTCAACTAAGCTGGATTTGAAATATCCTCAACAGTTTATCCTGGATATTGCGCGGGCTTTGCTGGCGCGGCAGACGAAACAGAATATGGGTTCAGAAAAGATGTTGGCAGGAGACAGCTCGGAAGAAGAAGAAGATAATGATGAGAGTTCGGAAGATGAAGATGAAGAAGATGAGAGCTCGGATGATGAAGATGAACTAACATATGACTTCAGAAATGGAGATAGATCGTATGAACCAGGAGAGACGGAGGCGGAGGCGGAGGAGGACGAGGACGAGGACGAGGAAAGATAAGTTCCACAGAACTGAGGCACGTCTGAGCTTGGCCATACGAAAAAACCGCCGAGGAATAGAGAACACGGCAGCATAATGCTTGAATACTTAGATCGAGTAGCTTTCTATTCAAACAGACGACACTTATGGAGAAGATGAACAAAAAAGCAATGTGCATTGCCTGAAGATGGGCATCCCACCTAGACGGATCCACTAATGTACAGGTGCTCATACCAAAGAAGCTGTTGCTCATGCGTGATTTACCGGCCCTTCTTGACCCAGTCCTCCAAGCTTTCCCTGGTATCGGCGAGTTTTCCCTCGACGGCACCAACGGTGCCCTGGGCATGTGCCTTTCCAGTCTCGACAAACTGCTGGATACGCTTCTTCATGCGCAGATGTGTGTCTGCAACGACGGGGTATCGCTCCTCATAGGTCCAAATAAGATCACCCACATTCTTGGAAGTAATAGGCAGCACCACGTTGGCAGCAGTAATACCCACGGCAAGGGGCACAGAGGCGCGGAGTAGTATGTTGCGGTTGCGTGTGACAATGGATCCGGCCATGGAGGCGACAAGCACGTACAGGGCACCGGGCAGGACCTTCTCACCAGACTCTTTTGGTGGGGCTAGCGAACGGATGGTGCTTGTGAAGGAGTGCTCCAGGCGGAGCGTCTCGGTAAGAGCGTTATCGACGGCCTTTTCACCGCGGACGGCCTGCTCGTACAGAGCCATGCGCGCACGACCAATCTGGACAGCCAGTCGATCGGTAGGAGTTGGGCGGTAGACGGGCTCTTCGGAGGGGGCCGAGCGTGATGGTGCTGGTAGAGAGGGGGCAGTAGGAGCGGTGGCATCAATGGGCATATCATCGTAGATTGGCTTGCGGTTCTGTACGCTACGTCAGTACCGAAGGTCGCACGTGCCGTCCAGTAGAAATTTTGTCGTGACTCAAAAATTTATAAGAGATACAGGGCAACAGCACATACCGAGTAGTCCTCCTGGCGCTCTTCTGCGTATACTGAGCGAGGAGCGAAGATTGCCGTGGTCGAGAGGGCAGCCATGGCGGGAACGACGGCGCGCTGTAAGACATCAGACTGCAGCCGTGGGTCATTCAGCAAGTCTACTCACCTGCCGTAACAGCGGTCGGAAAGCCATGTCGGGCGTGGGGCGGGCGCAATGGGTGGGAGACTGGCCGTGATCCAGCTTCTGATGTTGAGCTTCTGAGGATGCGGCAACGGCCGTGCGAGCGCCGCAAGAATCCCGCCCACCCGTCTTCGGCCTGGCCTGGCTATGACATCGTTTGTCTCTCAAGGCCTACCAATCTTCCTTCACTCGTGCCACCACCCACGATGCTCAAGCGGCTTGCGCGCACAAAGCAGCCAACAGCGCCCTGGATCTGCCACCGCTGTCTCCACCAGTCGCAGCGCCAACGACGCTTCAACTCGACTTTTGCTGCTGCTGCCACCGCCCCCTCCAAGCCACGCGACCCTGCGCCGCCACTCCACAGTCTCCCTACCAGTACAAAGACAGATGACGACGCCCTCCGCAAGGTTTTTGACAGCGCCTCGTTCTGGGCGGGCTTCAAACGAACACCGCAAAATGGCCAGCCCGCCGGCATCATCGGCAACAAATACCTTACGCATCCTGAAGGCTTCGTCGACTTTGTTACCATAACCATCCAACGCTGCAATGCCGTTGTGCAAAAGGTGGCAGCGGCGCAGTCGGTCCAAGACTACAAGAACATGGTCAAGGACCTCGACAAGCTCAGCGACCTGCTATGCAGGGTCATAGACTTGGCCGACTTTGTGCGAGGCACCCATCCAGATCGCAAGTTCCAGATCATGGCAGTCAAGGCATACTCGACAGTCTTCCAGTACATGAACCAACTGAACACCACGCCAGTACTATACGACCAGCTGAAAAAAGGCTCAGAGATACCGGAGGTGTACGAGGCTTGGAGCGAGGAAGAGCGCATCGTTGCGAGGATATTGATGGAGGACTTTGCGCGCTTTGGCATTGGGCTGGATGATAAGACACGAGAGAAGCTGGTGGACCTGAGCGGAGAGATTGCTGAAGTTGGAAACCAGTTTGTCGAGGGTATGGCACCAGAGACACTGACTCTACGGTTCAAATCCACACGGTTAAAAGGGTTGGACCCGAATATGGCAAAGGCTCTGACCAAGTGGGGAGAAACAAAGATTTCCACAATGCATCATGAGGCGCAATCTGTGCTGCGGTTTGTCCAGGACCCAGAGGTGCGCAGAGAGACATATCAAGCTGTCCGCACAGCAAGCAAGCCGAGCATTGCACGGTTAGAGAAGATGTTGAAGCTGCGCGCCGAACTGGCCCAGACATCAGGTTACGAGACGTTTGCGCACATGACGCTCGAGAATAAGATGGCACGGACACCGGAGGCTGTCAATACGTTCCTGAAAGCATTATATGAGGACAGTCGGCCGGCTGTACTTGCCGACTTACAGGAGTTGATGGAGCTGAAACGAGGAGACGCTCACCGGTCCAACTTTCCAGATCGCATCAATGCCTGGGATAAGTTCTACTACACACAGAAGATGCTTGCGACGATGGAGGGCCATTATAGGCAGCGCACCCCAGATTCACTGTCTGCATATTTTTCTGTCGGTACCGTCCTACAGGGAATATCTCGGCTCTTCGACCGTCTCTACGGCGTACGCTTTGTGCCAAAGGAGACTCAACCGGGCGAGGTGTGGGACGATGGAGTTCGCCGCCTCGATGTCATATCTGATACTGAAGGCCATATTGCGGTACTGTATTGTGACTTGTATTCTCGTCCTGGCAAGACGCCCAACCCAGCGCATTTCACCCTGCGCTGTAGTCGTGAAATTTTACCCTCGGAAATGGAAGAAATGGCCCATATGCAGCACCGCTTCTCTTCGCCCATTGAAGCCGCAACCGATGGCATGCCAGTATCTTACAATGCCCAACGGCAAAGTTATTTCCAATTACCGACTATCGCCCTGATTTGCGACTTCAGCAAAGCGTCTCATTCGCAGCCAACGCTCCTCAACATTCACGATGTACGCACTCTGTTTCACGAAATGGGTCACGCTCTCCACTCTATCCTGGGTCGTACAGCTCTGCAGAACGTCTCTGGTACTCGCTGCGCTACCGACATCGCTGAGCTGCCATCTGTCCTAATGGAACACTTTGCCTTTTGCCCACACGTCCTCTCCCTGTATGCCCGCCACTGGGAAACAGACGCTCCAGTGCCTATGGCTGCCCTTGAGTCCCGCCTCGCAATCGACAATCGAAATCAGCACGCCGAACTCGAATCGCAAATCTTACTTTGCATGCTAGACCAAGCTTACCATTCCCCCATCGCCGCAGACCCAAACTTTGACTCGACCAAGGTTTACCACGATGTATATAATAAGTACGCGTCGGTTCCTGAGCCCGCTGGTACAGCTTGGCAGGGCTTCTTTGGCCACTTGTATGGATACGGTGCTACGTACTATTCTTATCTGTTTGACCGCGCCCTCGCAGCTAAGATCTGGAAGGATGTGTTTCAACACAATGGCCCAGAAGGCAGCTTGGATAGAGAAAACGGTGAGTTGTATAAGAACGAGGTGCTCAGATGGGGTGGTGGAAGAGATGGCTGGCAGTGCCTGGCTGGCGTACTTAAAGATGAGAGGCTAGCGGAGGGCGGCGAGCAGGCCATGCAAGAGGTAGGGAAATGGGGGATCCGGGATACAGGGAAGTAGATGGTACATTGCGAACAACGAACCTTGTATCGTGTGCATAGACTCGCATCTAGACTTTTGTAAATAAACTCCTGGTCAATAAAGTATCCATTGTTGTGGGTTGCAATATGTCTTGCAGACTTATTGGTTCGCTGACCATACCGAACATGGCCGAATGGCTAAAACCATATCATTGAAAACTCCCGAAAGCGTGAACAGTCGAAATTCGCATGGTCGGATACAATTCTGTAGTCGCACCCGACCAAGCATGTGGAGTGTGGAGGTGGATCCTTCGCTGTATGCCGAATCCACGCTAGCCGCTATAGGACGACGCGCTCTTATCGATAAAGTTTTCGAGGTCAGAAAAGTTTTGGTACTCGAAAGGCCATCACTATTCCCACAACGGTCATGTCACAAGAAAAGAGCATGGATTCAAAGGTCCAGAACGGAGAGAAAGGATTAGTAGAACTAAAGAAGGGGAAAAAGAGAAAGAGAGCTCAACCAGCCAAGGATGGCTGGAGTGTTAAAAAAGGCGCCGGCCAACTGACCAAGTTTGATGACTCTGAAGATGATACACCTAATCCCGTTGCAAGTCAAAAGAGCAAGGTTGATGTTGTGGAGAAGACGGAGGTTGCTACGGAATTGCCAACTAGACAGCTTGAGAAGTCTTCCAAGCTGGACACATCGACACAGCCACCAGAGCCCACACCTAAGCGTGAGCAACATTCCAAGGCGAGGAACAAGCAACCACAGCGGTTGCGAAACTCTCAAAAAACTCAGGATATACCGCCTTATCTTCTTCAAAAACGCGACGAGCTGCGATCAGTCAGAAAATCACTTCCTATATGGCCCCAGGCAGATTCCATCCGGGCAGCACTACAGAAGAACAATATACTTGTCCTGACGGGAGAAACGGGTTCCGGAAAATCGACACAGTTACCACAGTTTTTGACCAACGAATCATGGTGTACGGGATGCATAGCAATAACACAACCTCGAAGAGTGGCAGCGATTTCTCTGGCCCGCCGTGTTGCAGAAGAAATGGGCAGCTTACTTGGTGACAAGGGCCCAGCAGCCAAGGTCGGCTACAGTGTCCGTTTTGATAACGCTGTTGGCAAGCATACAAAAGTCAAGTTTCTGACTGAAGGTATGCTGCTTCAGGAGATGCTTAGGGATCCCAACATGTCGCAATACAGTGCAATCGTAGTGGATGAGGTTCACGAGAGGAGCGTGAATGTGGATCTGATTCTCGGATTTTTGAGGAATCTAGTTGCTGATGAGGAAAATAACAAGAAAAGGAAGCATCCGCTAAAGGTAGTAGTAATGAGTGCCACAGCGGATGTGGAGAGTCTTGTGAAATTCTTTGGGGGTGATTCGCCGGCAGCAACATCAGACATGAATGTCGATAAAGCAAAGACAGCAAGCACTAGCAAAGTTTCGACGTGTTATGTAGAAGGACGACAATATCCCGTCAAGACGATATATCTACCACAGCCTACACAGGATTGGATCGAATCTGCCCTGAAACTGGTATTTCAGATTCATTATAAGGAGCCACTGCCCGGCGACATACTAGTTTTCCTAACGGGTCAGGACACTATTGAGTCTCTCGAGAAGCTCATCAACGACTACGCTGAAGGAATGGATGCCGAGGTTCCTAAGCTACTCGCTCTCCCGCTCTTTGCAGCCCTCCCCCAGCACGCTCAACAACGCATCTTCCAACCAGCACCCTACCGTACACGCCGCGTCATCCTCGCAACCAACATTGCAGAAACCTCTGTCACTGTCCCCGGCATCCGCTTCGTAATCGACTGCGGCAAGTCAAAGATCAAACAATTCCGCAATCGTCTAGGCCTCGAGTCTCTCCTCGTAAAACCAATTTCCAAATCCGCAGCCATCCAACGCAAAGGTCGAGCCGGTCGTGAAGCACCCGGCCAATGCTACCGCCTCTACACAGAAGACGCCTACAAAACCATGGAGGACCGCACCATCCCCGAAATCCTCCGCTGCGACCTCAGCCAAGCCATTCTCACTATGAAAGCCCGCGGCGTCGCCGACGTCCTCAGCTTCCCCTTCCTCGACCGCCCCCCACGAGAAGCACTCGAAAAAGCCTTGCTCCAACTTCTCCACCTGCAAGCCCTCACCGAAACCGGGGACATCAGCCCCAACGGTCTCGTAATCGCTAAATTCCCTCTAACACCCACACTGGGTCGCGTGCTAGTCGAAGCAGCGAAACCCGAGCGCGACTGCCTCACTGCAGCCATCGACATCATCTCCGCGTTAAGCGTCGAAACCGTATTCCTGAACCTCGTGACCGAAGAGCGCAAGGAAGAAGCGGAAGAAGTACGCCGGGAACTGTATCGTCGCGAGGGCGACCACCTGACGCTTCTCGTAACCGTGCAGCGCTTCGCAGCGGAAGACAAAGCGCAGAGGAAAAGCTGGTGCGAGAGGCATTTTGTGTCGTACCGCGCTATGGAGAATGTAATGAAGATTCGCACGCAGCTTAGGGAGCTGTGTAAGCAACTTAAGTTGCTGGCGAATGAGGGTGTGGAAGTAGATGATGCGGCGCCGTCTGAGGCGAAGAGTCGGGCGATACTCGAGTGTATGTTGCGTGGGTTTATTGCGAATACGGCGCGCTTGATGCCGGATGGCAGTTATAAGACGTTGCTGGGGAACCAGACTGTGGCTATTCATCCTAGCTCTGTTCTTTTTGGCAAGAAGGTCGAGGCGATTGTGTTTAATGAGTTTGTGTTTACGGGGAGGGCGTGGGCGAGGGGCGTGAGTGCTGTGCAGTTGGATTGGGTGGCGGAGGTTATTGATGGGATTATGTAGTCTTTTCTCCCTCGTAACTCCATATTCCACTTGAATACTTATCTAGCCTTTTTTTTTAATCTACACGGCATATATTCAAGTCTGGTTGTCTACCTCCTTCTCCCCACACCCCCAGCACCACTCGCTCCCTCCTTATCCGTCAAACTAACCACCTCCCCTATACCCGCCGCCTCCTGCTCATCCTCCAACGCGCGGATCTCTTCTCTGCAATCCCACCATTTCTCCTCCGCACGTTCAAATGCCAGTTTCTTGACTTCCTTGGGACTCTTCTCTGCGCTCGTGCCCTTGCGCTCCAACTCCTCAAGGATAATATTCTGCCACTGCTCGGACGTGCGGGCGTAAAAGTCGCGGAGGGACTCAAAGGGACGTGGATGCGGTAAAGTATCTGTGAGTGCGGAAATTTCTTCCTGGGGACCCAAATCTTCTGTTGCGGGTGGAGCAACAGAGTCTGCGACGCTGGTGGGAGCTGTGGACGCGGATTTGGCATCGTCGTCTTCGGCATCTTCGTCTTCATCTTCATCCTCCTCGGAGTCGTATTCCTCGTCCGAGTCGGCTTCGTCTTCGCTGCCTTGCCAGTCTTCGAGGTCGCGCTTGAAGATTTCGGTTACGCCGTCGAGGTGGTTAAGGTTCACAGACCAGAGCTCGTCAAAGGTGAATTCGCGGTCGCCTTTTTCGTAAGTGCCGCCGTAGATGTACAATGTGTCTGCTTGGACAGTGAGGGCGGCGTTGAAGCGTGGGTGGGGGAATTCGAAGAGTTTAGGCTTCTCCGGGCGTGTGTCTTCTTCTTCCTCTTCCTCTGCAGCTTTGGCGGCTTCGTCGTCGGAGTCGGGGTCTTGGGCGACTCCAGCTTTCATCTCGAGGGCTTTGAGGTTGGCTAGGAGTTCCTCCTCTGCTGCTTTGCCACGGTCTCGTCGGCTGACGTTGGCTTGTTGGGCCGCTTTCTTATTCGCGTTTTGCTTGGGTCGGCGTAGAGTAAGTGGCATGAAGCGGTTTCGCTCTACGTTCCAGATGAAGAGCTGATTGAAGAATTCTGAGTCGATGCCTTCTTCGCTCTCCTCGACATCGTGCACTCCACCGAACATGACGCCACGACCCTTGTGGTATGCCATGGTGGCGCCCGCGCGTGGTGGATTCGGCGCGTTCGCTGGCTTCTTTCGCTTCTCCCATGACACAGTTGGCAGAGTTGTCGAGGGTTGATCTGCTGGGGGCGGCGTGATGCGCAGAAACCAAGTATCATCGTGAACTTTTGGCTTCAACACCATGCGCGAAGCTGGGCCTCCACCGCCGCTCTTTTTGCCTTTGCCCTGCTGTTGCTGCTGCTTCCCGCCAGCTTGTGTCTTAATACGAGAGTAACCACCGTATATGACGGCGCCTTGATCGTGTGGCAGGAATGTGAAGCTTGATCGAGCATCCGGTATCGCGCGAGCTGCCTGAAGCTTAGGCGTGTGCCATGAGAAGTTAACGCAGTCATAGATCCAGAGATCATTCAGGTACTTTGTTGTGGCAGATGTGTCTTGGAACCCTCCCCAAAGGATAATGTACTGTTTGAAGCTAACCATGCGATGACCACTTCGTGCTGGCGGTGCCGCAGTCTTACTCTTGCCTTCCATACGCGTCCATTCCCGGTTTGTTGGATCCAATTTCCAGAAGTCATTGTAGTGATAGAATGTTCCCTGCTTTGGAGAGCTGAATTCGCCGCCAAAAAGATAGATGTCTTTTGTGTTGGCTGCGCGGCACCAAGCATGTCCGGATCGAGGAAGTGGCGAGTTTGGGCTGGTCACTTGCTTCCAGGCGTCTTGCTTTATATTGTAGATCATGAGATCGTTGAAGAACTTTGCTGTGGCTCCATTGAAGTACTCGCCTCCGAATAAGAAAACTTCATTCTCGTTTGCCGGGTTAGCTAGGAGGGTGCATGACGTTCGTGCGGATGGCGGTTCAGCAGCGATTTCAGTGATGGCATGGTGTTGCTCTTGTTCTTTTGCATATTGTGCCAGGATCGCGTCAAGATCAACATCCTCCGCATCAGAATCGAGTTCTTGTGTCTTGGATGCAAGCTTTTTATCTTTTTTGCCTGCCTTCTTCTCTTGCTTGGCTGCTTTCGCAGCTTTGGCGGCGGCCTTGCCACCGGATGCTTTCTTCTTGTCCTTGGCCATTTTCAATTCCGAGATTGGAGTCGATCAGATGAGGTGTGCTGTGAAATGTTGTCACGCTTGTGGTTTTGTGGGCTGGCGAACCCCCGCGATTTGCCCCTCAGTACGTAGTTGGAAATTTTTAAACCTCAACTCTGATACTCTGGAGCTGCTCAGCCACTGCGACGATGATAGAAGAAAATAATAATTATGAGTCGATGAATCGTATAACCGAGCTTACCATGCACAAATGTCTGGGTGCATACTGTCTGATGACATATTGTTCATCCCACCAATCATTTGGAGCAGGCATTGCGGAACGTTCAGGCTTATCGATAACATTGTATACATTCACTCCCCACCTTTCTCCTCTCCACGTAAGCAATTCACAATATGATCCAAGCAGCAAAGATTCTCGAGCAGAGGAGCCATCTCATACCTGGTATAGCTCTCTTGGTCTCTCTTCACTCTCCGCTGATAATTGTATATAGGGAAGCTTCGAATTACGGAGCACTTCTTCCAAGTACCCCGTGACTACTGTATGTGGAGTTCTGTTTAGCACGCTAGGAAACGAATCATCTAGACTTCTTCAAGTCATGTATCTAATGACATTCCGAAAGCAAACCCATCCCTGGGAACAATCCAACTCTTCGCCCGCTCAGCCCTAAAAGCCGAGAAGCCCGCAGACTACACGCCTACGTCGCACCTTGAAAAAGCCAAGACACAGCTTCCATGGCTTATCTACCTACAAGGCGGCCCGGGTTTTGAATGCCAGTCACCCCAAAATGTATCTTGGACGCACACGATTCTCGAAAAAGGGTACCAAGTACTGCTGCTCGACCAGCGCGGGACAGGCCTATCAACTGCCATTAGCCAGTCGAGTCTGCAGCTAAGGGGCGACGAGAAAGTGCAGGCAGATTATATGAAGAGCTTCCGAGCAGACAGCATTGTCAAGGACTGTGAGGCTGTGAGGAAAGCATTGACAGCCGATTATCCCGAAGAGAAGAAGAAATGGAGCATCATGGGCCAGAGCTTTGGCGGATTCTGCTGCACGACGTATCTCTCATTCTACCCTGAAGGCGTCAAAGAGGCTTTCTTGTTTGGGGGTCTGCCACCATTGAGAGACAATGCAGACGAAGTTTACGAGCGGCTGTATGCACGTGTCAAGAGCAGAAACGAAGGCTACTATCAGAAATACCCAGAGGATGTGGAGAGAGTCAAACGCATCGTCAAGCTGCTTTCCCGCTTCGGCGATACCACAGTGCGCGTCCAAGGCGGCGAGGGTCACCTCTCTGCACGCCGTTTTCTCCAGCTGGGTATCTACTTCGGCAAACACGGCGGCTTCGACGATGTACACAATTTTGTTCTCCGTGCGGATACGGATCTCACTCAATTTGGCCACTTGACGCGTCCGACTGTGCTTGCGCTCGAAGCAGCACAGAGCTGGGACACGAACATCATTTACGCTCTGCTCCACGAGCCCATCTACTGCCAAGGTCAAGCTGCGAATTGGTCCGCTGAACGCCAGCTCGAACAACACCCCGAGTTCTCTCTCTCTCGCGTTGACTCGGAAGATCCCATCTACTTTACTGGCGAGATGATTTATCCCTTCATGTTCGACTGCTACCCTGAGCTCAAGAAGCTCAAGAAAGTAGGGGAGCTGCTGGCCGCAGAAAAGGACTGGCCAAAACTATACGATGTGGAGCAACTGAAGAAGAACGAAGTGCCGACATTTGCGGCTGTGTACATGGATGATATGTACGTAGACTTCAACTTGAGTATGGAGACGGCCAGCACCATCAAAGGCTGCAAGCCCTTCATAACAAACATGATGTACCACAACGGTATCGGCGCAAAGACGGACGAGGTACTCAAGCAAATCTTCTCGTTGAGAGACGATGTCATAGATTAGTTTTTTTTTTTTTTTTTTTTTTTTTTTTGCAGATACCGCAACTCAGCGCCCCCCCCCCCCTCCTCCACTCGTTAGCTTAGTTCAATACAAACCCTATGGAAAAAAACCTTACTTCTTCATAATCTCTCGTGCTTGCTCCAAATGCGCCTCCAAATCAAAATTCCAGATCCAGTGCATCCGCTTCGAGAAGTTCTCCTCAATCTTGTCCAGATCGTCCCCTAACAACTCAAAATCATACAGCTGTCCTGCTTCATAGCTAGTCGTAACAAGCTTCTGCGTCCTCCCTCTCCTCACCTCATCAAACGCCTTAAACGCGCGTGTAAGCTCTTCCGTGCTGTTGGCATCTTTGAGTAGACCGGAGAGTATATACGCGTCCTCCATGCACATTCCCGCGCCGGCACCCTGATGCGGGGTCGTTGCGTGCGCGGCATCGCCGAGCAGACAGACGCGGCCTTTGGTGTAAGTTTTGCAGGGCGGATGCATGAACAAAGCCCAGATATCTGGGTTTTGCATTGCTCCGATAATCTTTTGGACGTGCGGACCCCAGTCTGCAAAGTCGGCTTCCATGTCTTGTTTGGAGGTTGTGACGACCCATTTTTCAGAGTCCCAGGTCTTGCGGGAGCTGAATGCGACGACTGTGAGGGTTAGCGAGGAGGATTGGGTATACTTGAGGGGAGGGGTGTAAGGGTAAAAATACCGTTCATGATTTGGCCGTGTGAAATGGGGAATGTGAGGAGATGGCCGTGGTAGCCTAGGAACATTTGACTGTTTCTGGCGGCTTCATCGCCGAGTAGCTCGACTGCTTTGTCCATGGGGACCAATCCTCTGTATGCATATTTTCCCGAAAAGACGGCTTTGGAGGCAGGGTTGTCTCTTCCAACGACCCATTTTCTCACCAGAGATTTGATGCCGTCACACCCAATGACGGCGGTATGCTGTGCTGTGGAACCATCGGCAAACTTGAGTACCATATCGCCAGACCCGTCGTCCGCCTCTTCCATGTCGACAAGTCTCTTGTCAAATTTCGCAACATGGTCCGGGATACCTTTGATCAACTCGTCCAGAAAGTGAGCTCTGTACACACCCCCTCGTTCTCCACCGGAGGGCAGAAATATTTCATACAGCGGATCGCCTACCTTCTTGCCCTCACGCACATGACCATCTTTATCCGCCTTTCTGCCATCTCCCACGCGAATGGTAAACCAGGAACTGGTCTTGGACTCATATGCATTTCCAGTCTTGCATTTCAAAAACGCCTGGAAGATCTTTGGCGACATGCGCTCCATGGCGCGTCCTGCATTGGGCCCAAACGCCACGCCAGCGCCGATTTCCCCAAAGTGCGATGCGGCTTCATATATAGTGAGGGGCACGTTGTGTTCCAGGAGGGTAATGGCGAGCGCGAGACCAGATATGCCACCGCCGACTATAGCTAGGGAGTAAGGTTTCGAGGGCGAGTCTGCAGATGCCATGGTCACGAGATGTATGAAGCCAAGGTCGAGGAATTGCCTTCACCAGCGTTTTCACGGTTGAGTCACGAGCCGAAAATAAGCAATTGTAGATGGAGAGAAGCTCAACATAGTGTTGTCCAAGCACCTTGTGCGGCAACCTTTCGGACCGGTACTATTGCCGACGGAGGGGGGTGAGATCAAGGACGTCAACTTAATTTAGTCGTTTGCTGCAGCGCCGGCAATTGCATCGGAAAGACGTCTGTATTGTGGTTGGCTACGAGTGGATCTTGCAGTAGACAACAACGCATTATGCGGCACCAAAACATAGCAGATAGCACCGAGGCAGAGGTGCCTCGTTCCGATGCGGGGTGAAGATCCATGGGTATTCATGCCCATGTGGGGTAGCTGGCGGCTCCGTTTCGGCATTAAGCTGTTGTGATGTCCGCTCTTGATTGCGCCCCAATGGCGGGACAATAAGTAAGTGTCGTCATAATACCAGCAAAAAACTACAGCTAGTCTACCACAAACAGCGTTGAACGTAGTCTTAGTGATTTTGAGCTGTCAGTCTTCACATCAGTGTCTATGTCCGACCATCAAGGTCCGGTGAGTACATGATATTAGTGCCAGCAATTATCTGCAGTGTCGCGGTAGGGGCAACCTTGAAATGAGCATTGTACGCATCCGGCATAGTCCGTCAGCCAACGACACGACATCGATAACTTACTCTCATCGAAGCCCCTTGCTGTAAAAGATTATAGCCACAAAGAACTATTATTTTAAATCCGCTGGAAATTCCAAAACTCGTAAAGGTTTCTCCACATAAAACACACACATATCCACGATCATGTAAGTTTTGAACTCTCCAATATTTTTTGGTGGGGTCTCAACAACGGCTGCCCGCCAATATCTCGATGAAGAGACCTTGTCATCATTGCAAGGGGAATCCCGTTCAAAAGGCGTTGGCACGTAGGAGGGTAGTCTGGGCATTTGGAACGGGCGGGAACGGCTAGGCTTGTAAGTTGGGTATTAACGTACGAGTCTGTAGCCTCGAGTTCCTGTTGATCGTCTGCTGCGAACACAACCTCCGATAAACTCCGATCCGTCCATGGCACCATCATATGCTGCACCGCAGCCTCCCAGCGAGCAAGGCGAAAAGCCAGTGACAGTGCTAGTCACTGGATTCGGTGTATGTTTCAGTCTGTACTTCCAGCCTCCCATATCTCCTCGTCAACCAACCTTGAGCCAAATGATCACGCGACCACCTTTCACTTTCCTCAACCCCAAACTCCTCCCATAATACTAACCCACCCCCCAGCCCTTCCTAACCCGCTTCCCCAAAAACTCCTCCTGGGAAATCGCCTCCACCCTCCCCAGCCTGCTCCCTTCTTCCCCCACCAACAAAACCCCCATCCACATCCATGTCCACCACGAACCCATCCGCGTCGCCTACGCCACCGTCCTCAATCTCGTCCCCAATCTGCTCCCCCCAGGAAACCCCATGTACCCGTCCCCAGATATAATCCTGCACATTGGACTCGCCGCAGGCCGCAACTACTACGCCATCGAGCAAGGCTCACGGAGCCGCGGTTACGGTAACATCGCCGATGTAGATCGCCAGCGCTTCGACGACGACAGCGCTGAAAAGCAATTTCCCGCTTCAAAGTTCCCAAGTACGCTATCGACGAGTTTCGATACCAAGGATGTACTCGCGTGCTGGAAGGAGTCCTTGAAATCTTCATCTCCCTCCTGTTCTTCTTCTGAAACTGCTAGCATAAAGGTCCCAGATGTAAGGATTAGTACTGATGCGGGGAATTTCTTGTGTGGATTTATCTATTATAATAGTCTAGCGCATTACTATAGTATCAAGGAGGATGAGCGGCCCGTCGTCTTTTTGCATGTCCCCGACTTGACGAGTAGTGAGGACAAGATGAAGGAGGGGTGGGAGGTTACGGTTGCGTTGATCAAGGCGCTCGTGGAGAGTAGGCGTAAGGCGGGGGGTGTTATTGTGGATGGGGAGAGACAGAGTCAAGAGGCGCAGGATGGGACAGATGGAGTGCAGACGGATAACAATTTTGCTTAGATTTTACAGGCGCTTTTTTCTTCAATTGCAAGGTATATTTTTCAGGGAGAAGCATTGGGTAACGAGCGCCGATGTAGCGAAGACTGCAGTGCGGTTGCAGGTCCCGGGAATTGGTGATAATATTGGGGATGTCACGTAGGGATAGCATTTAGACAGTACAAAAAAGATTGACATAACGGCAATCAAGGTTTGATCCAAGCTGGTACGGTATCGCGTGACTATACAAGGCTATATCAAGTAATATGCTCATACGATATCATACCAAACTTAAATTGAAGTCGCCGTCTATTCAAGCATGATGTGTAGCCAGACAACATCAGCATCGAAAAAATCAAATGGAAATCGCTTCTGCATTTTGTACCGAAAAATAAGAGGGTAATCGACCTTGAAAGCAATGACTAAAATATCAGCGCTTTCCCCACAATCCCTGCTGAGTCTCCCTAATTCTCCGCTCTTGTTCCTGGATCATCTCTTCGGTCTGGCCATGGCCATTTCCCCTGCTGTCTATCTCCATCGGGTCGTCGGGTTCATCTGCCGGTTGGGGAATACGCGCGTGGGGCGCCCCTCGTCGGGGTTCCGCTGATCGCTGACCGTCCATCATACCCGCAGCACCACCAGCTCGGAGTTGGTTGATAGCACGGATCGTGTCAATAGCAGCGTGAAGTGTGCGCCTAGCATTAAAGTTCTTCTTGACAGTTGGCAACAGATCCTCTTCGCCGTCAGCATTGTTCTTGCCAAGCTCCGTGATCCAGGGATGGGAGAGAGCCTCATGAGCGGTCATGCGTGCTGCAGGATCCACAGTCAAGCATCGACGAATGAACTCGCGCGCTGTGAGTGAGACGCCTCGCCAGTATTCTAGAGGGGTAAAAGAATAATCGGCAACCAATATGGCTTGCATCTCTTCAAGGTTCGAGTCGCGGTCGAAGGGAGTATAGCCACAAAGCAGAAAATACGTAATAACACCAATGGCCCAAATGTCGCTATAAGTTGGTCAGTGGTGGATTTTTCACAGAGCCGTTTTGTTCTTACACTGGCTTGCCATGACCCGTCTTCCTGAAAATCTCAGGCGCCATGTAGCCTGGCGTACCGCAGGTTGTTGTGAGGACGTGGAATTGCTCCTCGTCCATGATACGAGAAAGTCCGAAATCGGCGATAAGCAAATCGGCATTGTCCTCTGGTGTTCGGAACAGCAAGTTCTCCGGCTTCAAATCTCGGTGCACAATACCGTGGTCGTGGAGATATGCGACTGCCGAGAGAGTAGCCCTGATCAGGTCGCCGGCGTCGGATTCGTAGTAGTTTCCCTTACGACAGATGCGGTCGAAGAGCTCGCCTCCAAGCGCAAGGTCGGTGACCAGATAGACTGATTGTGTGTTAGCAGAGGATACAGCGCCGAGGGAGTTGAAACAAACGGTTGTTCATCGTCTCAAAGTAGTCGACGAGTGTAAGGATATTCCTGTGGCCCATGGAAACTCTCTTCAATACTGCGATCTCGTTCCTGACCTGGCACGTGTCAGCGAATGCGCCCTCTAGTCTACAGTTATTCAACCCACCATGTGTTCTCGGCCGGCCATAAGCCTCTTGTTGATGACCTTTGCGGCATAGTATCGCCCTGTATCGATGTGCACACACTCCTTGACGACTGAGTAGCTGCCCGCACCCAGAGTCTTGCCCGTCTTGTATCTGCAAGGCTGGACCTGGGGTGTTTGTGGTGCCTGTGCCCCAGACCCACCGTTGGAAGTCTTGGTGGCCATGTTTGCGCTTTAGTCGGTGTTTGAAGTGTGCGACTGACAAATTTATTGTAGAACGGTGCGAGGGGGCGGTTGGGTGTTGAGGTCTTGGGCTGAGTATCGACTGTTGTAACGAAGGTTTGGTAGGTGAAGCGTCGGCGTGCCCGATGGGCTTGCTATTCAATGCAGATAGCCCTGTGATGCGCGCGGCGGGGGGCCTTTTTTCTTGCAGTGAGATTCGATGGTATTTACTGCAATGACGGTGTCTCCTATCGAGGGTATATAGTCGAATATGAATGAAGCAGACCAGCAGCTGAAAAACAAGCTTGTCGTAATGGGCGACGGGGCCTTGCTGGGAGCTTGTAAGGAGGGGTCCACACCGAGTCCCCCACCACGATTCAACCCCGGTCACTGCCAAGACAACCCACATCTTGATTGGCAGCCAGGCCTACACACCAGCCGCACTGCTGACCCTTGTAGCGAGAATAGTGTACCATAGACGTTTTACACATTATATACATTACATGCATGCAAGCCGCGGCGTTGCGACAACCAGATTTCTATGTATTTATGTTTATCTAGTGTTCTCTACTTTCTACCATGAACAGTCGTAGCGTCAGGTGCGTCTGACAGCTAAACAGAATGCGAATATTGTTGGGCAGAGAATGTACACATCCTCAATGCCTTACGACTTGACGAGCAAGCTGTTGCAGTCCATGTCCTCCGGCTGCTGGAGACCCATGACTGCAAGAACCGTAGGCGCTACATCACCCAATACACCATCAGTCTTCTTCAGACTCCAGCCCTCAGGTGCGTTGGCCATGACAAACGGCACTTTGTTGGTTGTGTGCGAAGTCTTGGGTGTGCCCTCTTCAGTAAGCATCTCCTCGGCGTTACTGTTAATCGGTCAGCTTCTTTCTTCTTCATGCTAAACAGAATGCTCCAACTTACCCGTGGTCGGCAGTAACAAACAAGACGTATCCACTCTCCTTGCACTGGTCGTACACCTTCTTAATGGCCTTGTCCGTCTCCGTGCACGCCTCAATGGCTGCCTTGTATACTCCAGTGTGGCCAACCATGTCTGGTGGGGCGAAGTTGTTCATGAGGAACTCAAACTTGCCAGTTCGGATACGCTCGCAGAGCTTGTCGGCAACCGCCATTGCGCTCATCTTGGGCTCCAGATCGTACGTAGCCACCTTGGGCGATGGCACCATCTCGCGCTCCTCGTTCTCGAATTGCTTTTCGACGCCGCCGTTGAAGAAAAAGGTGACGTGAGCATACTTCTCCGTCTCTGCAACGTGGCACTGCTTCACGCCTTGCTTGCCCAGTGTCTCGGCAAGAACATCTGTCATACGCTGAGGCTCAAAGGCAACGTTGAATGTGTATTTAGGGTTGTATGATGTCATGGTGGTGAGGTGGACGTTCTTGGGGTATGGGAAATCGGGCTTCGGCGAGCGGTCGACATCGCCCAGCAGTTGGGTGATCTCACGCACACGATCCGAACGGTAGTTGAAGAAGAAGACCGTGTCGTCATCTAGACGGACAAATCAGCAAGAGGACATGTAGGTACTCCATCTAGTCACTTACCTTGTATTCTCCGCTCCTTCCCTCCCACAATGATGGGCTTCAAGAACTCGTCGTTTTCGCCCTTTTCGTAGCGCTCCTTGATAGTAGCCACTGGATCGCTGCTTTCTTCGCCCTCTCCGGTAACAAGACCCTTCATTCCCAGTTCGACACGGTCCCAGCGCTTGTCACGGTCCATGATGTAGTAACGACCGACCACTGTTGCGATCTCGCCGAGACCAATCTCCTTGGTCGCCTTGAGCAGAGTCTCCATGTACCCCACAGCCGACTTGGGGTCAGTGTCTCGGCCATCTCCAAAAAAGTGGATGTATGCCTTGGGGACGCCCTGCTGCTTTGCAACCTTGAGGAGAGCAATGAGGTGGTCCATGTGGGAGTGTACGCCTCCGTCCGAAACGAGACCGCAGAAGTGCAGCCTTCCGTTTCCGTCAATGGCGCGCTGGAACGACTTCTTGATGTTTCCGACGTCCTTGAGTTTGTCGTTCTTGATGGTCTGGCCAATCCTGACAGAGTCCTGCCATACAACGCGTCCCGCGCCGATGTTCAAGTGGCCGACTTCGCTGTTGCCCATCAGGCCCTCGGGAAGACCGACTGCGAGGGACGAGGCTTCCAACTCGGTGTATCCCTGTGCGGTTTTCGAGCCTTGTCGCGCAAACTCGTCCATTGTAGGGGTGTCTGCTGCAAGAATGGCATCGCCATCTTTGCGCGACTTCTCAGTCGCAACACCCCAGCCGTCAATGACGATGAGGACGGCCTTTTGGTCGACCTTGGCCATGATTGCGAATTAACCAGGAAACTTGGTATAAAGGAGGACGGGGAACCCAAAAACAAAGTTGGATAAGGGGGATTGAATGGCGCGAAGGAAAAGGCGTTGAATTTAGTTGTCGGCGGAGGGGCAGGGTTGGTGGGGCTAAGTCGGCCTTGGAGTTTGGAAAAAGCATAGGCGACCAACGTCACCCCATCTCCCTCTCGCAGCAACCAATGCAATAGCCCCCCACAACCCGCGGCCGGAATCCCGTCTCGACCTCCCTCCAGTGCGCGACACGATTCGCGCAGATCCGGTGAATACTGCGATCGCCAGAAAACACGTGTTGTCAGAGAAAGCCACTGCGATAGTTGGAGCAAGTAAACTCTATCCAATCAGCGGCCTCGGTCAAGCCATCACCTGTGTCCGGTCAACACCACGCTAGTAGACACGTCCATCCGGATAATACTCTTGGAAATCCGTAGACATGTCAGCAGCAGCGACGCCCTACGCCCCTGCATCGGCGCGAGCCTCAGTCCCGCCCACAGGCGCAGCGACGCCGGCCCATCCACCCCCGGCTTCCGCAACCACACCGGCACCCCCTGCGCCCTCTGCCTTTGACGTCCTGCCCGACCTCCATAAGCTGCTCAAGCGCATCCTCGAGACATCAGCTCAGCCACCAGCCGCTACTCCCACACCCGCGCAGCTTTCGCCAGACGGGCCTCTGGAAATACAGCATGTCGCTACGGCTGCAAACGATGTCCGGCTGAAGATACAAAAGGCGAGACGCGCCGTCTTGTCGTTGCCAGATATCGATCGCTCGTTGCAGGACCAGGAAGAAGAGATTGAAGATCTTGAGGAACGGATCGCTCAGCTCAAGGCTTCCCTGAGGGAGCTCGGTCAATCGACTGCTTCAGAGGATCGAGATGGGGACCAGAGTATGACTGGGTGAGATGCCGCCGGAACCACGATTGATCCATCCTAGGACCGATATCTGTCGATTATATGGATGCGCTTGATCTAGCACTTACCCAGAACTCGTGGTATGTGGACATGAACATAGGCAATGTGCCTGGTAGAGCCAGTACTAACGTGTTGGCTAGATATAGAATGCCCCTCATGAACAACGAGTGGTTCCCAAGAGGCCCTTCCGTTAGCTGAAATCAGCAAGAAACAACATCTAAGCTCTTGCATAATGCACCTACGCGTTTAGTGTATCGGTGATTGACACTCTTGTCGTAGCCTTAGGTGGAAGAAGACAACTTTAATTTAGACGTCCCTATGCACCAGGCGATTCGTTCTCCATAAACTCAATCAATTTGCTTGGAGGAGGCTATTCCAGCCAAATGTATGATATAGAAGAAGTTCGAACATAGAAAAGTGGTAGAAGAGGAAAGAGCATGAATGGTAGAATTGGTAGTCAATGTTCCGTAGACATCAACAAACGCAACGCACACATCACAATTGTGATCACTAGCATACACCTCAAGATTGAATCAAAGTTTTATTACTTCATATGGGTATGTCACCACTACTCATCCAGCATAATTTTACTCCAAACACCCCAAGAACACCCATTAGACTCATGTCCTTACGAACGCGTAGGCAGATATGCACCACCCGCAAGCACCAAGTTCATCCTAGTAAACTGGACCTTGTACACAGGGCTATCCTTTGTAGGAAACACGCTGATTTGATCCGCCGACACACCCGTCTCCTTAGCCGCCTTCTTCCCTGTAACCGTCGTGCCGCTGGCGCCCTTCGTCGTCATCGCGCCATCTGTCTTAGCAGCGACACCGTCGGCAGCCTTGTCGCTAGTTTCCTGTAGTACGTCCCAGACACGAACTGTCTTATCGGCGCCCGCAGAGACAAGGACGCTTGACTCCACACTCCAGGAGAGAGACCAGATACCGCCTTTGCCATGGCCACGCATGCGCTTGCGCCTGCGGCCTGTTTCGAGGGTCCATAGGATGATGTTGCCGGCGTCGTCTGCGGATGCGAGCGTCTTTCCGTCTGGGGAGCAGGATATAGCTGTGACGTTGCCGGTGTGGCCGGTAAAAAGACGCAGACAGTTACCGCCGGCGATGTGCCACATGCGGACGGTGCGGTCACACGAGCCTGTGAAGACATAGAGATTATTAGGGTGGAAAGCGACGCAGTCGACGTCGTTGTCATGACCAACGTAGATGCGAAGAGGTTCAATATGGTCGGTCGACCACAGACGCGCGGTGCGGTCGTTTGAACCTGTGAGGAAGTAGTGGCCATAAGGTCCCCATTGAAGATCCCAGATGGGGTTATCGTGCCCACGGTACGCAACAAGGCAAGTGTACGTATCCAAAGACCACAGGCGGACTGTCTTATCTTCTGAGCATGAGAGGAGGCATTCAGAGTTTGTAGGAGGGCCAGAAGGATACGGGTTGGCGGTAGAGGGGGAGAAGGCAACCGCGTAGACAGGACCTGAGTGGCCGATCAATCGCCTAGAAGATGACGGCTGCATGTCTGGACTATCATTTGGTGAAGTGAGAGGGCTACCGTCCATGGACCAGACGCGGATGTACGACTCGCTCATGCCGGCAGCGACGAGTTTGTTGTCCCCAGAAAAATCTATGCAGTTAATGCTACTATGCTGTTAGTAGTGCATCTCATAGTCTCCAAACTAAACAACCTACCTGTCGTATGTGTTATGGAAGGTGTACATGGTAACGCTGACAGCAGGTCCGACTCCGCCGGTTCTTCCCTCCATCTTGTATCGATCTCGGTGCTCAATAATCTTTTGGACCTCCATAGAGACATCACGGGCGAGTGACGGGGGTAAAGGGACGAACTCGCGCGAGGGTCCATCCTCTGTCGGCTCCCGCTTGATACGTTGCTCAAACTCATCCAGCAAACTTGGTTGGCCTGGCCTTGGCGCAGCTTTGGCATCTTCCTCTTGCAGAGCAGCACGGACATCGTCCTGTAGTTCCGCCTCCTGGGGGTACGCGCCCAGTTGCAGTCTTATTCGCGCAGCATCCGCCTCTGGGTCATGGCGCGCTGTGAGAGGGTGACCGGGGGCGTGTCCTGGGATGCCCTCGTCCTCTGCAGGGAGTTCATCGTCGCCATGTCCGCTAGCAAGAATCGCCGCTATGCTCTTCTCTGCGGTCGCCGTCCTGTCAACTGTGACAATATTAAGATGTTCACGAATGACATCTATTATTGTCGACCCGCCGTCAAAGTGCTTAGATTCAAGGAATTGGATGAGGTTGAAGAACGGCATTGTCGTCAACGTTATTCGGTACTTGTTGTCGAGGTAAAGTTTTGCTATTCTGCTCTCCTGCAAATGAGACTGTAACCGCACTTGACGGAGCGTCTTGACATCCTCGTCGTGGTCGCGCTCAAACAAGCCCTGGTACGCAGCAAAGAATGTCTCTGCGTCTTTGGTATAAAAGTCGCGCACCAAGTCTAAGAAGGAATAGACAAAAACGGGCCATAACAGCTTCCGCAGCTCGGGTCTATACAGATCCAGGTTGTCCTCTGTATATTTGCGCAGAAGCTCGAATGCCTTTGTGTATTTTGCGCCACCGGCTTCGGTACTCTGAGCGGTAAGAGGCTGGCCGTTGGTTTGTGGTTCAGACTCCTTGCGGAGCATCGCTTCGGTGCGGACATAGCCCTTCTTTGAGAGATATTCCAATACCTTTGGTAGACGTCAGCAATCACGACTTGAACATGCAAAGAAGGCACTCGCTTTATCGAGGGAATTAGTAGGAATTGTGCGGTTTTGACTATACGCAAGGCCAATGCTAGTTGACGACTCTGATGCGCCGCTCATGATGTGCGACGAAATGCGCGAAGTGAAAGCCTGCTGATTTGGGCAAACTGAATTATAATAAGTTTACCTTACCCCAAGGTCGCGCTAAGCCCAAGACCAAGCCTATGAGGTAAAGGCACAGCATAGATGAGTGTATAGTGTCAATGAGCAAAGGCGACGGCGCAACCCCACAACAAACGCAATGTGTTCATCCATCATGGCCGCACATCCATGCGACAGTGTACCGAAGGCAAGAAGAAGAGGGGCAGGGAGTAAGGGGAGGCGTCACCTACGATTTGATTGAGATTCTGCTGTGACTGCGGTCCTGACGAGCCTGGCGGTGGAGGGCCACCCTGTGGCGGCATGGCTGCATGCGGTGGCAGACCTGCACTTGGAGGCCCATTTCCTACACTCATAGCCCTTACAGGCCCGGGCCCTTGGGGGGGCCCTGACATGGCTGCGTGATTCCTTCTCTTCTATGCTGGCGCGCAGCTCTTCCTTCGCTCCGTTGTGCTCCAGTTGCAGTCGCAATGGTCGTCAATAGTCGTATGCGGGGCTTGATTGTCGCTTCTTAGTCGCTGGGCTGTTTCGAGTGTATTGACGCGTAAAGATTGATTCTCGGCGGGCCGATCGCGTCTGGAGCATACCAGGACGTCACCTGGGCGGGCCGTGTTGCGGAGTGCAGGACGGAGGTGAGGTTCGCTTCCTAGGCTGCCAAGATGTGGCGGTGCGAATGTGGGGCTTGAGCTTCCCCGGCTCCAACTACTCTTTGACATTACAACCACACACAGCCCCATCTGGCGTCAAGCTTGCAGATAGCCCGCCATGTCTGCTCAAGCCGATAATGCTACTTCTACTGAAAAGACATCAGAGGAACCAAAGACTTATCGTCAGATCGCCGCTGAACATATCGATACCCTCAATGAAATCAACCATCAAATTCCCAAACTGCTCAAATACTTCGCAACCGCCCTGTCCCAGCTGACCAACGACCCGATTCCTTTTCAGCATGACGCTATGCAATGCGAACCTGGAACCCTAGAAGCGCGCAAGGAAGCCTTCCGCATCAATGCCCTTTTCTGTGGTACATCATGTGAAATTATCAGGCAAGAGTTGGTGAAGCAGATCAATGCTCTCGAGAGGTACAAGGTCATACCGAAAAGTCACCCCAAGTTTGCCGTCACTCAGAGCCAAGCGCGCAAAGGGAAGGAAGAGGAAAGTGAGGTTGTAGATCCAGAGAAGGATGTCAAGAACGGTGGATATGGCGACTTTGACGTAGGCGTGCTGAACGCAAGGGCAAGCTCTGGTCAGGTTGATGCTGAGGATGTACTGGACCGGGCTAGGGCAATATTACAAGAGTTGCAAAAGCGGACTGAAGGAGCGACCAGTGCCGACGACATGGTTATTGACGAGTGAGAATATCAAGACTGTGTCTGAGAGACGTATTCTCAGAGAAACTCATAATCAGTACACGTCTCGCGACCAGGATCCGTACAGGCTTAATTCCACGAACGTCGAGCCCCAAACGTTTGTAATTGTTGCAACCCACGAAGGAATGTGGCAAAACTGGACAAACGTATGACCTCTGAACGTGGATAATGCGTGGAAGAAAAGCGGCCTCATTCATGTCACCAAGTCCGGTCTAGACTCAGGGGCTGACTGCCCAGCTCCATATCCAATGTCATACCACACCTTGAATCCGCAGTCGTCTCTTTAAGGTAGCACGTAGCAGACTTGAATCCCTTTACATTGAATGGGGCGTTTTGGTCACATAATGTACAATTCTGGTAACCTCCGATCTGACGGTACCTTTCGCGCATTCCCAAATGTTTCTCAGGATGTCAAAGCTTGCTTCATGACCGCGATGTCATCCGGCGTGGTACGACAACATCCTCCAATCAACCCCGCGCCAGCGTCCCTCCACTCTTCTGTTTTCTTTGCCAGCGTCGAGCCTTCTGTTCGCTTCCCCTCCCATTCTCTCGCTTTTGCGTTCCACTGCTCGCCAGAATTTGGATATACCACCATTGTCCCCTCCTTCACATGCGGTTTCAATTCCTGGAGAGCAACGAGTGCGACATCGTCAGGGACGCAGTTGAATCCCAAAGAAACAACTTGCTCCACACCTTTGAAAAGAGCAGCAATCTCCGACAAGGGTGTTCCGTCGCTGATATGGCTACCATCTCGAAGTGTGAAACTGAACCAGGCTTCTGAAGAAGGAAACTCAGAGGTAAGGAGGTCGATGAGCGCTTCTGTCTCGGCCTTTGATGGGATTGTCTCGCATGCCAGAATATCCACACCGGCTTCGACAAGCGCTTGGATGCGTCCACGGTGGAAGTCCTTCATCGTTTCCTTTGGCACGACGTAGTCCCCTCGATACTCAGAACCGTCGGCCAGGAACGCACCATATGGCCCTACGCTTCCCGCGACAAATAATTTATCTCCAACCTCTGCATTAACCTCGGTGATGTATTGGCTTCTGGCTTCCTGAGCAAGTTCCACGCTCTTTTTGACCACATTCTTGGCATCCTGCTTGCTCAATCCTAGATGTTTGACTAGACCGTCAAGGGAAGCTTGATACGATGCAGTAATTGCCACGTTCGCGCCTGCACGGTAGTAGTCTAGATGGGTCTTCTTGATGAGTGAGGGGTTGGCAATTAGAATTTCAGCGGACCATAACGCCCCGGAAATGTTTGCCCCCAATGTTTCCAGATAGGTTGCGAGCGCACCATCCAATATGATTGGCATGCCTTCGGCAATCAAGTGCGAGACCTTGAGTCGGGATTGACCTTGATTTGTCATTTTGGCCAGTAACAAAAATCTAGGCCTTTTGGAGAAGGAGAATTGTGTTGTAAGACGGATGTTGGGGGAACTCTGAATTCATTCAATCTAGTGCGATCGGCGGCGGTCGGAACGGTTATTGGTTACTTAGGTCTTCCCCACTGCCGGTAAGAAGCTTTGCTTCCAAAAATCGGAAATAGATGCTGTCTATCTTGCTGAGTCATATGTATTGCGCCATCGCCTAAGTGGCTGTATTCTACTGCCAGGAAAATGTATCCGGTCTAGCGGTGAATGTGAGGGGTAGAACCGACCATCCTATGTGGGGCCGTCGGTTGACGCGTTGGGGAATATCGCGACATATGCTTTGCGAACGCGACACATAATTATTTCAAATATCAGCGCGCCCATTCTCTTCTTCTATGTGCCGCTGACACTGGAAGCTTCGGGATATTGATCTGCGCCTGGCTCAGCAGTATTTTTTAATCGCCCCAATAGCTCTTTGGCTTACTTTGAAACAGTTGGGTGGCAACGGCCAACCACCAAGATGGCGCGTTCCTTTACATCTTCCGGCCTGGTCTATCAAGAGACAATGGCATCCGTCCGTTCAATGGTGCCCAAATGGACAACCGATTCCCGGGGTAAGCGAGTCGATCCTGCCAAGTTTCAACATCCACGTTGTGATAGTCTGCATTCCATGGCACTCCGTGCATGCATCTGGAATATCCACAACATGGATCCCGGCGCTCTACAATGGCTTGGATGGTGGTACGCAAGTCGGCTTTATATCCACCTCAAATCAACGTGCGTCACGGATCTCATGAACAGCCTCAATCGTACAATGATTGACCTACAGACAGAGATACGCTTACCTTCCATGCATGGAACGTGTTCAGAAAAGCATACCCGGAAGAAGTCGATCACCATGTGACGTTCCGAGTCCAGGACCGGGATCTCGCATCAATGCAGTACCTTTCTGTGGTTGATCGTCTATCTAAACTCGATGTTAGCATGCTTACCTTTCTTTGCGTACGCACTCTCAATCTTTCGATTGATCATCTTATTGCACTCACCAAGATCCAAAATCTGGCGGTACTTGTGCTCGAAAATGGGACGAACTCTTGGCACAATACCACGCAAAAGCCAACCGTCGACATGATACGGGACTGGGGCCGTAGCGTTGGTGAAAGTGGCTCATTTACGAAGCTAAGGGCACTTGTGTTGAGTGGATATGACATATCGCATATCAACTCTGTTCTCAAGAGCATCTCTTCGTTTCCCGCCTTGAACCTCTTTGGAGTCGATGGTTTGTTCATCCAATCCGGAGTTGACTGTTGGGGAGATTGGACCAACCATCTTCCGAAATGGTAATCAAGTGCACCAAATATTGATGACATTGTTATTAACGTGAATTGAAACAGCACAAAGTCTAGCAAACTATCACCGGAAACTATTTGGGAAACCAACACAACTACCACAGCATCCAAGATGCGCCAGCTTTACCAATTCTCACTGGAAATTGCCCAATCGGAAGCAGCCACAATGTCTGCCGGCCGATCCATTTCTATGTTGTATCTCCAGGCCCGAGAGGCCGTTCCCAGATGCCACACTGAATGGTTCCACCGAGAGTTGCAAGACGTATCTGATACAAAGACCAAGCGTGCACAAGATGAAGAGCACCGAGATCGAAGAGAGACCTATGGCAAAAAGCGGAAGATTCGAGATAAGAATAAGGTTGGCATGGAGTCTCTTCTCGGAAGTTTCATGTAGTCAGAAGGCTTTATGGAAAGTTCCATACAGGTCAGACAACACGATTCTAAGCTCACTATGTATCCGCTCATAATAGACATAGCTTTGCACACGACGCGACTAAGCATCGCGCTCCTGTAAAGCATTGGTAACTATCGAACTACGCACTATCGAAGCGAATATGTCTACGCGTTGTGCGAAACGAATATTTAGTCTTGCACATTGAAATACATAAGACGCATGGCACTGCTGGTTATCTTCAAAGGCAGTGAGACCCGGTCTTGAAATATGAATTTCCTCAGTTTTCGAACTCCGCCAGGGATTGTCCAAGTGTCTGCTTCGGGGGAACCAATAGCAGATGTGTAGAGCTTCTCAGTAAGAAGCAGAGGGCTGCACGGAATCTGATATCATCCCTTTGGGTTATAGCCCACCGAAGAGAATGGCCACATCTATCGTTCATCTCTGCCCCCAAGCAAAGGCTCTGCATTTTAGTAGTCGCGTAGGGTTAGGATCAGTCAACGAATCAAGGACCTTCCATTCCAGCTCTAATTTTGACGGGAGAAAAATTGCCTACATGGTTCACATCGTCTGGAGATTCGAATAGACAATCATTTCACTCGCGATCAAAGATATGTCACGTGACATGCTGTGCTTTCTCTCATCATTCTGGTGACTTCATCATGCTACCAAGGATGTGCATACAAAGATGCTTCCCATCGAAGCTCCAGATCCAGGTACGCACCCGAACCTGCCTACTCTTTCAACGTAGGGCAGTACGCTTGTTGTTGACGGCAGCGCACTTTCCTTACACCCAACTCAACACAACGCACTTGCTTCAGTTACCTGTATCTTGGCGTCATTTCTTCGCCCATAAATATTGACCTCAGCACTCATTTTCTCTTCTTTCTGCACCGACTTCCTACACTCGTTACCGCCCATCCATCCGCCCCCAGCAATCGGCTCAGGTCTTTTGGTCTTTTGCTATCGTTGCCCACCAACTCCACCTTCTCAACCCCTGTCGCCCCCCAGCTACTCTCTTCGTCGTCATGAAGTTGGTCCAGCTCATCACTCTCTTTGGAGGTGCTGCACTTGCAGTCCAGTTTCTTGTAGCTCCTCGTAAGTACACTTCAGCAACACTGCCTTGCAAGCAGCCACTTCATCAGACCTTCACTTCCTCCTTTCAGATCATCACACTTCTGATTCATAATGCAATATATCTGACATGCCGACAGATGGTCAGCGTGCCCTGAACGACACCCACTCCACGGTTGTCATGGTCACGTCCACGCACCTGGTCTCCGAGATCTGCACCGATGTTGCGAGATGCCCTCCTTATACCACCGAGGTCCAGACCTCTGTCATTCACGTCACCGACACGACCACGGTCTGCCTTCTCTCTTCGACGCCTTCTGGATACATGCCTCCGGTTTCTGCTACTACAACTCTGCCAGCTACCAGCTCAGTCTATCCCACGGAGTCAAGAATCTCGGTTAGCATCATACCTGGTTCTTACATCTCTATGTATCCGAGTTTCAGCGTCTCTCCTCAGACCAGCGTCTTGACTACAGAGGTCACTTCTTCAAGTGTTTACGTGCTACCGTCCATCCCACCTTCTCAGCCGTCCGTATCAGTCAGCCACGGTCCCACCCCCAAGCCGAGTGTATCAATCTCATACACGGCTACAAGCACTCCAGTGATAAGCATCTCTAGTGCAACTTCGTTGATCTCAATCACAGACACTGTTGGTTCCTCATACCCGGTATCTTCGGTAGGTTCGAGCTCTGCTGGCTATTCAAGTGCGTCCGTCTCGCCTCCTACCGTCTCGCCTCCTACCGTCTCGGTAGTCCCATCGTACGCAGTCTCTAGCTCGGTTGCTACTCATAGTTCGACGGCGGTCTCTCACTCATACCCTGGTCCCAACACTCCCAGTAGCTTAGCAGGTACCTCGACGACTGATTTCGTCCCGGTCCCTACCTATGTCTTTGATACCACTTCAACGCCAGGCTATGTTCTGTCTTATACAGCCACACCATCGAGCAGCAATACCAACACACTATCTGCTTCTTCTACAGCATCATACCCTGGGGCTAACTTTGTGCGTTCATCTTCGGGAGAGTACGTTTTTTCAACAGGCAGCACCGTTGTGCCAATTTCTCCCACAGTTCCTTCACCGACGTGGCCATCCTCGAGCGGGTATACGATACCATCTGGCTCTCTCAGCCCTTGGTCACCGACATACCCCAGCTCCACCGTACGCGAGAGCACGAATGTGATTACTAGCTATCATGTGCATCTGTCCACATCCTATATTACTGCATCGGCTTCTTCTAGTGGTCCCAACAACCACACCGAGACCAGCGCTCAGACTGTGCCTACATATGTTCCTTCGGGAATCTCCGCTGGCCCCTCTGGATCTGAGTAAGTCCTTCAGAGCCACTCTGCATCATGTTCACACTTGCTTACTCTCCAACTAGTTATCCATACCCCTACGCCAGCGCAAACGGATCGATTATTGGCCCTTCGCCCAGTTACATGGAGGTTCCATTCAACACAGGACATCGCATTGGCGCTAGGAGATGGTGTGGCGCACTCGTTATCATGATTCTCTGCATTACCAGCTGGGCATAGGCCGACCAAGTGACGTGTTCACATAGTCTCACACATGATGAGGAAGGTATGTTTTTGTGATGGGGGTCGGCCTGATGGGATATTCTTGCATCACCTAAGACGCGTATTCTAGAGCAGCCCGGCTCTATACACATAGCGAGGAGGTGCTCTTAGGGGTAACGGGACAGAGGCATAATCTTTCTCGGGATTGTTCTTTAGCTTGACAGAAGTTTTCGCAGATATCTTAGCAGTTAAGGTAGCCGCCATCAGAGTAGCACGTCATCTACAATGCAATTACTAAGGCTATTGCAGACTGTATGTGATGCTTTGTGATTGCGATTGTGGGTCTCGAGAAAGAGTGAGATTTGTTGTCTTGCTACGATGATGAACGTCATGGCTGGATGTTGACAGCAGTTAGGACATCTTGCAAGGAGACACCCTTTTCCTCCGGCACTATGTTGGCCCATACGTGATCGGAGATACGTTTATCCTCTGGGATGATGCTAAAATGAGGACTCGGCTCAGCCTTGAGCCACTTGAAGTCATCAATCTGGTCCCACAGATTCGGCGATTCCGATATCTGAGGTGTAACCTATCTACTGGTCAGTTTCTGAATCAAACCACCAAAAAAAACTCTCTCCTTTTGTGATTCTTTTCACAAGGTGAAAACTTACATAACACCCCGGCAACGGCGCAAACCTCAGTCCCTCGCAATCCTCGAAAATCGGACGACTCGCACTGTGCAAATAGATATCCACATTTTTACTATCGTGCATGCGGAACTGGCGGCACGACATGACGAGTACGCTATTTGTCACGTGCGTAATGTGGATGGGGCCTGCGACGTGGCCGCAGAGTATGAGGCTATTTTTGATGTTGCGGAGGTAGAGGGTTGCGAAGGGTGTTTTGCTCGTGGTGAGGTTGACGATGCAGTTGACCAGGTGGGATACTGTGGGCGAAGTTTTGGGCGAGGGGGTTGAAGCGAGAGTTATGCGGGTTGAGGATTTGTGGGTGAGGTCGGATGGGGTGTCGTCTTGCTGTTGTGATGGTGGTGGTGGGGTCAAAGTACTAGCTGGTTCTTTTGCGGGTGCTGAGATGCTAGATGATACTTTTGCTTCTTTCCTTTTGTTTTTGAAGCTGAATTTCTTGGGGGGGTCAAAGGCGTTTCTTATGGTTTGGAGCTTTTCGGAGAGGGACTTGATGGTCTATTTTGTATGCGTCGACGTGTCAGCTTCTTTGTACAGTGTTTGCCCATCTTGTTTTCTATTCTGCTTTTGTTTCTTTTCACAAATTGAGATTTTCATACCTCGCTATATGTTCGCTGGTCATACGCAGGCAGATAACTAGACGCGTCCATGACATCGTGCGATAGGCGGTCTATGCCCGCCAGACACTGCTCTATGGCTTCGTTGCGCTCATGACTTGCAGTTGGTATGTCCGGAAGGGAAGAAATTTGGGCCTCAAGTGCTGCGTTGGGATGTTAGGGGTGTTGCAAAGAGTGTATGGCAGCGTCAGTCCTACATGCGACATCATCTTGAAATTTGCGGTAAAAGGTTTCTTTGAGGTTGGTTTCGGACATTGTGGGAGGGTTGATGCCGATGATGTTTGTATGAAGGAACGGTGTCTTTAGGAAGAAGGTGGCAGGGTGAAAACCAGATTAAATTAATTAGGCAGCGAGTGTTAGTGATAGAGATAGTGTGAGGGTGTCAATGGATGAGATGGTGGGGCAGTACACGGATCGCGTTGGGAAAGAACATGATGTAGAACATATCAAAGTTAGGACGAATTTGATATGCAAGATATCACTTGGAAATAGAACATATTAGATTACAAGCAGTGGCTTGAATACTAGCTTGCAGTACATGCATTGCAAGTGACAGGAGGGAACGCGTGGGATGGGAGCTACCCCGCGTTCCATCCAATAGCGTTTCGCGCATTATCCGACGTAGGACAAGGCGGGCATGGTTAGTGGAGCAACGCAGACATACATGCTAATACAAAATTTAGAAGTCGGATAGTTCGACAATGCCTCAATTGCTAACGTAGTATGTACACAAACCAGACGCAGCCCGAATCTTGGCAATCGGGTATTTTGAACCTGTAAACTCAAAAGAAAAAGACGAGGGTGCTTCTAAGCCTACTGCTGGGCTGCCTTGACATCAATGCCGTACTTTTCTAGCAATCGCTGCCGCCTCCGCTCCTCGTAGCCGGGGCCGTAGATTCCTGGTAGAGTTAGTTTTACGATGCGTAGATGTTGGCTGGCGTGCATCATACCTCGTCCCTCGCCCAGCTGCTCCAGCGTCTCGGACAGTGGCCGCCTGCGCAGCTTCTTCAGCTCCTCCCTGCGCTCAACCTCGCCATCGTCGTCGACCTGCTCTCTGATGTCCCCGACGCCTCGGAGGCCGTTGGTGTATCGGAACGCGGTGAGGGCGGTCGAGGTTACGGCTCCGGCACCGAGCATAAAGGGAAGACTTCGCCCTGGGACGAGTTAGCGTGATAGCGGTCATATGGACTGGCTGTGCGTACTGCCAACACCCAGAGCACATCCAGCGGCGAAACCAGCAATGGCCTCGCTGTAGCAGTCGTCCTTGCGTCGCAGGTTGCTAGTCGCGTCGAGGGTGAATTGGTAGGTAGCTCCGACACCGGCTGCAGGTCAATTAGCTGCGCTGAGCAGGCGAAAGGGCAATTGAGCGGCTACGGACCGTACAGGGCAATGATGCCACCCGAGCGGGTGAGGATACCCATGGCGCCGACATTCTGCTTGCGAAGAGTGTTCTGGACTCCGGCCACAACGGCGCCGACGGCGGTTGTCTGGATCATGGTGCTCATGGTGTTTGCGAGGGCATCGCGGGGGTGGAAGGAGGCGTCGTGGGCGGCCATGGCGGGCAGAATGGGGCGTCGGTGTCGTCGTCGTCGAAGCTCTCACTATGGCGATGTCAATGTCTCTGGTGTTGCAGGCGGCGGGCGGACCTAAGCGTCTTGGCACCGGGCGCCAGGGCTCCCCGGCAGCGGGCACTGCATCATCGTGCGCGCCAGGTCGGTTGGCAGTGTCGCAGCATCGTGAGGGCATGACAGGCAATGGCTGCCTGTGCTGCTCGTGTCTACCATTCCCGGAACTCCCAGTAGGCCCATCGTGCCCTTGTGTGTTTCTGCTGGGCAACCGCCACCTACAATGCTTACCTGATGAACCATTTATCCACGCCTCTTCTTGCTTGCTTGCTCGACTTGGCCTGCTTCGTCTCGTGCACTTGATCTACTTCCATCACCACCCATACATAATCTCTCCGCCTGTCTCGCCCGGTCTGTAGCAGCCATGGCGCCCGGTACCCCGTCTTTGCCCCTTGCCCGCCCACACATGCTAACTCGAGCGGTACAGGCAAGACAGCGCCACGGCTCCTCCAGGACCTCTTCACATACGACCCCCGCCATGAAGAGCGCGCCGGCCGCAACCTGTTGACCAGCCCCCCGCCGCAGCACGATGCAAATGCCCCAGCCGTCGCCGCCGTGCCCTTTAGGAACTGTAGGCACAACTTCTTCACAAAGGACAAGCAGTCCATCCCCGTCGAGCCCGGGCGCGAGCCAGACACCGACACCGTCTACAAGGTTGCCGCCTACTGCCAAAAGTGCCGTTGGCATGTTGATGTCGTCGCCGACCACCGCAATAATGATGGCAAGAGCAAGTGGTGCGGCAGAGGGAACACCGACTATGCTTTGCACCACTTTCTCTACCAGGGCCAGGAGGGCTCCAACGGCATCAACGGCCTCGAAGCTCAACTGCCCTCTCGCACCTACTCCTTCCGCTGCTCAGCTCCTCAGTGCTCACTCCACGTCCGCATCGGCATGAGACCACCAATCTTCTCTGAGCATGACATTGAGACTCTGACCAACCAGGCTAAACTGAGGAAGAGATGGGAGGTTGCGCAGCACTTGGCGGGTGATCGAGCCGACCCAGTCATGGCCCGCAGAGTCGATGCCCCCGACTACCTCAACACATATCTGCAAGACTCGCTCAACCCTTCAAAGGGCAAGGCGCGCATTCCCCTGTTCAACAAAAAGTTTCTCAAGACCTTTGGCCGCGATTGCGACTCTATCCTGAGGCGTTTGGGGTTCGAGAATCGGCAAGAAGAAGACGAGGAGGGCACCTTGATAGAAGCCTGGTACCTCCCCAGACCGGAGAACACTGCCCATCCTCTCGAATACACCCTGCGGACCAAGATTGAAGACGCTCGCTACGAACTCAACACCATAATACTAAGCGTGCCAGAAAATGAACGTGCAAACTGCAGACACCAGCCCATGCACCCCTTGTCCTCGCGGGACGAGCTCGAGAGAGTGCTGGCTTGTGCAGATTGTATGTTTGACTCTACGCATCTTATTGTATATTGGTACTGATGGATTCTGTAGATGCGAAGGCAAAGGGCCGCGAAACCCGCAGCACAAGCCATGAAGAGGATCACCCGTGCGTATCCTGCCTTGATGTAAATCAAGTATTCTCATTTGCTGACATTAAATAGCTATTATGCTAGCCTGGGCGCTTTGGCTGACTTTGACGACTCCCTCATTCTTTTTGCTTTCTCTCGTCAAGTTGCTGTAGACATTGACAACAAAGACTATTATTTTGAATGCTTACAGGATCTCGCTGCGGGCCGCCAAAGTGAGACGCTTGGGGTTCAGGTTGCCCTGCTGGCCTCTCAGGGACTCATTAGCAAGCGGGACGCCCAGCGCGCATATCAGTACTTTGGCATCAATCCGGCGCATGCGAGCGTCATCGGTGACGAGCACATTATTGGTTCATTCAAATCCCGATTATCTGATATCAGCCCTATGCAAGCCGAGGAAGCACGAAAGCAGTTGCGGGTTCTCGGAGACGTGCGTGATAGTGAGAGGATAAGGGCAGAAGCGGCAGGGTCTATTGAAACTTATGACCAAGCCATGGCATGGTTTGAGCTTGACCCTTCCACAGCGGATGACTTTGTCCAGACCATGTATTCACTAAAGGTCCGTGCACAATTATGATTGCCTTGGAACAAACGCTGATGCGCACTAGACTCAAGACAATCCAGCAGAAGTAGAAACCGCACAGAAAGCACTACAGATTATAGCGGACCACCGGCAAAGCGAAAGACTACAACACTTCCTCAAGTTCGGCACCATGTCCGAACCCGAAATGGACCTGGGCGATGCTTACGCTCACTTCCAAGTTTCTGATCGAAGCGTTGCGCTCGATCCAGCTGTGCTAGATTCCCTGCTCAGCACCTACGAGCTTGGCACAAGTGAGAGAGCAAGAATGGAGAAAGCGCATGCGCTCATCCAGCAAGACCAGACTCAGAGATTCGGCAACCGCCCTGCCAACGCTCCCATGCCCATAGTGCGGCGCAACAACTATCCTCTCGAATCATGGCCCGTCGGTCTCCGCAACATTGGCAACACGTGCTATCTGAACAGCGTACTCCAATTCCTGTTCACCATCAAACCCTTACGAGACCTAATCCTCAACTGTGAGGATCACCTGCAAGATCCGTCTCCGGAGGCTCTGAAGGATAAGAAAGTTGGACGCATGGCAGTCACCCCGGAGAGGGTGTTGACTGCGCAGAAATGTCAGTATATTTCGAATCCACGAGAACCCATACTAACCTTGTCTAGTCGTTCGTGAGTTGCGGGCCTTCTTTGAACGGATGATCAAGGCACCCACAGACACTGTACAACCTGAAATCGACCTAGCTTCACTCGCACTATGCAAGTCAGACATTTCTGAGGAAGCAGAGATACAAGATTCAGATATCGTTCCAGGCATAGGTCTCGGTACCATTGATGGAGCGGTGGTCAGCGGCCCTATGCTGCCACCGGCTGAGGGCCACCTGATTCCCGTCGAACTACCTGCCGGATCCATCACCGACAAGAAAGAGACCGATTCCACGGACACTGTTATGGATAACACTGACACACCGACAATCAATCTCCTGGACTCGGAGATGAAGGAGGACGCCCCCAGCCATGAGAATGGCTCTACAAAAGAGAGTGGGAATGATGTTCCTGCACCACCAACACGGCCACCTCCAGTACCACCACGAGCAGATCCCAAACCCGCCCCAAAACCTGCTGTTCAGTCAAGCACGAAAATCGGCCGAATTGAGGAGAGTGCTCGACAGCAGGACGCAGCAGAGGTCATGGCGAACATCTTTGATTTGATATCTTGTGCAATCACCGGTGATAGCGTATTGCGAGAAGGCGAGCAAGGAGATGCTATCAAGAAACTCTTCTTTGGTGACGTTACGACCGTCATGGAGAAGCCAGATGGAATTCAGAAGAACCAAGAGCTCCGAGACCATTTCCTTGTTGCTACTGGTCGCCGCGACCGCTCGCTCTATGCTACTCTCGACGAGGATTTCGGTCTGGGCGAAATCGAAGGCGGTGGTGGTACGAGGTATGATTACGTTGAACAGGCTGCGCCTATCCAGATCATCAACGTAAAGCGGCTACAGTACGAAAAGGGCCAACCGGTGTACGACCACTCACATATTGGTCTTGAGAAGACCATGTATCTTGACCGTTACTTGGCAAGAACGCCAACGCTGGACGAGTCACAGCTGTTGGAACTCCGTAAAGCGCAATGGGCAAAGCAGAAGCAGCTACGAGAGCTGGATGCAAAGCGAACAAAACTGCAAACTAGTGGGATCGAGGGCATGAACCTACCGGAGTGCCTTAACGCTACTAGTGATTTCATCCAGAGCTTGTCTTCAGACAATTCCGAAGACCAAGACCAGCCAGATAGCTTGCTAACACCTCCTCCGGAGCTCTCGGACACTCTCCATAAACGCGCCTCTGATTACGCACTGGAACTTTCGGGTATTGATGAGCAGATGACGACGCTGGAATCGGAGATCAACAACGTCTTTCGTGACTGCACCTCAGTCCCATACCGACTACACGCTGTGTTTGTGCATCGTGGCGATGTCAAGGGCGGACATTATTGGATCTACATTTACGACTTCCAGAACAAGGAATGGCGAAGCTACAACGATGACCGAGTGGAAAAGGTTGAAGATGAGAGTGCGGTCCTGGAGAAGGAAGAAGGCAAGAGGCCAAAGGTCAGCACAGGTGTGGTATATGTCCGGGCAGACCTGGCAGAACAATACACCGAGGCTGTGTGTCGGCAGCCTGAGCGGCCCAATGTAGAGAGAAAAGACATTGAGATGAAGGATGTGGCCGATGAGGCGGATGATGAGTTGCCAGACTTGGAGCCTGTAGAGGTGGCAAATGCGCCAGTCATTGAAGGTGTAGAGAAGGTGTGAGCTCTTTTCGAGCGCCATACCCCTTTATTCTCCGCTTGCATGACACTGGCATGGCAGCTCGTCCCCATCAATCTCCCACTGACATATCACGAAACCATGTGTGTTGTATACCCACACGACTCACATAAATAGGAATGCGTTGTTGCCGGAAAGAAAACAGGCACGGGCTTAGCATCACTGTTCCAGAAAGTAAGGTCACATGTTGGGGCCCTCAAGGAAGCTGAGGAGTGGGGATGTGTGGGTTTTGTTGAAGCGAAACTGGGTTCGCTGTATGTAGGATTGGGAGGTTGGATGGACGGACTTTGCAGACATGGATGGTGTTAATCGCACTTTTGAGGAAGAGGTAATGCATAATCATGTTACGACTTGTTTCGACACTGGGCACGGCATGTAGAGGCCATGAATAGAGTGGTAGACGATGCTAGATATGCTGGTCTCGTACGTGATGATAGTAATCTGAAGCCGCTCAAGTTTTCCTCTTGTTTGCCAAGACTCCTGTACTCTTCAGGTTTCGTCGTTGATCTATGTTGATGCACATGTCATATCTTCTTTTTAACTCGTGTTAGTGTAGTATACAGAGTGACGTTTGTATAGCAACTCAACTCACCTGCAGAGTTGCACACAAATAAACAAATCCTTTTCCACCTTGGCCAAACCCGATGCTTGTCTACTCTTCGCCCAACGCTTTAAACTTTGGCGGAATAAGTTCAACCCAATAACCCTGCATCAGCGTCAGCTTACACCCGCACATTCCCCTCCACACCGCCTCATGTTTTTGCAAAAGACCAAAAAAAGGTACACTCACATCCGGATCCTTCACAAACGTCAACTGCCTAAACACATTCTTGTATCCCTCCACCACCTCCCCCCACTTGCCCTGCACCACCTCGTCAGGAACCGCCATCTGGTCCTCCCTTGCCTGATCCAACGGCTTAATAACTTCAAACCCAAACTCCTGCACGCGCTTCGTCGCCTCATCCACATTGGGCACTGTAAAGCCTATATGTCCAAAGCCGACTCCCGAGGCGGAGTAGTCGTTGCCGGAGACGTAGGGGGTCGATGTGTCAGCGGGGATGTGGTAGAGTTCTAGGAGACCTTGTTTTTGGCGGATGTTTTGCATGTCTGTTTGTCGTTTTTGTCACCTTTCCAATTCACCAAGTTGGAGTAGAAGGAGGGAATGGGAGAGAGAGAAGAGAGAAGGGGGAGAAGGGGGGGTTAAACGTACTCACGTCTCGTCCCCCGAGATAGTATATAACCCATGGTCCGGCGTTGAATATGAAGACGACGTGCATGCCGAGGCAGTCGCAGTAGAATCGTAGGGTCTTTTGTGGGTCTTTGATGCGCATCATGAAGTGGTTTAAGCTGTAGCCCGCAGTTGCGGGGGATGGGGGACGCGGAGGGGGTGCGATGTGTGTGCCGGATTCATAGGGGGCTGGGGGGAAGTTTGGGTTGGAGGGGGACATTGTTGATGGGTTTGGTGGGAGGCAATGGGAGGATTGGGTGGAATTGGTGATGGAGGGTTGAGAGAGATTTGGGAGAAGAGTCGAGGAGCTATCCAGGGGTAGGGATTGCTGGTGGGATACGTGGGGTATGCGGGGTAGGGCCGTTTGTTGTTCTACCATTCTGGTTGGAATAGTCTGTGGAGCATTGTGCATTCGCTGTGGAGTCTTATTATTGGCATCCTTTCGCGGCCGGCCAGAGCCAATGCCTCCATGCTCTTTTTTGTATTCTCGGAGTTTTGAGCGGCGATCAGCGAGTTTTCCATATTTACTGCGCTGCTGAAGGAGGCGGTATGCGGTGGTATGTGGAATGTTGAACTCGCGGTAGATGTCACGCTTAGTCTTATCTCCACGTTGATCAATAGCCTGGAAAAATCGAGCACGCGTTGGAGTATCAAGATGAGAATTCAAGGATCGCTTCTGTGAAGGTGGAGAAGTCATTCTTACAAGAGATTATTGAAAAATATCGTGTTTTGGCTGAGATGCACAGCTGCAAAGTCGGGAGCTTTCGAGTTGCGTCACCTTAGTGTTGTGGCACTACTAGCACGGACGTGTATCACTTTCTTTTTTGTTCAAGGGATGTACTTCTCATTACATTCTCCAGACGGAATTCACGAGCTTGATGGAGATATGAATGTATTGATAGTTAGAATGCATGCTTACTCCATATGCATTCGCTGGACAGATGCACGGGGCGGTTGGAGCATAGTGGGGTTGAAGAAACACAGCAGTACACAGTAGGCGTGAAGCGTGACGTCGCGCCGGCTGCTAAGTATGACGAGCCGCCCCACATGCAAGGGTCCATCCCGCACCTCACTAGCCTAGGCAACTTTTGCATGCAGTACTGCACCACGACACCACCCTGCCAACCGCCATGGAGTTCCAAAGAGGCGAACGTGTCAACCTCAACTTTGATACTGGCGCAGTCGAGAAACTGGAGCCAGAGGAACAAAATGTGCTTCCTATGCCCTCATTCCCCGCTTTTGTGGGCGACATTCAAGAGCGCGATTCATCTTCAGCTAACCCTCCAGTCGCGCCCTCACCCAAGCCTAACGTGAACGGTTTCCCGGCACACAAGAAACGAACACCGAGAGTATCTGCTTTTAAGCAGCAGCGCGCTGCAAAGGAAAAACAGGCTGCTGCAGCACCCCTGCCTAACCCACGAAGCGCCTTTGCCCCAGACCCAGACGAGGAACGAAGAGCCATCGATGAGGAAAACAGGCGAACCATCGCGGCCATGTCGGACGCCGAGATTGAGCAAGAGCGACAAGAGCTTATGGCAAGTCTCAATCCTGCACTACTACAAAAGCTGCTGTTGCGGTCCAATATCGACCAGGGAAGCAATGAGCGCGACTTTGATGCTGAGCCACTAGCGCCTGCGGCTACAAAACCTCCCACAACTGAAAAGGCCGAAGAAGAAACACAGGCCAAACCCACGAGTACGAAGAAAGTTTCCTTTGCAGCTTCAGAACCTGTGGACGGGTCCAAGTTGCCAGAATCCACAACTTCCCCCTCTGCATCCACTACCGAAACCTCCTCCGACGCCATAAGATCCGCCCTAGAGCAGCAAACAGACGACTCGATACACTTCCCCCGACCCCCACAACCCCCCGATCTCGATCCCAACGACCCCGCCTTCCTCAAAAACTTGCACGAGAAGTACTTTCCCAACCTCGCCTACGATCCCTCCAAGCTATCTTGGATGTCCCCCATCGATCCCTCCGACAAAAAATCGCCATACCATCCTTCTCAAACCGCCCTCAATCCTGCCGAACTCCGCTTCGACTTCGAGGGAAACCTGCTCGCGCCCAGCGTGGCAAGAGAAATTCCGACCGATAGAGGGCTGCACCACCACGCCGAAGCCCCCGAAGCAGCAGGGTACACAATACCAGAGCTAGCAGTCACAGCAAGGAGTAAAGTCCCCAGCCAGCGCTGCATTGCCTACCAAACGCTAGGGAGGATTCTATACCGCCTCGGAAAAGGCCAGTTTGGAGTTGAGAGCGCACAGAAGACGGATGGACCTGTCCGAGTGGCCAAGAATCCGGATGTGGAAGAAGATGACGATGATGATGGGGAGTGGGTTGAAGAGGATGTGGGAAGTGCTATAGCGGGCGGATTGTGGCAATGTATCGAAGAGGGAAGAGTGATTGAGACATTGACAGAGGAGGCGAATAAGGAAAGGGGACATCTTACTGCTCGTACATTTGCGCAGGAGGCACTATGGAATTGGCGGAGGGGCGGGGGGAGAAGAAGGCATGCCGTTTGAGTTGCATTTATGGAGAATATTAAATTTAACATTTGTGGCATCCTGGACTTTTCTCCGAATGCGATGATGCATTTCATGTGCACTGCAGTGTCTTGTTGAACTGAGCGAATATGAGAATATGCTATATGTCTCTACAAGATGTCGTGTGCTTTGTCATTCTGATATGATTATAGTACATATCTGAATTCTTTGCTCATAAATTTACTTGATCCCGCATTTCTTGTTTCGTCACTTGCTTCCTTGCTAGGCGGGCTATATACTCGATCACGACGCTTATTGGTCAAAGGCATGTAACCTGCAAGACATGGAATTGGAAAGTAATAAAAGGCTAATGCTATAAAAAATCATGCATTTTACTGAGCAGAGAAAAGTAGGGACCAACGTTGAGAATGTAGCTTACTAACAGACCAATTATAACATCCTCGCATCTTCGCTTCATCTCCTCATTACCTTGGCCATACTTGTCCTGCCATATTCTGATATTAACTCCGCCAGTGAAGACCACCACCCCCATCTGCCGACCCTGACACCACTAACCGTACCGTCTTGGCATGGCACCTGCCGCGTCATCTGCGTCCCGCGCTGATTATCAGTTGTTGACAAGGAACCTGGTTGTTTCCCGGCCCCACATCCCTCGGTATGTAGGGAATCCTTCCCCATACTTGTAATATGGCTTTCTTACTACTTCCTTTACATCTCACCATGCACAATCTCATCTACAAAACGGATATTGTTGCTATATATATATCGAGTGGCTGTAGCTAACTAATCGCTATAGCTATACGTGCTAACACATCCATCTGTGCTTGTTTCCACAAAAACACCTCCGTAGATCTGACCTTCGCCCTGGAATGGAATAGGCCCCTGATACCCGTTGAGGTCAATGTTCGTCGTGTCTGTTGGCTTCTTCAGGATTCCAACTTGGAGTTGCCCCAGGCCTGTGTTATTGTTTGGAGTGGCCTCAGTCACGGGCTGTAGAGGTGCTGCACCGGCTGAATAAAATACCTTGAGAGTACTAATCGAACATAGTCAGCATCTTAATCTTATCAAGGGGGAATACGTCAAGGAAAGGCGAGTATACATACCCTTTCGTGTGGTCTACCTGCACAGCAAAGTTCTGCCACTGATCGAACAAGATCGGGGTTTCGAAGATGAATTTCTTGTCGCTGTTTTGGATCCTCCACTTTTCTCTCTCTTCTTTGGTATCAATGCCGTTTCCTCCATTGAACGGTAACACCAAACCTCCAACAAACGTGAATTGATTGCCAGTGAAGTCAGCCCTCTCATGCCACACATTCATGTACTCGTGAGAGAAGTTGAGTGGTTTCTCCACGTTCTGGTGAACACTCCAGTGGTAAGTGACGGTACCATTGTCAGCCGCATCAGCCCGGTCATCATTCTTATCGCCTGGCATTATGAGGCCCGCGCGACGAATATAAGTCTCCGGTGGAGACCTGCGTCCCTTGAAGATGGAACGGTCATCGATAGTCACTTCGAAAGGCTTGTGGCGATTGGGTTCGTCGAACGGCGCTAGGGTAGTGTTTGGAAAGAGAAGAATGGACGACCAGCTGATGTTCTGGCCTTTTGTCCAATTAGGATCATACACGGACGAGTTGGTGTCGAACCATTGGAGCGTTGCGTCGACTGGAATGCGGCCCTCGAAGAGGACAGGGCAGACGACGCCAGAAGCCTGATCAGAACCGGAATTGTGGCGTGATCCAAGTTGTTGGATCGATGCCACAGCGGCACCACCGAAGAAGAGAAGAGAAGATTGAAAGCGCATTTTGAAGTATGCTCCCACAAAAATATTGCTAATACCGTTCCCCGAAATATCCAATGTCGTGCATTTATACGTGTCCACCACAGCTATCATTGTTTGCACCCTCGAAACATGAGACTATTGGGGTTCGGCCCGTTCTTTCTTGCCAATATCTAATCCTTACAGCGCAAGGTACATTTCTGTCCAGACCCTCATCTCCGCTCTCTTGGCGAGGATTGCTGATATGCTTTTAGGTTTATACCTTGTCCACCTTTTGTTAGTTCGCCGGTGGATCCGCCCTACCGGGAGGTCTCCAGCGTACACGGTGGTGGGGATATATATGGTATTAATTGCAAGCATAGGTGCTCGCCGTATGCGATTCGAAATATGCATGTTGGCGTGCATACCGCTTTTTGGTGCAACAGGTCATATTTCTCTAGCTGCGTGTTTGGTAGCCCAAGAATGACATGGAAGGAACTGGGGTGTGGAGGAAAGCTTGATACATGATTTTTTTGTATATTCTGTCATTAAACAAGATGACGTCTTGTATTCTCGAGCTGATAAGTAGTCCAAATAAAGTATTCAAAATGATAATTACCGCACGAACTGTATTATCATTTGGCCGCGTCCCTTGGTATTTATGCCAACATGATGGGTACGTTTTTACAACAACTACTCACGGACATACCGGTGAGCGAGTCAAATCTAGGCACAACAATATGGAGAAAGATTGGCAACTTGGCATGTGGTGTTTTGGGTTGATATGGCCAAGCTCCTGCCTGTAAGATTCCTGCGTCCAATAGAAGTTGCTGCTTTGGCCATGAGCTATTGGTATCAGCCTTTTCGTGTTGAATCTAGACTAAGAGGTGCAGGAAGTGTGCCTGGCTGGCTTCGGTGTATAGTTCGCAGAGCTTTCAAGGATGGCGGATCTTATTCGCGGCTTTAGCTGCATATTACTATCTGTCTATGCCGTGTCTTCTGCAGGTATGAATGCAATCTTGTTGGCTCCAATATTTTCCAATCTCATATCTCAGTCTTATGCCGAGATTTTCTGCCTTACTCGAGCTAGCAGCGATAATAGTTGGCAGTCATGGCAGTAGCTGGTCAAATCAGCCAAGGTCATATTTGTTCAACTTTGCAATATGCCCCAGCGCCTTTTACAAACTATTGATACGGTACAACACCAAACTAGGACAAACAGATGATCAAAACAGGGATAATGAAAATGATGGTAAGTTAACTTCAACCAGCCTGTATGTCCGAATGTATCGGAAAGCCCCTTTTTTTTTCTCATCCCTTCGTACAATGAAAATGAACTTACTTCTTAATACATAGAAAAGAGGAGCCTAAAGGACAACGTAGTGTAGACGTTACGAAAAGATCAAGCCCCAGCTGCGATAGGTTATCCATATCAGTTTCTCAGCTCTAAGTCCTTCGCATATACTCAACCTGACCTACATACCTACAGTCTACATAACTACTAGTACTACTATGTTTTATAGCAAGGGAACTTGTTTGCTACCGTAATGACGGTAATAAGTATAGAGACAGCAGGAGGGATAGGTTGGTCAAGGTTTTGGTGGTACTTTAGTAGTAAGTAGAGCAGTTCTGTGATGGCTTCGGTGTCCCGGATGTCCGGTATCCTAATTATCCAGTGTTCCGGAACTGTTTTAGCTAGCTTATTACTTACCAACACTAGCACTGACTCGGCCTGTCGTTCCCTTGTCGTCTTCGGTCGACCGATGAAATCGGAGATAAGATCGCCCAACACCGAAAGTCCAAAGCCTGCTCAAAGTATTGATTGTTGCTACAATATCATTGGTAATCTAGATGTACCCTCTGTTATTGTTAAACCGGAGTCACTTTATGTATCTTTTCAGACTTTTGTCCAGAATAATACTGTGGTGGTGCTGATATTTTGTAGTAAAGGCATCTCTGGATTTTCCGGTTTCACCGATCGACCGAGAAATGATGTTTCTTAAGTCCCAGATAGAGGCCCGGTTATGTCTCCACGCCATGTATAAATTAAATACACAATGCAAAACGATTCAATCCGATCTACTCTACGACACCTGACTTCAGCATACCACATCATCCAACGCCGAACATGGCTTCTACTGACAAGACCGTTGTCCTCATCACTGGCGGTAAGCCGAACACGCTTCCCACCGTCACACAAATCTAACAAGCCCCCCAGCAAACACCGGCATCGGCTTCGAACTAACTAAACAACTCCTCTCCGACGCATCCAAACACGTTCTCCTCGGTAGCCGCAGCGCCTTCAAAGGCTCAAAAGCCATTCAAGACCTCCAATCTCGAAATCTACCAGGAACCGTTGAATTCCTCTAAATCGACGTCTCGAAACAAGACTCCATTGTCGCCGCCGCCAAGCACATCGAGGAAACCCATGGCCACCTAGACGTCCTCGTTAACAACGCTGGAATCTTCTCATCTGGCGATCCAGATACCACAGATATCCAGTCCCTCGTCGACGCCTTTATTACAAACGCCGCTGGTCCTTTCGCCACCGTAAAAGTTTTCGAACCGCTTTTCTCTCTCGTTTTCGCGTGTGTTTTCCCCAGTTTCCCACCAAAAAAAAAGCCGCTTTCTCATCCCACTCATTACATTTTACTAATCTATTTTACTCTCTCCCATATACAGGAGCACCCCACGCATCATCAACATATCCTCAGCCCTCGGTTCCATCTCCACACGCCTCGATAAATCGAGTCCCATCTACGCCTTCAAATCGTACGCCTACCGCTTGAGTAAAGCGGCGCTTAACATGGCGACTGCGGCTCAGCATGCAAAATATCTAGGTAGAGGGTGGAGGGTATTTGCGTTTTGTCCTGGTATCACGCAGAGTGAAATGACGAGGCGCATCAATGTGTATGATGGGGCGAAACCGACGAGTCGGGGTGCGGCGCCGTTGGTTGGGATTGTTGATGGGGAGAGGGATGCGGATGCGGGGAGGTTTTTGACGGCGGATACGGAGAGTGGGGTGTATATGAGTGGTAAGCTCTTATGTAGATGGCTCTCGTCTTTAATGTCTTGTCAAATCTTACCGCCGTGCCTTTTGAGTGCTGTGTGAGCGGGATAGGTCACTGCAATATCTCCTCGTACTAGATTAATGTGATAGGGGCTTCAGGGGCGCGAAGACCTTTGTCGAACGAAGTATGTCATTGCAGACAGTGCTTACAGTCCTCGTCGCTTCCGTAAACCCATGATTTCACTGACATATTTCATACGTGAACTAATGGTAGAAACTGCACTATTATATGGCTATTCGATGGAAGAGCTACCATATGTCTTATAGCTTTCCCAAATCAAAAAGCTATATATATAAAATGATCGCTAACCCGCATTGCTCAACTCACGGACGTTTTCGTTGCCAAGCTTTATGAAGCGGATCGGACCGGTACGTACGTAGTACAAGCGACGTTGCTCCCGGCAATCTCCCCAGCGATCTTTGCGATCGATGTAGTAATGGGTAAGTTGTGTGGTTGGGCACGGAATAGATGTTCAATCGTCGGAAATAAGGGGAGAGGATCCAACGGCCTGTTAACCTGCTTATGCGAATAGTGTGTTGTTTGCCATAGGGCCTGGCTTTCGTTCCAGTGCCTACTATCTGCAAGGTGAAATTGGAGCACTGCATGAGGTATGACAATACGCATTGGACAGTGATTCTTTGTAGGCGCCTAGCCATTCTTTACATTTCCCAGGACCGACTACCAGTCGAAAACGAAGTTTGTACACTAAAATCCTGTAACGCATATATGCTATGCCCCTATACACGCCGAATTATGCATTATAATATTGTAAGCGTCTCATCTGCTGGAAATGCGCCTGATTTTTTTCACTGAACCGAACTTTTGCCAGTTAAAAAAAGAAGACGAAGAAAAAAGAAAAGGTGGTGTGAGAGAAAAGGAGAAATGGTCGTAGCTGGCTCTTTCCCAATCATATCATGGCGCCATGTCGGTACGACGGTAGAGGCAACGGCTCACCAATCTCGTAGTTGCCAAAGAAATCTACAGTGCTCTTTCGCCGCTCCTCCATGGCATCACTGAGATCGCGACTGATGCAGATTTCCATGCCGCCGCTCTGCTCTGTGCCTTTGCGCTCTGTCGACATCTTGTATCCCACACCAGCTGATGATGTTTGTGGTATCGCGGATGAAGGACTGAGATAAGTAGAGGTTGTATGTTTGACTTTGCCAGGGAGATCATTTTCACCGAGTAGGCCCAGCCACCGCAGCTCAGCACAGCGCTTGAAGACGCCTTCAAGGTCAAAGAGATCCTGCATGGAGAGACTGTACATTTTGCCGCTGCGGTATTTCCAGAAGAAGAGAACCGACAGCTCGATTGTCTCAATGTTTGGTAGGGGTTGGAGAATCTTGTCTATGGAAGCCAGTAGATTGTACGTCATGCGCATTTGGTCCTTGAGCATCCGGTCTCGGGTGCCGTTTCTCAGCGTCGTGTAGTTCCACTCGAGATAGAAGCGAACGTGCGTTGTGTGCTTTAGCATGGGTAGTCTAAGGATGTGCTGCGAGAACTCGAAATATTCATTGTTGGTCCGCGTGTTGCGCAGCTCTGCGTGGAGTGTGATTTTACTGCACCGGAAATAGTTTTGCAGCAGTTCCTCACGGATTTGCTTGTTAATCAAAAGGAGCCCCGGGTGAAGGCGCAAAGCGTTGGGCACCGAGGGTCCGTATCCGAAGATGTCGTGTCTCCAAGGCTCTCCGTTGGACATTTCCGCACTCCAGAGGCAAGTGTGTAGCTCTGGCCGGTTCTTCGAAGTGTCTGGCAAGACATAGCTGAATACTTGGTCCCGGATTTCCCTTGGAAGCGCCAGTAGTGGAGAACTGAATGTGCTGGGGGTGAGTTCAAGAAGGATTTCGAGTTCGCGGAAGAGAAGACTTTGACGGTGCTTGTAGAGGCCATCCGAGCTCCGGTTGGAGACCATGGAGAGCTTGTTGCTCATTCGTTGGTGTAGCGTGGCCATGTGTCGTGTGCGTGTGTGAGTAAGTATATGCAGGGTTGAATTTAGAGAGAAGGAAACGGTGGACGTCTAGTGCCCGAGTAAGCGCTATATAGGTTAGTTGTTGTCGAGGCCGGTCAGTCGCAGCTAGTTAAAATGATGGAACAGGCTGGTCGTCGTAACCCACAACAACGGACTCAACATGCAAATTGGATTAAAGTGGCACCGCAAAGTTCCTTCGTGCTGACACCAAGGGTTCACGGCAGCGTGTTTCGATGAAAAGGGGATTATCTGCGACGCCATTGCCGTGCGATAGGGGCGAGTCAGTCATGGATGGTGCCTCTGCTGACTGCGTGCCTGCCGCAAGGATCCGTCACAGAGCCCGTGCCGCCTCGCGAAAAGGATTAGTGTGTCACGTGTCGTAGATCTAGCCGACTCTCTGCTGCTGCGCTGCTGCTGTGCTGCTGTGACACGTTTCACCTTGGCGCTTCAGAACCTCCTGCGTCCGTCAATCCTCCAGGTTTCACATTCTCAAACACGTCCGGAAAACCATATCGGCTTGTCGTTCCACGCACGCGGAATGCCCACATGTTGCCCGTCCCAAAGCCAAAAGTAAAAGGCTCCCTTCTGGCATGTGCGTGGGCGACTAAACCGGTAGTTGCTCTTTTTCTTTTCGCATCCATTAAAAATAGTCTGTATTTGATCTTGTCGACGGCCGTCTAAAATTAACTAAATAGCGGCGGCTCCAGGGCGGGAGACAAAAGCGACATGCTTGCGCCGTTCATGATCTAAGGGGGGCATCATAACAAAGGAAAAAACAAAGAGACGAACAAAGGCCTCATAGCACATTTCATGATTCGACCAGCTCGGTATCGAAACATTGGCAGTCGGCAATGCTGCCACCAGGTCTCCAACCGCTCAGCAGCGTAGGGCATTTCCATGCAACGTCCATGTCTGAGCATTGGAACAGGACATTCCATATCCGCTCCATTGTATATCCGAACCAAGGCTTGCTCATGGCATCTTCTCGGTCCTGCAGATAGGGCTCACTGTGCGCCCAGCTCTTCTCGTCGACAAGAAGCTTCCAGAGATCGTCGTATATTGCTTTGTCAATGCCGCGAATTCGCGCAGCGGTAGCAACGAACTGGCCCTTGTAGCTGAGCAGCACACCATCGCGCACCGAGTGGTCGATCCTTGATTGAATCTCTGGAAATAGCGATGTCTCATCCTGCCAGCCCTGTTTATCGCCACAGTCGTCACTATGACAAACATTGCCTGCCCATCCCAGGTTGAGGAAACCAGTTTGGTTTGCGCGGAAATACCGTTGGAAAAAGGGATAAAACTCTCGTGGGTTGTGAATGTCGGCTTGAAGGAAGATAGTACGCTCTGCAAGCTTGTCCCAGCGGTTGACGATATGGTTGAGGTACGTCTCGGCTTCTCTTCCCACGTTTGGAAGCTTGACGACGTTGTGCGCCTTTGTTTCCTGCTTGACCTTCTCTTCGTCTGCCTGGCCATCCTTGAGATAAATTGTAACAAGAGCTTGCGACATTTGCGGCATGCTATGTAGCTTCGATATAAGCGAGGCCACGTCTTCTGTCCGCTCCTTGTACATGCTGATAACAACCTCCAAAGGGCTATTTGCCTCGTACTTGAGATCCAATCGAGGCTCGATGCGTGGGTATTGGCGTTGTCCAAAGTTAAAGCTTACATACGCAGTCCATATCATGACTAACATGATGCTGCTGAAAGACGAGCGGAAGCCGTGGCTGTAATCTGGACGGCTCGCTAGCGTATCTGCTTCTCCGGCCTCCTCGCTATCGTCTGATCGAGTTCTGGGCTCGCACGGGACCATATCGTAGCTTCCATGGGGATCTTTCGATTGCCTTGCTTGCTTCCAACTTGACCTGTAGACTTCATGGCCACAGATGCACAGGACTGCAAGGAAGTAGAAGCACAGTTGATACCAACTGGAGTAGGAGCGGCGCAGCGAAAGAGTAGTAAAACAGCCAATGATGGCTGTCATTGTTAGCTGTGTGAACACATCGCTCACGCGTTGCGATGCGGTGTAGCCGGATGATCGACCATCACCGATTGTCTCTATAGGAAACAACACCGACTCTCCTATCAATAGCGCTGCTCCAGTTGAAAAGGCATTCAACGTACGCAACAGCAAGTTCTCCCTGTCAAGCGGATTTCTATGCTCATCGGGCCAACCGCTGAGTGCGCAAAATACTGTTATTAGAATCCCCATAGTAACAAACCAAATGGCATCCGTGCTTTGGCTAAGCGAAACCCCTGGATAATGCTTCGAGGCCAACTTCCTCAACGCACTCGCCAAGCCAAGCAAGAGCATGGCTAAGATTGATGTTATCAAGCTTGGCACCATGAGGCGATACTCTACCGACAGAATTCCGGTACAAGCCAAGAGGTGGATGCCCAAACGTAGCGCATCTACGCCTGAGCGGGATGTGTAACTGAACACGTGCAATATCAACCCCTCAACGAAGAATGCAATCGTCTAGCCATATTAGCATAATGCGGGTTGCAGCAAGATGGAGTAAACTTACTGCCACCATGCACAGCAGGGGCAGGTTTGAAGTGTGCAATACCGCTTGGGTTATGCATAGCGCTGCTACTGCTTGCAAGGCGTGTGAAGCTACCACCAAAAGTGAGGCTTGGATTGGTCGTCTCGGTTGGTCTTGCTCGCTGCTGCACTCTTGATCATTTTTCCGCCATAGGTGTGAGACGAAAGCGAGAAGGGCAGTGGCGATAATCTGGCAGATGTACAGCTGCAAAGGATAATGCAGATTTGCCTCGACTAGGAGATGGCGTGTGGTTAAGAGGGAGGTGACGGCACATGGCAACCAGACTAGCTGACGGTGGTCCTGGAGTCGATCGTATACGGTCCGGGGTTGCGACAGGTCGTTTTGGTGAGTACGTTGGCGGCCATGAGCTGTGGGCATGGTGTTTGGGTGTAGAGGACGATTGCAGGCAGGCGGCAGAAGAAAAGACGTTGCGAGGGCTTAGGCGTGCAGCGTGCAATGTGAAGACGCGGGTGCCGCGTGGGTCAGCCCATGCGTTTGGCGGACCCGAGTTTGCATCCACTGGGTCCAGACGATCGCCTATCAAAACGGGTGAAATAAGAATGTGGGCGTTTGCAGGATGCGTAGAAAAAAGAAGCAATTGTACAGAGGCGTCGAGGAGCTGAGATGAGGCTCCGCATGGGTCACTGACCTACCACTTTGGCGACGGGGTCTTCCCATGGACCACAAAGGGGCGCAAGGCTAGACCTCTTTGGCGGCATGTGTAGAGGCATCTCGATCGCAAAGCCTACTAATCTTAAATAGCACAGTAGATGGGGTAGGTGAGGCAGAAGCCGCAGGACGAGGACATGTTGGAATTGTGTGCCCAGCCTGGCTGGAGGCGTGTGTGCTAGCCAACAAAGAGGCGAAGTCTAGCAGGTCCTTGCGAGAAACAAATGGCGGTGGTAGTGGCACAGGTGCGCTAAGCCTGTTAGGCGGCATTGCGGGCCGAATGTTGATCCGCATGTTGGCACTCAGACTCACTGTCGCTGCCAGGGCCGGGGCGTACCTTGTCGTGCTCCAGCTGTCAGTCGGCGGTTTTGGTTCGCTGACTTGATATACAGCCTTGACGATTCTATTGCATTCTCGGCATGCTCCTCTTTGTAGCGAAATGACCATATGCACAGTGTAGGCAGTACTTAGCGCGCAGCAAAAGGCGACGCGACAAGCCAACAGCGCCGTCCAATCAACCACCAAGCTAGCAGTCAAGTACGAGGCACTGTCCCCGGTTGAGGCCCGCAAAGCGCAGAGATCAATTCCATCAAAAAAGCATTGCATACGTACACAGTATCTACACCGACGGGCGGCCTGAGAAACGCGGGACAGGACGAGGTGAAACCCTCAGTTTTCAGGCAACGCTCTTGCAAATAAACAACAACACCAACACTGCCAACTGTCTTCACAGGCATGCGGCAAAAGGCACAAGCTCAAACTCGACACCCCTCGAACTAGCGCGCGGGGGCGGCAACAAGGTTTCCATGTGCCACCCCCCTTTGATCTAAAGTCGCGCAGGTGCAGGCAAAGTGAGATACGACCGATCCAACCGCGATATTACATAATTCTCACCGTTCAAGGAGCTGCCGATCAGCCTTGCATAATGGAAGGCGTTACCCCCCTTGCCCCGTCTGCCCCGTCTGCATTTTTAGAGGGAGCGTTCAACGCCAAGACGAGTGGCTGTCCCCGCGCTGTTCGCTCGACCTGCCCCCATCAGCAATCCATCCTTTCCCACATCTGCCGCCCTTCTAGCGCTACACTACTTACACCTTTGGACCCTTGATTTCCTTGACATCTCCACGTCGACTATAGGGCTGTACATGTGCACACGTGCAAGTTTCACATGTGACATCCAAAGTAATGCGGCAAGCACAATCGCATTGGTTCTCATGTCGTTCCAGACATACCCCGGTGGTGTGGCAATTGCAACCCTGAGCAAAAAGCTACCGTAGTGTCGGCATAGACGGGGCCGCCCCCGCGCCACTGCTGTTGCCGCTCGACTGGTAGGACTGCCAAAAAACGGTGCGCCGTGCGATTGCAGATTGTCTGCTAGCCTAACGTCAGCAGCCCGAGTCCGAAGCTTTGGAACATCCATATTCAACAACATTCTAGGTCAAAAAGATTTCATCACATACGTCTCCTGGGCTAATCTCAGCAACCCATCACTGCAATAGACTCAATCTTCATGGTCTCCAAGTTTGATGCGCTTGCGTCGTTGTTATAATATTATAATTAGTTACGTATGATATTGTAGTCTATTTACTTCATCAATCATGTCTAGTTGCTGCCAGATACGCTCTGGACAACAGGATACAACGGCAAGTACGGCTTATACACACTCTGGCACCTTGCGTTGAAATCAGCAGTGTTGCTAACCTCGATTTCGAGCTCGTTTCCTGGTACGCCCAACTTTCCAATGGCACCACTCTTGGGAGAGGCCTTGGCCCATCCAGGACCGGCCTTGGGGTTCTTGATAAAGTTTACAAACCAGTCGTTCTGGAAGTCGGCGAGGGCCTGCTCCTCTGCGCTCACGTTCTCGACACCAGTAAAGGCATCATTGCCGCCGAAGAAGAATGGAATCTCAGCACCGTGGGTGGGTGGGGAGACGGGCAGAGGAAGGATGTTGGCATAGTCGCCAAAGAAGCGGTAGATCCAGGTATCCTGCTTCTGGCTACGCACATCAACGAGGTAGTCGACGGGGCAGAAGAAGCGCGCGTCGCCGTACTGGGCGCCGCTCATTGCCGAGACACTGCTGAAGTCTGCAGCGTTGTATGCATTCAAAAGGACCTCATCTGGGATGTTGGCAACATCGGCATCGAATGTGTTGATCCACTTGGAAAAGTCGGTGTTCTCTCCACCATAAACTAAACTGAACACAGCTCCCTCCTTGTCAGAGTTACCTGTCAGGAGAGGAACATGAGACGCATATTTGCCGGCTGCGAAGCGAGCCTCGTAGTCCTGGTAGCGGGTCTTCTCGTCGACCACTGGAGTAAAGTACGTGTTGTAGGTGGAGTTGAAGCCAGCAGTTTGGAAAGCGTACATGTCGACCTTGCGGAGACAGTCAAGCTGACCCGCACCAACAGGGCAGTTGACTTCCTTTGCGACGATATCAAGGGCTTGGTTGGTAGGTGCCACAGCCGGACCCGACTTTGCGTTGGCCGCCATCTGAACCGCACCGGCAAGCCAAGTATCAGGGTGGTTCCATAGGTAATGGTCGACCTGTACAGAGCCAGAGGAGTGACCTCCGAAGACAACATGGTCGGGGTTGCCACCAAACTGGGCAATGTTGTCACGGACCCATTGCAAGGCCTTGTCAACATCCAGGATGCCAAAGTTTTGCGACTCATTGCCTCCCGCCAGTTCGGCCGAATTAGGGTAGGCCCACAGGCTTTCACGTGTGTTAAAGCTAACAAAGATAACACCCTTGCTGGCAAAATTGCTGCCGACGAGTTGGGGGTTGCTGCTGGATCCTGTCACCATGGCGCCGCCATACATGTACACAAAGACAGGAAGACCAGAACTGCCATCTGCTGATGGCGGTGGTGGTGGTGCCTGAGGTCCTCCTGGAGGTGGGTTAGGTTGAGGATGACAAGCACAAGGGGGAGGTGGAGGCCCACGTTTTGCCTGGGCTTGTATAGATGGCACCCAGATGTTGAGGTTCAGGCAATCCTCGCCTTGCTGGGACCACGTCGTGGTGGTGATTGCTTGCGGGCATGTTGGCCCGTACTTTGTGGCATTGAGCACCTCGCCCTTCTTCAGTCTCCTTGCATCTTGAGGAGCCTTCCATCTGCAGAGGAGAGTCAGTACACACGGGTCAGGCGCACGTGGCAGCAGGGTATTACGTACCGGTTCTGTCCTCCGGTAGTTGCAGCAAATGGGATTCCAAGAAAGACGGAATTGCCATTGGAATCGGTAAAGCCCTTAACGCTTCCGTCCTGGAGGGACGCTACACCGTCTGCGACAACCGCCCTTGCGGCCTTGGGCGGGAGTGGGTTAGCGCCTACCACAGCGGCCTGACCAAGGACGCCAACAAGCGAGAGGCTCTGTAGGCCACTGATAAGAGAAGACGGGACCCTCATGATGCAGGACACAGGGAGGATGGCTGAAGGAGGGAACTATAGAGTTTGGGTGGTGGGTGCAGATCTTGTTCGGGCGTCCACATGGCTATATACTTAGGGCACCATGCTGGCGGGACCAAGTTGGAGGGACTCGAATCTTACCGCCAATTGTAAGAAGGACCATGTCACTGCCAAAATGCCGAAGTCTTGCCAGGCAATAGTTTAATGGGGCCCTCGTGGAAGAGTCTTTTCATCTCCGTTGATGCAGGTCCTGAGTGGGCCCATGGACGGGGCCGACTCAGGTTCCATCGTTCTGGCCGGACTAAGCGAATCCTACCAATCGCGACCCCCGCCTTATCGATCCGGTCTAAGGACTAGAAGCGCTAGACTCCGAGCTCATGCTTTCCACACCCACTTCGCTACTCGACACTGCCATGCTCGACAACGCCATGTTCGGCTCTTAGCCGTGGCATCGCCACAAACCACCACGGATGCTCGGGTCTACCACGTCCCGACCTCTGCATTTTTGCGCGCCGTCGCCCTAGGTCCCTGAGAATACGGCACTGTCGATAAAGTTTTTGTCAGGCCACCCGCCGTATGAGAAGGAAAAAATAGGGTAGCTTTGCCATAGCCATCTGAATCGTCAATTGCACGAGCGAACAGGTGACTCGCCACAACGACCAGGATGAGCCCATCATGTCTGTTTGACCATTGCCATCTCCTAGTCGATTTCCTCGCCTGCATTAACCATCTGGCCACTCGCTGGACGCCGACTTCCCGCGTAAGAATTGTCGGCATCCGCGCCCTTGCACTTGCGCAATCAAGTTAGCACTTTGCAACAACCCGTCCTTAATGATCTTCTCAGGGCACCTCTGTCATATGAGGCATCTTAGGGGTTTATCTGTGGAGGTATCCTTAAAGATCGGCGCTGTTCGCGTCACGTCCCCGCTGTTCGTCGCAGTCACCCTCGTTCGCGCCTTGCACTCATAGAACACTCGCCTCAATTCGCTGCTAAAGAGGTCTAGGAGTGTGTGTGGACCTGTCAAGTTTGACAGCCATAAGCCTTCACCGGTCCAGGTCGGTCCAAGTCGGTGTGCGAAAAAAAACGGAGAAGTGCGCCATGGTTTCCCAAGAACATGGCCAGGTGGTAAGTCCTCTCCCCCCTCTTCACCCCTTTCAATCTCCACGTCCAACGCTTGACGATGTCGTAGGTGTCATGGTATATTTGTACGATATCCACGGTTCCTTTTGTCGCTCTGCGTATGTGGACGCGATGGAAGAGAGTCGGCAGGTTCGGCATCGACGACTACCTCGTTGTACTCTCGTTGCTGTGTCTCATCGGGGACCTCGCCATCCAACAACACATGTGGAACCTAGGTCTTAGTCAGATCCCATCAATATCGCCAGAGAACTTCAAAGGCATAATGCAGATGATTATCCCTGGATCAACACTCTACGTTACCTCTCTCTGGGCCATCAAGTTCGCCCTCGTCTTCTTCTACAAGAGTCTTGCCGCGCCAGGATCGCGACTTGTCACTGTGTATAATGTTGCGCTGGGTGGTTTGGCCGTCACATATCTCATCATCTTCTTCGATATCCTCTTCCAATGCTATCCACACGATAAGCGATGGTCTAATAACCCAGCATGTGCGTCAAACACCTTTTCTTTCCCCACACGTATGCTATTTGTAGAGTGAACTTGGGCTGACCCTGTGTAGATCAATGTGATCCACGAGCTGCAGAGATCAACTACTGGATTACCATTTTTTGTAAGTTGACGCAGATGCCCCTGTTTCCCCATGACTCTTGCGTTAGTTTCTTTTTTTGTGATAGGGCTGATATGCACGGCAGTTAACATCTTCACTGACGTAATCATCATCGCCCTTCCCATTACAATGGTATCCCGACTGCAGATGAAACTCAAGCAAAAGCTTGGTGTGGCCGCCATCTTTGCGCTTGGATTTCTTGTTGTCATCGCTAGTTGTAAGTCGTCTGTCTTGGCCGTACCTAAACTTTGCTAACGGGTATCACAGGCATCCGTGCCTACTACTCTAAGCGCAACGAAACAATGTTGACGTGCACGGTCTCCATGATTGAAACCGCCATCGCCATCATAGCGACGTGCCTTCCCGCCCTACGCTCTACCCTTCTCGGAACCAACACCACAAAGGGCAGCTCAAGCGGCTATGGCGGTCGGCACTACGAGCTCTCGTCTGCGCGGCGCAAGGCTAGCGAGAACCGGCTCCATTCATCAAAGATGAACAGCAGCCATCAAACCAGCAGCACCGGCGGTCTGCAATCTCATACTCGCGCCAACGGCTCCGAAGATTCGCTCTTCTCCAACGAAAGCCTGAATGCTGCCGAGACAGGAACGGCAGGAACGGCAGTAAAAGGTATTCGCGTGAATACGCAAATCGAGACCATGTTTGAGGAAGGAAGACACGATAGCAGTAGTCCAAACGTTAAGAGTCCATTTGCTTGAGAAAACACGTTACGCCGCCTCCCTCATAGCAAGGGATTAAAAGTTAATAATCATGTTGAACGTTGCAAAAGAAAAGAGAAATGATGCAGGCTGGATGAGTGGAAGAGGGACATCAGGCAGGGCCTGACTCCCCTTCTTATACGAACCCAAACGGCCTCTCTTTGCCTATCTAATGTTACAAATTAACGCCTATCCGGGATATCACACCGATGGGCACACCGATAAGGGACGACAACCCCCGCTTTAGAATAGTATTAGAATCCTAATTGCCTCAACTTTGCCTAAAACGAAAGCAAAATAGAACAAAATAAGGCTGAAATCCGGCTCCTTTTGATCCCCCCGAAATGCATGAAATCCAAATCCTTCCTCGGCTTCCTTTCCGAGGTGCAGTTGCATAAGTGGAGTTTTTATCAACGGATTTAAAGAAGGGGGAAAGACGAGAAGAAAAAAAAGGGCCTTTACCCGGGACGCGGGTCTTTCCCATAACCGCCGCCCGCGACCCTCTCCCCCCCCCCCTTCCGCTTCGGCGTTATTCCCGGGGAGGTCTAATACTAACCGCGGAGGCTGAAAGAGGCTGTTCATGAATAACATGCGAATTTTTTGAAGGAAGTGGGTTTGCTGGGTTTAAATGTGTGTGTCTGTGTGAGATAAACAGTGTTCTTAATATGTAAATGATGATACCTTTTTTTTTCGCGATTGTTGGATATGATGTGAGAAAGGATCAGCCGGTTGATTTGCGCGCGCCCCCCCCCAGAAAAAAAACGATGTACGTGCGTAGCAAGTAAGAGCTGCTTTCAGGCAAAAAAAAAGGACCACACGCACTATCCGACAAATCACGTTTGCAAATGATTGATTCTCTTTCTACAACACACAAGGTATATTCAACTTTTACCTACTTGGGGAAATACTTTACTTCCCTTTTTTGGGCTGTTTCGATTTGCTTTTAAAGGATAGTTTTTTTATTATTTGGGAGTCAAAGGAGATGATCCTTATCGCTTCGGGGGCACCGACGACTTGATTATGCGATCGAGCTCCAAGGCCGTAAGAAACACCGAGAAGGATTCGTCGTTTGCACGCTTGCGGTGTGGAAGTAACCCAAGGTGGTGGGGGAGGGTTCCGGTTTTTTTTTATTTGGTTACATGCTTTGCTTGAAACGGTGGGGGGGGAGCGCCCGATATGCGGCGTCGTGGTTTGTCGGATAGAGTGTTGGAGCGTGGGAAGATGTTGTGAGTTGGGTGTGATTGATGGGTGATGGAGATGCGGTAAGATCCAAACGACAGACGACAGCACGATGAAGATTTCATGAACAAGAATGAATTGAACAAGCCATAATATGAGGAGAAAAGGAAAGGACAAGGGCGCTATTTCTCCCGAATACGCCAGGTTCAGGCCCATCAAACGCCCAGAATATGCGTACTATACCTCCCCACCCGATACAGAAAACACGAGACAAATAAAAGGCCCGAGAAAGGAAAGAAAAGAAAACCGAAATCAGCCAGGAAAAAAAGATAACAACGTATTCCTTCAGACCTCGAGTCCTCCCACCATGTAGAACAGCAAATAAGCCTCGGCAGCGAGAACCTCTGCCTCACTGACAAGCACAACCTTGCTATCGTCAAACATGAACCAATCGCTTCCTTCGCGGCTGTAGCTGATATAGTGCCCAGAGTCCATCTTGCCCTTGTGCACAATGACGCTGCTGAGCTCGTAGACGAGAGCGTTGGCAGGGCTGTTGATGTTGTAATTTGTAACGGGGATACCGGACGCCTTTGCCGCACGCAGGGCGGCCTTATGGGCAGCGGTGTAAGGATAGATATCTAGCTTGACTGGGAAGCGAACGGGTGTTTCAATCTTGGACGATGTGGATTTGGTATGCTCGAAACGCTGGAATTGTATGTTAGTTTATTGTACAAAGAGGGTTCGAAGGATTCGGGTGACGGTACCTTGAGGTGGATGGATAGCACTGGTGGTAATCGCTTGATGCTAAGTTGCTTGGTGGCGTTTTGCGGGCTGTCACAATTCCTACATGTGTATTCTGCTGAGCCGAGTTTCTCTTTTGCGGTAAAGCGCTCGAGACAGTCGCGGAGATCCAAAGGCGTTTCTTCACCCTTTTCGACGTTCATCTTTCGCTTCTTGCTCTGGATCCGTACGTCAAGACTAAGGTCCATGTAGGGATCCTGTGCTGTGGTAACATTTCGGCAGCTGTCGCATGTTACTGTGCTTGACAGCTTCCCACAGAACGTCTGATGTATAATGCATTTGCAATCCTCCGAATCGTCTGTTGATCCACCGTTTGCAAGATGCAGGGTGTTGAGTATAAACTGCATGTACTCGTGGGCGTCTTGCTGTTGATAACCTGCAAGAGCCTCTCCGGCTAGCCAGCTTCCCATGAGCATGCTGACAGCGCCAAAGCCCTCCGTCTTCTCGGCCGAATGGAACTCGACAAACATTTCGTCGAGCGCGCAGCTCACGCACGACTCCTTCTCACAGTCTGTTTGCTTATGCCCTTCGGAGAGGTAGAAGTTGCGTATAAAAGGATTGTGGACGAGAGTCTGTAGGATGACACTCATGAAGCATGTCTGGCCCATGTTGTAGAGACCGCGCAGGCCTATCGCTCGGCAGGGGAGAAAGGTCGAATTGCTGATGACGAGCTTATGGTCCTCGGTCGTAGTCGTATCTTCGTATTTTCGCTTCTTCCCTGTAATGTCGTCAGCCGACTGGTGTTGCTTCAAGCCGTATCATGATGATATGCGCACCCTTCTGTAACCTCAGAATCTCCAGCGCCTCGTCATATATAAAGTCCTGACAGTTACCGCAGTATACATTGCCATCGCGCGATTCAACCGCTGCTGCGCGTTAGCCTTTGCGCATCCCGCGCACAATGTGGTACCTACAGAAGCAGTGCGACTTGGTCTCAAAATGTAGGTCGCGGTCGGCCTCGGTCATGATGTTGGGGCATTGCAAGCACAGAAACAATGGCCTGAGTGAGACGATGGGTTTCGAATCCGACGTCGCATTATATGTCTGGGCTATTATACTCGGCTTCTCGTGGATGTTCTGGAGGATGGCCCGGTAGTGCTGGAGCGTCTGCTTGCGCGCGTTCTCGAACATTTCGCCCATATGCTCTGGCTGGTCGTCAGCGCCGTCTGGATGTGCGTGATGAAGCAGCGGTCTTACCACAGCCATACTCGATATGCGCCATCTGGCTACTGGGCACAATGTTGCCCTTAGCATTCTTAACAATCTTGGGCGACGCCAGCGCCGACGCCTTGGGGGCGACTGCTATCGTGTCCATGGTGCCGACTTGGAAGCAATGTAAAATCGAGTGTGTGCGCCTCTACTCCCACATGCTGGAAGCGCAAGGTATAGGTCTAGCCAGCCGTCGCGGTGCGCAACGTGGGAGGGGGGTATTTCTGGGGTTGCGGGAGGCGGACCTGCATAGTACCAATCGCGTCAAGTACGAGATGCGTCACTAGCGCATCTCTCGGGACCTTGACCACTCATTCCGATTCCGATTACCACACTCGAAACCTCCTTCTCCAAGAAAGGTCATAGAGTTGATAGCGGCTGTATTTTATTTGATATTCGCAGCTTCGTGCTCGCTTGTAACACGTCTTTACCATGATTGGGAATTCTTGATCCATCATTCAAGGCCGTTGGCACCCTACAGACGAGAAAAACGGGTGCAAATTTATGTCCCAGAATGCATACAAAATGATAGATCCACAAGTACATATCCCTGGAGGTATGTTTGTTGCAAATTCCAGTAATCCACAAGCACCGTCTTCCAGGTGTGTTTGATGGGCAATTCATAGACGACTCAGTAAGACTTCACACCAGCATGCCCATGACTCGTATAGCCGATATACATGCAAGGTACATGTACCGAGGCCGCTCCTCAACTTACTTCCCCGCCTCCGAAACTTCCTGTAAGAATAAAAGGCGACTGTACATACAAACCGTATTCATCTCATCTCACAGTGAAAAACATGTCACAATTTCTGGACCGTTGAAACGTACACATACATATAGTCTTTCTCAAACACAACTCAGAACCCAACACTGCCCTATTGCACAACCCAGCGCACACGAATCGCCGTACAAACATACCCAACAATGCCACCAAACTCTTCCCTCCCAGAATCAAACACATCCCTAACATACACTACTCCTTGCTCTTCTCCCCACCTAACCCACACACCCGTCCCCATCCCGTCTCCCAACGAAGTCTTGATAAAAGTCCATGCCGCAGCTATAAATCCCGTCGACATACAAGTTTGGAGTAGCCCCCTTGTAGGCTGGCTGACTGGAAAAAAAGAGAAAGGAATAGGGAGGGACTATTCGGGTGTGATTGTTGCGGTGGGTGAAGAGGTGAAGAAGCAAGGGAAGTGGGAGGCTGGGGATGAGGTGTTTGGATTGTATAATAACCTTGTATGTTCTTCTCTCTTTTGATTCCCTTTTTTAAAAAACAAACAAACAAACAAACAAACAAACATCCACTTCTTATTTCTAAACCACCTTTCTCGAAAAAAAAACATAAACTACACTCTCATATCCTTGTCCTTCTTTCCCATTACGAGATAATAAGAAGAAAAAAAATATAACCTACACTTCACAACCCTCAACTAACCTTTCAACCCCCCCAAAAAAAGACTGCAGAAGGAACATTCACCCACTACCTCCTCCTCTCCCCCTCCACCTCCCCTCTCGCCAAAAAACCACCATCCCTCCCCCACTCCTCCGCATCCGCCATCCCCCTCGTCGCCCTAACCGCCTACGCCTGCCTCTCCTGGCTCCCCTCCACCCCCCGCACACCCACCCACCCCTACCGCATCATCATCTCGGGCGCAAGCGGTGGCGTCGGCACCCTCTGCGTGCAACTCGCCAAGCGGCTGCACGCCAGCCACATCACGGCCATCTGCTCCTCACGCAACGCCTCTTTCGTACGCTCCCTCGGCGCCGACACCGTGCTCGACTACACATCCCAAAACATTCGCGAGGCGCTCCTTGAAAGCGTAGAAAAAGAAGGTGCAGGCTACGACTTGTACGTCGATTGCGTGGGTGGCACGGATGTGTTTGCGTATTGGACGGGCTTGCTGAGGAGAGAAGGGGCGTATGTTACGATTGTGGGGGATAAGACGGAGAGGACCGTTGTGGGGGGGCCGTTGACGTATTTTACGCATCCGAGGCAGGTGCTGAGGTTTCTCAGGGGGTGGTTGGTGGGGCCGCGGTATGCGAGTGTCATGTTGTGGGATAAGAGTGAGTGTTTGGAGCAGGTGGCTGGGTTGGTGGAGAGGGGGGACGTGAGGGTTGTGGTGCAGGATGTTGTCAAGGGGATTTTGGATGAGGGGACATATGAGGAGGCGTGGGAGAGGGTTAAGGGGGAAATGGTGGGGGGAAGGGTTCGGGGGAAGATTGTTGTTGATGTTTCTAGTTAGAGAGAGAGAGAGAGAGAGAAAGGGAGGGGGATTATTGGTGGTGCACAAAGTAATGTTTCATTTGGCTAACAAAGTATGGATAAATGAGGTGTTGAGAAGAGAAACGCCCTTGTTGTACTGCCTTGACTTGATGCCTCCTATACTACAAGCCCTCCGCCATAGCTACCCCTCTCTAGCACTGAAGCTTGGCTGGGCCGGGGATCTTGTATTGACCGTTGCCAGTGGGCTGACCTTGAGAGTTGTAGATGCTGACCTTGATACCGGCATCGTCGGCCCGGTAGGCGCCAGGGAAGCTGACAGTGGTTCCAGTCTTTGATCCTGAGGCTGAAACGTTGACTTGAGCACATCCCTGTGAAAATGTTAGTAAAGGTTTAGTTGCATATAGTCTCAATTTCTTACAATGTAGAACTGTGCACCGCCAACAGAGCTAGCACTGTGGAGCGCAATCAGCTCAGCTCGCACGAGGTACTGGCCTGAAGCAATGCAGGATGGCACAGTGAACTCGGTCCATCCGTTGTTGGAGATCATGCGGTCAACTCCCCAGGTAGTGCCTTCAAGACCATCCTCGGCGACCTTGAACCATTGTAGGCCAGAGGGGGAGGCACTGGCTGCGTTGGAGACCTTTGCCATGTAGAAGATGGCAGGACCCTTGTGCGACTTGGCAATGGGGTGGTCTGGGTCGTTGGCACCTCTGTTGGGGGTTAGTAATGGATCAGTCTAGAGTGTAGTATTGCAAAAACGTACTGGGCTCCTCCAACGACATGGCCCCACTGAACACCAACCCTGTCACCGCCCTTGACATCAATGACCTTGCTGGAAGAAGAGACACCGGTGTTGCAAGCCATGGCACCATCGTTGACGTTGGTGATGGGGTTGTTGGACGAGGCAACACGAATACCGTTGCCTAGACCAAAGTCCTGGCCGTTGACGCGGACACGCTGGGCAATGGTGTGGGCTGACCCAAGAGCGGGCAGCAGAGCAATGGCAGCGGCGAAGAACTTCATGTTGAAAGAGTGGATGAAGGTGTAGTGGTAGTGAATGAGTGGTAAGACAAGGTGAGGTGCCTTATTCTGTCGTCTTGCCCATCTCTTATATAGTCAGTTGTTCATGGTTGCTATGATACATAAGATAGTGCCCAGTTCAGGACTGTGAGGCCAAGCCTTGCCGTTGTCTACGTCAATCGCTGGGCTGCAATCTATTCACGCCACATGGGAACAAGAGCGAAATGGCGTGCAGGAGTTGGCATGCACTCCAGGCTTTCTTTCACGGTAGTTCCGGCGGCGGCAGTCACCAACCTCCCAATTAGGGACATGGCATTTAATCAAGCGGAGCAGATGGACGAGTGTGCCTAGGCGCCGATATATGGCGTTTCGAAATAAATGCGCCGTGTAATCAAGCACCCGGCAAGCATTGCTTGGCAGTGGCATTTGTGTGCTGTCGGTTAATATATATCCGCGACAAAGGCCCGTGAGCGAGACCTCATGACCGGTTTCTGGAAGCAGCCATGTGCCATGACTTGTGCATGGTACTCTTTCTTTGATGTTTACTATTCAGGAAAACAGTGGGTGGGATGGTGTTGTTTTGACTGCGAATGAGCGTTGGGGTTTAGTTCTTCTTCTTCTGGTTAGATGTACATGTTTAAATGCAGATAGGGGTAGTTGTGTATACTACTCATGAGACGGAACACAACTTGTTGAGCCGGCTCCGCGGCGAGTACTTCGCCAATCTCGTTTGCATACAAACTAAGTCCCCATGCAATCCGGAGGCGGTATGCCATGTCCAAGTGCAGGTGGCGAAGCGAAAGGTGGTATAAGCGAGAAGGGAGACAATTTCCTGATGGACATATAAGGGAGTGTGCAACCGCCGTCGTTTGCAAGCTAGTCGGACATGATGTGCAACGTCTTGTTTGGGAGCGGTGCGTGGTAGAGAGTTGGGGGCCGGAAGTGGAAGGTGTTTGATATGCTTTTCCTTGGACGATTAGCGGTTCCATGCTGGTATGGTGGAGGGCACTAGGCGAGATGCATTGCAGGTGTATTTCTTCTGTGCTGGCCAATCAAAGGGGCGGAAATTGCAAATGCTACATTCGAGCACGAAGCACTGGCCATGCTGCATTTGCTGCAGCTATTCCTACCCGATTACATACTAGATGTGTAGGTATATACCGAGCAAGTCACGGGGTTTGCCTTGCAGGTTCAACTGCACGCAATCTTGACCTGCAGCGTGTGGAGCAGTGGTCATCTTGGTGGATTGATAGATGACGACACTGGAACGGGTCTAATGCTCGGGTTTCTTGGTTGCTTCGACTAGCGATGGCACTTGGGTTTAGGGTAGCATTGGGGCAAAGGGGTCTTCCAAGGTACACGCGGATTGCAGCACGCCGACGGGACACCTGGACAGAGTTAGCAAGAGGCGTGTATTTGGCATAGTCATGGCCGTATTCGCTCTGATCTGCAGAAGCATGTCTCCAACTGCAACTGCAACTGCAACTCCGTCCTGGACCGGCACGTTCGGCAGATTTTCTTCTCACCCCCGCTTCGTCTCCACGTGTTTGGGCAGAGAGGATTTACATACGTACAGACATGCGTACACACATACAGCCTGTAGGTGTCGATACAGGTGCATTTACAGCACACTCACTCCGGGGTGCGATGCATGCTCAGTTGGCCAGGCAACGACCTCGATCACTATGTATCTTGTACACATGTATGTATATGCAATGCGTTGTTGGCAGTGGTGGTGCAAGCAAATGTGTGGCGACTCGGAAGACTGCGCAACCGGACGGGCTCGACCAGCCATGGTGATAGGCCAGAGGAAGAGAGCAGCGCCACAGACTAAGGCTCGAGTCGGGCAGATTTGGCTGGCTTGTCGCATCTGCGCAATGACGATGACGCTCGTGTGTTGTGCATTACATCACTCGGAGACCTTGAATGCCTCCTTGCGCTGCCGTCGCCAGGCCTTATACCCCTTTGCTGCCTGTCCCTGACACTCAGTGCAAGTAGCTCCTCGACACAATCATTCACCTGGCGCGTGCGTCCATTTTTGCCCAACATTGACGCACCTGCATGCGGATCTACACTGTACATCAACACTCCCGTCCCCTCGATTCGACTTTGTTCCCGTTGGCGCCCCACGCAATCTCCGCCCTGGCCTCCCCGCCGCCTCCCTTGGCACGACCCTGTACGTCACCACCAGCCACAGAACCCGCGCGGCACTTGTTCTCTCTATTGCTGTGAACCCTTTCCTCTGTCCGTATATCAGCCAGGGTCCACCCCCGCTGCCCGCTTGCCTTCACTACCATCACATCCCAAGCCTGCCGTCCTGTCAACTATCCGACATGGCCATGCAGCGACCAGTGACGCCCTCGGCCTCCTACCAAGCCGTGCCACAGGTCGACGATCCAGCCTACCTCAGCAGAGGATACGGCACTGGCACCAATGACTTTGCATCCTCTCCACCAGCAACGCACTATGATCGCTCTCGCCTCGGCAGGTTCGAGGAAGACTTCGACGCGCCCACTCGGGGCACTTCAGTCATTGACGGCGACATGCACCCGCGCTCCTCCTCGCGCTCCTCTACCCTGAACCAAGGCCTCACGCCTTCACGCGGTGGTACCTTGAAGAAGAAGGGCTCCGTAAAGAGGAGTGGCAGTCTCAAGCGCAGTGGAAGCAGAAAGTCCTTGCACGCTGGCAGCATTCGTGGCGTGGCCATCGACGACCAGGAACGTGGCTACGATCGCGAGAATAGTGTCTTCTACACACCCGTCCCTACCAAAGGCTCACCTACCGAAATCCTAGCAGAGCGCTTTCAAAGTATGTCGTCATTTGGCCCATGGTTGAACTACTCACTAACATGTCACAGCCTGGCGCAAGTTCCTAAAAGACCTCATTACCTATTTCCGAGAGGTCGCTGCTTCCTACGAACACCGAGCCAAGTCACTCCTCAAAGTCTCAAACGTAATCAACAACACCAATGCGCCCTCTGTGCTCCTCACCGAGGGAGGCTTAAACGACGCCAACCGCATCCTCCGCGATTTCCACAAGCAGGCAATTGCTGAAGCCAACAAGGCCCGGGACGTGGAGACAGACGTCATCAACCAACTCAGTAGTCTCCGCGCCGACCTGGCGCAAAAGATCAAGGAAATCAAGTCTCTTTCAGGAGACTTCAAAAACAATGTTGAGAAGGAAAAGGAAATCACCAGAAAATGTGTGACAGCACTTGAGGAGGCTCTCGCAACAGCTGAGGCAGACCCTACAGCTGCTGCTGGCAAGGGTGATCCATATGTCGTCCGCTTGGGCGTCGAGCGACAGGTCGAGAGGCAGATTGACGAGGAGAACTACCTACACAGGGTGAGTGGCTGCACCTGCATAAACTATACCTAGCTAACCAAGACAGGCATACCTTAACATTGAAAACTCTGGTCGCGAACTCGAGTCGATTGTCGTTGGCGAAATTCAAAAGGCCTATAACGCTCTGGCCAGCATTTTGAAGCGCGAGGCGGATGAGCAGTACAACACGGTTGAAAGACTGCGGAATGGCCCAATTGCCATGCCCCGTGACCTCGAATGGAGCAAGTTTGTGAGAAGCGATCCTCACTTTGTCGACCCCGATCTACCATTGCGTAAACTCGGGGACATCCAGTATCCCGGCAAATACCACCCAGCCACCACAGAGGTTAGGGCTGGTATGCTCGAGAGAAAGAGCAAGTACCTCAAATCATACACCCCAGGCTGGTAAGTAACTTCTTTCCTTCAACATGACCCCCCTAACAAGCACAGGTATGTCTTGTCGCCAACCCATCTCCACGAATTCAAATCTGCCGATCGCATCTACACTCAGCCTCCAGTCATGTCCTTGTATCTGCCAGACCAGAAGCTTGGTTCTCGTTCCCAGCCCGGAAGTTCCTCCCACAAGTTCGTTATCAAAGGCCGTCAAGCTGGATCCATGCACCGTGGCCATACTTGGGTATTCCGGGCCGAGACTTACGATACGATGGTGGCCTGGTTTGAAGATATCAAGGCCTTGACAGAGAAGAGTGGCGAAGAGCGCAACGCTTTTGTTCGCCGACACGCAAGTGTTAGGAGCACCAGCGCTGGCAGCGCCCGCTCGGCCAGCTCCGACGGCGGTCTCGAGGAAGACGAGGCAGACGCCGTTCCATTTTCCGCCAACCAGTCATTGAAAGATCAAGCCAGGGACCAGTCCTCGACGCGACCTACACGACCTTCTCCAGGTGGGCGATTTCCGTCTGATTTAATGGTCAACCGTAACTTACAAGCGCCCCTTTCGCCATCTAGTGGAAGTTCGGAGGTCAATTATGATTTAACAACTGCATCTGGGGGACCACCACAAGAAATGCACCCCATGTATCTCGGGCACGAATCAGCACACCAGCCCCTTGAGCCTATGCAGCACGCGCAGTATGCCCAGCCAGACCAACAACAACCACATCATACGTACGAAAATCCATACACTGCCCAGCAATCGTATGCACCTGCAGCCCACGACTATCCTGTTCAACCTATCCAATCTGAGAGCCACTATCCAATCTACCCTGAAAACGACCAGCCCCTTCAACGTCACGATAGTAACAACTATGGTAACTGGATTGCACCCGCCGCTGGAGGAGCAGCGACTGTAGCCCTAGCAAATGAAGCATACCGGAAGAAACAATTGGCCCAGCAACACGCAGAAGCTCGACAGCAAGAATTGAACGGTCAGTCTCAGACCATGAATTATTCACAAGATCATTCTGCCCACGTCCATGAGCAATACTCTGGTGAGATCAGGCCTGATCAAATCGATGATACCGGTTACGTTGCTCCCAATGTGCAACCAACGTCTGCACCAATCGTTGCTCCCATCATGGACAATCAGACCCATCCTCAGCAAACCAACGGTGCTGAAACACCAGTCACTACGTCGTCTTTTTTAGGCGAGTCTGAGGTAGGCGCCGCCCCTACCTCTGGCAAGACTGTCAATGGCGGCCCTGTTCCTGTTGAGCTGGTAGACACTGCTGAGGAGATGGTACAGCCTGGAATGGTCAAGCGGACAGGCACTGACTTCAGTGTTAGCGATCTTCATGTTCCGGGCCAGTATCCGAGGACCAGTATCAGTGATGCCACAATCACCCCAAGGGTACCTAATGGTATTGCAACAACGCAGTAGCTTAGGATATCGTTAGGATACGACTGATTGCATCATGTATATGAGTATATTGACTGGGTTATGGATGACGAAATACACGATTGGGACTACAGGTATATGGTACAAGGCTGGGAATGGTTTTGGGACTGGAGGCTTATGGCCAAGGGTATGGGTATGGGATACACCCAGGCGGTCTTTTCTGTGGGTAACCTTGTTTTTGTGATATCTTTTTCTCGTTTCTGAGCGAGAGCTTTACACGCTCGTTGCGGACTTTTCTTCTTCCGCTCTCCTCGTGCCATTGATACCCTATGCGATATTCCCCCTATAGATAGCTTTGTATGTCTTTGTTTTGCAATTGAATCATTCGTTGGTTTTCATGTGCATTACTACAAGCCATTTACAGACCCCCTGTGTAAGAATGTATACAGGCCCTTCTGACTCAAGAATGAGTATGCTTGAAACTTGGATGCGTCAATTCTTTCCAACTACAAGTTCGAGAGCCAATACCCTAACGGACGGTAACACAAAGCGGAGTTTCAAACTTCAGGTTGCAACGGAGATATTATCCAAGAGTCACGCAAAAAATCATGCGTTAAGAACCCATCTAGCATGCTGAATCAATCCAACCCCCGCCTCATGAAACACATAACCCAAAAAGAGGGGGGGAAAAGAAAAGAAAAGGAAAAGTTACCCGCAAAAAACCTTGCACTTTCTGTAACACAAGCCATTTCGTGTTCGGCTTCGGTAAACGCAACTTATATTAATTTACCCGCAATGTTTGCTATGCGCCATTACTCAGATCTCTCATCGTCATAGGGGTGGGGTGTGTGTGACGACCATGTTGTTCTAGAAGCGCAAGATGAAACCCATTGCTTGTGGGGGGGGGGGGTTACGAACAAAGAGGAAAGGCGAATCCGAGTCTGAATCTGTAGAAACAAGAAGGGAAAGAAAAAAAAATGTATAACTACGCAGTAAGCACCGATGCCACAAGGCCCCTTTCGATTGATAGGAAAGAAACGTATGTTTTGTGCATGTTAGAATTGTACCGTGCGTGTGCGTGTGCGAAGAAAAAAAAACGGAATTCCGTAACGTCCGTACTAATGTACATGAGCGAAGTTGTGTATAAGGAGAAAACGACGCGGTATGCATAGTGGTGCAGTATCGGTAAGGCTGCAGCTGCCACCGCCTGCGCCTCACGCCACCCCTTTTTTTTTGTGATTTGCTCCAAAGTACGAGATAGGAGAGAGTCTATGTGTGTGTGCGAGAGAGAGAGGAAGGGTTTTGCAGCCTCGTTTGCAAACTAACTATGCTTCTATTCTACCTCTCAACCCCCCCCCCATGTGGGTTTCTAGTAAGTAAAACTCGACAAGCCATAACCCATAGTTACTGCTACATATAGTAAGTAGTATACTACTTACTCTGTGGTATCTCATTGAACCAGCCACCACTGCTTAAAGCTTACTTGTTACGTTGCACAGTTGCTTACTTGGTAGCACAAAAAGCCACAATAGCATATCGCCCCTGGTCTAGTAGCCAAAACAGAATTCCCCAGTGTTAATCTCCGCACAACCACCGATTTATTCTCACGTGTGTGTGTGTGTATGGCGAAACATTGCACTAAGTAAGCTATCCTTTATTTCCCTTGTAGCGAGAATTACAGTGGGTGTCTCGATCTCTTGGGAATAAAATAGTTGTTTTCATCACATCCCCTCTTATGTTCAGTTAGGACAGGAAAAGAGTGGCTGGGGCTGGCCCATGTGAGGCGCTAGTAGGTGTGTTTTAGTGCGGTGTTTTCTGCACAGCCACTACTAGACTACTGGGGTGGTGGGGGTGGTTACGTGGACCTTTATGTATGCTGTGCGCGGCTTTTGGATGGGGTGATGGGAGAGAGGGTAGTTGCTGTGTAAGGAATTTTTTGCGAAAGTAGGGTGGATGATTGGAGGGTCTGGATTCTTTGTTTTTTTTTGAGGGGGGGAGATTAGATGTTTGTGTGGAGGGAGCGAGAAAGGGTGTGGTGTCACGCAATTATGGGGTGGTGTGCTTGTGGGATACTAAGGATGGGCTTCTCGACTGGATTCACCCTGTTTCGTGGGATATGGTTTGGATTGTTTCTACTATGTGGTAGGAGAGGTGAGTGGGTTGGGGTTGAAACGGGGTAATCAAGTGACAATGACGAAACAAGTTCATGTCGCAATGAACCATGGTAGATGCGAATGATATGCTTAGGGCTGAGCGAGAAAAAGCCGGCGACAGGGGAGAGACAGAGAGTGCAACCCAAAGTTAGTGATTGGCGGAAGATGTCACCAAGATTGAAAGGGAGGATGAAGAGGAAAAGATTACCAACCATCTAGCCCTGCCCTTCACCCAATGATGACATGTAAGAAACGGGAACAAAAGGCCCGGTAACCACGGTCGTTTGATCTCACACCCCTTGACACCATCTCGCGCCCACCAAACCCATTCCCCTCCCCCAAACTCATTCCTCACCAGTAACCCGCGTTTTTCCCTCGTATTGTTTACTCGCACCTTACTACTCTACACCTTCCCACCGAGCCAAAAAGACCAAGACCGAGAAAAATCCCCCTCCCTTCCTCCGCCTCAAACAACGTCATGCGCAACCCATGTCCACGTAGCCTCTAACCCCAAACCACCTTCCCAAAGTCGTAACTCTCCCCAAGTTTAAGCCTCACATACGCGTTTGCGCGCACGCACACAACCCCAAGCACCTGCTCAACGCATAACCCCGAAAGTCTTGCCCTTAGCCTCCCCCAGCCCAAGGCTAACAACACACACACGTGGGTAGTAAATCTGTTTCCCACTCCTTCTTCTTCTCCCAAACGGCCCAACTACCAAGTCCCAAAGAACCAACAAAAAAGGGAACACACGCACGAACGCGCGCGAAAAAACAACGCCGCGCCCATCATCATCTTAGTTACTAGTCCCGGGTTAATCCCCGATGTATATCTACTTTTAACATTATCAAGATTCCCTATATTATAAGAAAGCGAACCAGGGCAATACAAGTGTTGATCTTATCGATTTTTCACTATTTTTATCTTTAGAAAATGTCAAAAAAAGGAGACAGAGAGAGAGAGAGGACAAACATGGGGAAACGGACAAAGAAAAAAAAAGATGGGGACAAATTACAGTAGTGTGTGTACATTGTAGGGATACATGCATGTCAATAGTTCAGGTACAGTAAGACGGGTTGATGACGACGACTTTTCATGTGCGTGCGTGCGTGTATGTGAATCTAACCCCAACCGCGTTTCCCTTTCTGCCTTCTTTCCCATATTCCACCCCATAAAGCTGAAAGTCTTAATCCTTGGCTTTCTTTTTGCTTTTACTCTACCCCCTGTTCCTCTTTCCTGGCTCTGCCTTGTCTATTGGGGAGGGGGGGTGGACCCGGCGTTCGGGTCTGATGGACTCTATTGGAAGTTGAGAGGGAGGCAGAGAAAAAGACGCGTGGGGAGTAAGAATACGAGAGGGGTCAAAGAAGGGTTTTCGTAAACAGAATACGGTCTTGTGACTGGTGTTATGACACACCAATGGCTATTCTACGTAATCAATAAAGTCACCGTACTCGCTCTGTATCCAATCGTAGCTATCCACATACCACACATATTTCACTCCATGATGTTGCTGTTCCACAGGACCTGCTGTTGATTTGAATTTTTTGTATTGGCCGAGACGATAGAGTAGACTATTGGGCGCCTGTTGGATCGGCTACTACTACATGGTGACAGCGCACGTGGGCGTGCCTGTTTTGAGATTTTAGGTTTTTGCTGATTTTTTGGGATACAAAGGAGCGGCAGGACAGAAACTAATGTCCTCGAAATGGTGATTGGGGGGGTAAGGAATGTGGTGGACGTAAGATTACCGTCCGGTATAACAAAGAACAAAATATAAGGGAGGGACCTTGGTGCCCGCAATGTATGTGCGCCAAATGTTAAGTTTGTAAAGTTGCCCATTTCAATTGCCCGGTATCTAACACCCCACGAACGCCCAGATGGAAAAGGAAAAAAAAGAGGATAGAAAAAAGAACAAAGAGGATCGGGATATAACACGAAGAGGGACAAAAACTCTGCTACTACAAATCTTTCCTGTCCTCGTTCAATTCTGGCTCAAGGTGTATCCGTCATATACTGAATAGTAACGGGCTAAATCGCAAGATGATTCTTACTCTCGTCGTCAATGCGTGGTCGCGCACACCGTAGTGCGAGACATGAGGTGAAGGAGATTAGGTGTGTGCGGTATCGAGGGTATTGAGGTTTTGTTCGTCAGCGACTCCAACCGTGGAAAGGGCTGAGGTGAAGAGCGCAATCGTTGTGCGCAGTGTGTCTTATTTTGGCGCTCATACATTGGTCACCTGGTGTAATGTTAGCATGTAGTCACGAGGGTGTTCTGACACGTCTTGCTTACCTTCAATATCCGCCTCGAGTAGTCTTCGTTGTCTGCAATACTGCCGTTGCTCTGCCTTCGGTCCATGAAGCTCGGGTCCAGACGAGAGTCATTCATGGACGAATTGCTCGTGTGCAGCTTGCCACTGCCAACGAACGAGTTAACATTGGCGGCGTTGCGACGGTAGTCTTCTTCAGCCTGTTGTTGACGTCTCCGGCGCAACAAGAACCAAACACCGAACAGAATGGCTGCCAATCCTAGTATTCCGACAACGACGCCTACTGCGATGGCGACTGTGTTGGGCTTGTCGTCCTGTGGAGGTGGCTGAACCGGAACGGCGGTGGCACTGGCAACGGCAGTGGATGATGGCACAGTGCTCGATGTCTTTGGTGCTAATGAGCTGCTGCTGGATGATGATGATGGCTGAAAGTAGTCGACTTGGTTCCTGGTGTTGCCGGTGAGGACAACCCACAGAAGATTCTTACCACCACCTGCGAGGGATTAGCATGGTGCACGCAAGGGTAATTTTTTGCACATTGGACTTACAGCCAGTGGTGTCATCACCAGAACATGTGGTGCTACATGTCTCGTTCTTGACTTGCCATTCTTTGGCAGGAATTTCGTCTCCACACCAGCAGTTTTCACCGTCGGACAAACCCATGACATCCTTGTCGAGTTGCAGACAGACCAGTTGGCAGTTACCCGGTGATTGGAAGTTGTAAGAGCCGTGGTTCTCGAGTGGCAGGCCAGTCTCGAAGCAGCCGATGCTGGTCATGGCACTGGCGGGCTTTGTGACGGTGGGTGTTGTGATGGGGTTCTTGATGGTTGGGGTGCCAGTATCGGCAGAGGCCATGGCGACAATGGAAGCCGCTGCGAGAGCGGACGCGAATCTGAAGGAGACCATGGTGGTGGACTGGTAGGCTGGTCCTGTGGCGATGGAAGTGGTGCTTCGGCGGTCCGGTCAACGGCGTGTCGGTTGACCGTAGGGGTGCTTGTGTGCGAGTGTCGCACTTTTGGCCTTTGCGCAAGGGCGTCTACACATGCAAGGCCTCAAGTAGGCAGTGCCTGGATGGGCCGCTAGATGAGGCGGTCGAGGGTTTGATGGACGGAGATGGGGGCGAGGCTGCGGTTGATGTTGGACGATGGGCGGCGTGAGAATGGGGGAAAAGGGTCGAGTGTGGGTTGATTGGGTTACTTGGGTGACGGGGCGATGGAAAATGGGGTGTTGTTGATAGTCGACGTGGTGCCTGTGTATGTGTATGGGTGACTGGGTACAGGCAGGCAGGAAAGCAGGCTCGGTCAACGATGCCCAGCGGCGTCCTTGAGAGGTTGAAACCGAGGGCGTAGGGACAGGACAGATGTCGATGAAACGGTTCGGATGCCCCGTGGAATGCACCCCTGAGGCGGTAGGCAAAAGGAAGGAAAACAGTCGGGGGGAAGGGGCGGTGGGAGATGTAGAGGGCAGCGGTCAGGTCAAACGATTGTGGATGTATGTCGATGGTAAGTGACAGACGGGTGAAGCAGACAAACGAGAGGAGGCTCGGGCCTTGACAGGAGTGGATCGCGAGTGAAGAGCAAAGCAAAGCAAAGCAAAGCAAGGAGAGGGCGCCCCCAGTCAGCAGTCGGGATGGGCAGGCACCGCCGGGCCAGGAGAGCAGGAGCCAGCCTTGGCAGCTAGCGCGCCGGCAGTGGCAGTCAGACGCACCCGCACCCTCCCACGACACCGCTTCGGGCAGGGCGCCGCAGATTGCCAGGCGCCCCCTTCATCTGCCTCCAGTGCTATTGCAGCCATCACATAAGCACACATACATACATTAGTTAGTTACTGCTCTTCTCCCTGCCGTTGCTATCCTCCTCACTACCAGCAGAACCGCTCGCCGGGCGCTGTGGTGCGAGGGCCGCCGGTGCAGCGCCATGTCCAAGACGGAATAGCCGGCCCCACCTGCTGCCAGGCACGCGGCCGCTATTGGCTGGCAGTCCAGCCAGTGGCGTTTCACCAACAGCCACGGTCGACAGGGGTGCGTGTGCCTGAGGGCTGACATTGTGCCATGTACGGCGCCGCGCGGTCCTGCACCGCGACCACGACGGCCCTTGGCTAGACGCCTACCGACGTTGGCTCCTTGTCGTCGCTCACCTTTGCTTTTTGCCCTTGGATCATTGGATTGCAGGCCGAGAACCTCTGCGCGATCCACTCGTGCCACTGTTGGGACCTCGACTGACTGCTGAGTGCGCCATGGTCGCCTCGCCGAGCAGTAAACGAGACGCGGTGGCTTGACGGCGCTTTCATGCTCATTTAACCCCCCGGAACATCCTATGCTGTACACGCCGCTGCCCGTTGCCCGCTTCTTCCGGCCCAACCACTCACCGAGAACTCTAGACGTGCACGCCCGGCTCGTGTCCTTGCTCACCCCCATACCCTGTGTACATATACGCCCACATACATGTACGCACTCATACACGTACCTATGTACTTACACATGTACATACTCACTCACTCTGCGTGCTGCCCACTCCCATGGCTTTTCCCGTCTTATATCCATAGTCAACGTATGTCCGTCCTGTCTGCGAACCCGACACACGGCCTGCCTGCCAGCCACCCCGCTTAACCGTTGCGCCTCAGCCTCTGTGCCGCCAACGGGTCCATTAGACAGCCGTCAAATCGTCTTGGTATCCTGAGACACAGGCGCACCACCACGGAGTCAGGCAAGCTCCATCCCAAGACTCAAGACCGTGTCAAAAGTTCCCCAGCTTTGTCGCATCCTCCCGTCAAGCACACCCCATTTTCTGTATCCACCTAGTAATAGTTATGAGCTGTGTCGTAAGCAAGCATGTACGTAAGCACATAGACCAAACCACCAAACCATTCTCGCGATCCTCTTAGTCATCAATGTCACGTGCACTGCCCGCTTCCCAATCTGGACATGCCCTCACTGGCCTACCAAGCTGCACGCCCACTTCGATGACCACCACCCCGCTTGATGCGCCGTCCGTCCGCTGCCTGCCGCAGAGCAGTGCAGTCGCTCCAATTGCCCACTGCCCATCACGTATGGATCTCTGACGACCTCCTCGCCCGGGCCCTCCTTCCATTTTTCCCCAGCTCGTGTCCACAACAGAGACGCCATGGCAGCAACGTCCCGGGGCCATTGGAGGCTAGAAGGAGGGCAGCCAAGCGCCGGATGACTGTCTCTGCGGGGTTCCATCCTCAATACACCTTCCAATCGCTCTTCAACCTCGGCGCTCTGTTTGCCTTCTGCAAAGAGTCGCAGCCTACCTGGAGATATGAAGCGCCGTCCTTGCAACACAGGACCGAGCCATTGGACCTTTGTACGTTTGTACTGTGAAAAACTCAATGTGCTCTGCTGACAATAACAGTGAATCAACAGCTGCCAAGTTCCCAAGTACCTCAATTCGATCGTATTTCACATTCGCATGCAGCCTCGACTCCCCGACCCAACCCACTCGCCTTTCCAAACTCTGATGAGCCCGAACACGCTTCTGCTAGGACTTCAAGTGGAGACTTCAAACAAAGTAGCGCGCATATCCTGGCCCGCTTTGACAACTTCAAATCCCAGGTCATATCCGCAGGAGACCTATCCTTTGCCGAGCGCAACAGACTCCTTGCCAATGCCTGGAAGTCTTGTTGTCCAGTCCACTCCGATGCATGGATGTACAATACTATGGTAGTAGAGTATGTGGTGGAACTTGGTTGGGATCCTTCAAACATTCTCTCGGAACACGAGTCGTTCGCGCTGCCTCCCATGTACACATTGCAAAGCCAAAGCTTTCTCGACTGTTTAGAAAAATCTTCAGCGCGTTTTTCGCACGCCGCCAAAGTCTACCATGAGGTATCGATGAGAATGGTTGAGTTAGCGGGATCTGTCACAATCTCGACAAACACTTCACAGGACACCGAGCTTCTCTTCATCATTCGGCTCGCACTTCAAGGCGCTTTCTCAACAGACAACAAGATCAAGTCCTCTGTAGCACAAGCTTTGGCTTTGGTCGCCGACAAGATTCAAAACATCGGCATTCGAGACACGTTACTCGCAATCCTCACAGGCGCAAATAGTGTACAGCAAAGCACAATCACACTACTTGCGCGTGTTGCCGCCGACTATAAGCTCTGTGCCACCTTGGAAATGACTCTTTTTTGCCTTCCGCGGAAGCAACTTCGATGGCTTATCCCATCGGTTACTACATCTCTGGCCATGGATATCGCACGGGAAACCAGGTTGCCGAATAGGGCTCACGAACATCGCCTCAGTGCATGGTTAACGGTTCTTGAAGGTCTCGATAGACGTTCAGCCTCTCGCGCATCTAGTGCAGATTTTTTCGATACTGCGATTGCAGCAGTGAACAAGTATGTCTTCAGGAACAGCAATCCTGGCAGAATGCGAGGCCATGTATTGCTTCACGCCTTGACATTTCAATTGACACAGCAAACACTGTACGCTTTTTACAGGGAGAGGACATTGCAGCTCATCCATGCTCCCATACATACGTCTCAAGAACCCCTGGAGTTCGAAACATTCTTGGGGCTTGTCTTTGCTCGTATGCAAAAAGAGGGTTTGCCTTGTACACCTTTGGTAGACCTGACTGTATATACCTTCACTCGCCATGCTGAGTTGATGTCCGTATACTACATCTTGTCCACATTGAAACAGCAAGGACTCATGTTGGAAAATGCATCAAGCATACAATCTCGGTTCATAAAAAGAGCAGCCTCACTCCCCCGCAAAACCGAGTCGATGAACGAACAAGCCCGTCAACACTACGCCTTTGCTCTACGCACCTGCCAAGGCATAACCAACCTTCTTGTCAAACTCGTTTCTTCTTCTTCTACCTCCACTGCGAGTGCCTTGGCCCACACGAAGAAGCACCTCCTCCATCTACAAGCCCGCCGCGAATTCAACGCAATCCTCGACCGCGCCTCCGCAAACAACGCTCTACCGCAAATGTACACAACCACCACGTCCGACATACCCACTTCGGACCGCACGATCCTCATCCACCAACTCGCTCACTTCTACTCGCTCAGTACCACGCGCTCCCATCGCGAGACGTGGCGCTCCATATACTATATATACAACTACCTTCAGACCTATTCGCTGCCTATTGGCCCATTGTTTACCAAAGCCGTGGTGCGCGCTGCGATTATCCGGCCCATGATGGAACATCGGTTTATCAGTGCAAGGAGACTGATTTGGGTCTGTCATCTTGTCGCACGGGTAGAGGGCGAGAATGTAGCGAGGCAGATTGAGAGTAGTTACTGGCGCTGGAGAGGCGAGTTGATCAGACATGCTAAGCGGGCGCATGACGATGCGGGAGGAGACAGAAAGGCAAAGGCCATGGTGGGGAAGATGAAGGGGCTGGGGTTGATTTGAGAGGAGAAAGAAAGGAGAGTAGAAAGAGATACCCGTTTGTAGAGCAGTGTGAAGGTTGTCCAAAAGAGAGATGAAAAGTAAATGACAAAACATATGTAATTGATGACTATCAAACGGTCCCCCCCCCCTAATTACATTCATCTCGAGAAGTCGTCCATCTACTGTAAAAGCAGCAAAAGTCTACACATCCTCTAGTACCTATCAATTAAAAACATCCTGCGCTCATACTCCGACATGGACCCCAACATGCGCCTCTCCCCATCCTTGATAGCCAAATAATCCTTTACCAACCCCGGCGCCAACGCCTCATGCAACGCCGCATCCCTATGCAACGCATCCATTGCCTCGCCCAGACTCTTGGGCAGCATCTGCGTCACACCTAGTTCCGCGCGATCTTCATCATCTAGTTTGGCTGGATTGACAGAGATGTCGCGTTCGGGGAACGCAGAAGCGGGCTCGTTGGCCGCGAGACCAAGGATACCCGCAGCCAGCAGTGCGGAGAGCGCAAAGTAAATATTTGCGGTACCGTCTAGTGCGCGGATTTCCCAGTGGCCCGACTCAACGCGGCGGAGAGGGGTTTCGCGGTTCTGGGTACCCCATGCTACCTGTGTGTATTCGTTAGAACAAGTAATTATTTTTTTTTTCTTCTTTTTTTTTCTGTTGAGTTGCTAAAAAGGGGGAAGAGTTGAAGGAATAACGTACCCAGGATCCTCCGGACCAAGAGTTATCCTTCACTCTTGCGTAACTATCTTCTTGTGGCATGGTGAATGCACAGATGGCGGGTAGATGTCTCAATATTCCTCCCACGAAGAACTGCATGTCGCGATCTGGGGGGTGCAAACTAACGTGCGCGTGGGCTGCGGTGCCTATGCCTTCGAATGGGTGTGGGTGCAGCGTTGCTCGCAAGTCGTGCAGACTGGCTATTTGTGCAATCGCCTGTCGTGCTTGTATCAGGGTGTCGATGGCCAGGAGCGGTGGTTGCGGCGGCAGGACAAACTCATATTGGCCTGGGGCGGACTCGGCATGGAATTGTTGGAGCTCGATGCCCATGTCTTCGAGCGCGAGTACAATCTCACCTAGGAATGGCAGTTGAGTCCACTGTTCGGGCGACATGGTACTCCAAGCATGTGTCTTTGTTAGTGGTGACGGCTCTGCTTGTGAGGCATTGGTGGATGACGACGGTGCGCTCCTACGGAGGAACGTGACTTCAATCTCAAACCCTATGAGTAGAGTGGCTGAGTAGTTGTATTGTAGGTCGTTGATAAGTATCTCCAGATTGTTACGTGGATCTTCTGGAAGAGCGGAGCCGTTCTCTGAGCGCCAGTAACTAAACACCGTAGCGGCTGGAAGAGGGTCCTTGTTGTGTGTCCGGCAAAGCGAACGTAGGTCAGGCTCAACATAAATCTGACCTGTAGTGTTCATGACGGAAGTTGGGCCGTCATTTTGTAAAATGCCAGTAGTGCCTCGCGAGATACCTATACGTTTGCCTTCGTTTACTATCCGTGTGAATTCTCTAATGGGGACTACACGGCTCCGAACCGTGGCTGTGTAGTCAAGCCATTGTACATAGATAAACTTGACATTTGGATTGTTATCCATGAAGCTTTTAAACAGTTCGATGTCGTATACTTGCGGTACTTTTGGTGGCGGAGGAAAGTTTGGTGGCATGTAAGGAGAAGCCGACTCGCTGGCGCGCTGAGGAGCAGCAGCCTGATCGAATGCAGGTATGTTGGGTCCTGGTGTTGCAGTTGGTGATTGATATGGAGAGATTGGTGCATTGGACTTTGTGTTATACGTCAACTGCTTCGGCGATAACTGTATATTCTCATCAAACACTGCTTGATAATGCAGGTCATAGAGGACATTAGAGTTGTTGAACATGATGTCTTTCGTCATACCAATGGCTTGGTGAGGAGTAAGATCACCTCTCTGGATGTATTCGAGGAGTATCTAGCCTGATCAGTATGCTCTAGAGGTGCAATATAACATGTGGTTCATCTTACCTCGAGCCATACTTCACGGAACTGCACATTAGCAAGCCAGAAAGTCTCTGGGAACCAATGACCGTCACTAGAGTAGAGGAGCTTGCTACCGGGAACCAGCTCCAAGGCTTGACGGAGGACCGCTCTCTGACCATCTCTGCTGACCATGGGGAAGACTTCGCCAATATCCAGGTACACATGTCGGTAAACAGTTGCAAGGTAGCCCGCTTCGCGTGTATATGGATATGCCGAGTGAAGAATGACAAAGGGTACTTGTGGGTAATTTTCTATCAGCGGCTGAAGAAAGGCAGGGTTTGACTCAAGCAAGTTGATATCGTTGTCGCCTAGGCCGGTGTGCAGCTGGAATGGTTTCGCAAGCGAATCGGGATGCGGTAACCTCTCAGAAAGTATCTCGAGTGTTCGCAGCACTAGATAGTCATTCAGAGGCTTCTTCTCCATTCGAAAGTTGCGTTTACGAATGCAGGTCTTCACGTAGCGCTCGAAAGGGTGGCCCACTGCTTTTGCAGCTTCATCGTATTCAGGCTCAATATCCAGCCCCGTCCGGTAGCAAACAACAGACTTGAAACCAGCAACATTTTCGTCATCTACAGCCTCTTGAATTATTCTCTCAAAATCGTCGGTAAAGTCGGTCCAGATCTGTGGCAGAAATTTGCTTTTCGCCAAGTCGTCTTCCGATGCATCCTGCACAAGACTTTCCATCAGCCGCTCAGCAACAGTTTCGATGCGCACGATGCGTTTGGTAGGTGCCTTGGTATATCGATCGTGGTAATTGTAAGGGAAGACTTTGTCTGGCAAAGCAAGGCCATCATCAATGAGCAATGCGTGTACATTTTCAAAGCATCGTTGGTGCAAACGTTCCGAGTTGCTTCGAAGCCATTCCACTCTCTGTTCGAGAATCTCTTCCCAATCCGCATCCTCTCCACACTCGTACAGTAGGCGTAGTTGCTTAGCTGCTCGTAGATGAGAAAGCGACTTGAACGTGTCTCTCAAAGCTCTACCTTGAGCTTCTGTAGTAATGGTTTCGAACGGTATTGTGTCTGTATGTTGAGGTAGGATAAGATTGTGCGCGTGATTGTCGATGATTGGATAGTTGTTGACGACATGCCGCAGATGATCAACTGTGGGCCGAGCTGGGGATGTGGTTTGGCTCATGGTGTCTGTCGATAGCTAGGCGCATATAGTTTCCTAGCGCGCCGATGTATCTACTGGTATCCTGTCTTTGGAGTGCTTGAATGGCGCCTGCTTACTCTTGAGAACTCCAAAGGAATATGCCGGTGGACTTCTTGTTTGTATGCTTTGGGCTTGAGGCGTTACAGGCATGACCCAAGCCAAGTTTGTTCGAGAGGTCGTTTTCCAAGGTCAGTCAGATGACGTCAACGCAGGTGGAAGCTGTGGATGGGCAGACTAAGTTGCGCAACATGCAAATGTGCACACAATGTCCAATGAAAGGATAAAAAGTGAATTAGTTGGTACAGTAAGGTTGGGCTGACCACAGTAAAGCAGGGAATTTTGTCAGTCTACTAAGAAATACAGTCAAGAAGTGGGGCGGTGGTTCGATGTCGGGCGCATCAGCTACCCCTCCAGTGTATGCGTAAACGTGAAGTCTGTAATACATTGCAAGTATTCAGTGTTGATGATGGAATTAGAATTCTAGAGGCGTCCACTCTACAGAAACCGGTTGTTTACCAGTATATAATGAATACTAATCAGATAAATTAATAATATTACAAAGGAAAGCACACATCAGGAGACGATAGCATGTAAGTACAGATGTGATGTTGTAATGCGTCTATAATTGCAGTGCATATCTACATTGATTATACAGATACGCATGCCCGTAATTACAACTTCTTTCAGAAAAAAAGGACATTCCATGACAGACCACACACGGCGGTATTGGATATAGAGAAACGAGTGATACAAATGGGAATAAGCGCAAGCCCACGCAAACAATGCAAATGTGAAAACGACAAGGTCAACCAACGACAACCCAATCAAACAGCACTTCTTTCATGCCGAGTTTTTCATCTACAACAGGATCATAGCCATGCCTGAAGCAACGGCACCAAGCATGTAGAGACCGAGACCAAAGACACCGTCAGTGGAGAGGGCAGAAGCGGCGCCAGTGGAGCCGGAGCCGGAGCCAGCGCCTGCGGAGCTAGTGCTGGAGGCAGCAGCAGCGGCACCGCCAGCGACGGAGCCAGTGCCAGCAACACCAGCCTCCTTGAGAAGCGAATCACAGCCGGAGGCAGTGGGGCTAGGGTTGGCAGACTGGGTGGTGGCCTTGCCCTTGAAGTTGCAGCCGCCGCTGTTCTTCTTGGCGTAGGCGTTGACAGCGAAAGAGAGCTGCTCACGGTTGGAGCACATACCGTAGACACCATAGGGACCAGATGTGGCGTTCTTGTTGATGCCTGCACAGTACTGGCCGTCCTTCAAGCCGCAGACGAAGCCGAAGATGTCACCGTAGTCCTCCTCATCAGTCTTCTCGTCGACGACACATGAGAGGGTCTCCATCATGCATGAGCAGAGGTTGGCGTTGGCAGGAGGGGGGAGAGGGTCGGACTCGGCCTCCCACTTTGCGGGGGTGACCTTGGGGCACGAGGCAGCAGCGGTGTTGGTAGGGTTATAGTCAGCCATCTTGACACCAACGGGGGTAGCCTTGGCAATCTGCGAAGACAGGTTGTCGAAATCGTCGTTGGGCACAGCCTTGCCATCCTTGATGGAAACGAGACCTGGAGATTGTAAGTATGCAAACTTGAGTAATTCAGCAGAAGCAAAGCCTTACCAAACTGGTTCTCCTCCTCAAAGTACATGTACACGATACCGCCAGACCAGGTGTCAACCATGTCCTTGCCATAGAGAGACTTGACCTCGGTGAACAGACGGGGGCGAGGGGTGTTGCAACCGTATTCAGCGAAGAAGACGGGGACGTTGTACTTTTCAAAGTTCTTGGTCTGAACGTCATAGCCGGACTTGGTGAAGGAAGAGTCACCGCACCAGGAGTAGATGTTGTAACCCCAGAAGTCGATGGCGCTGTCTTTGTCACCGCAGTCGAAGTAGTTGGCCATGTTCTCACGGATCTCGGCGTCGTCGTTGGTGGCATAACCAACACCAATCTCACGGTAGTTCTTGCTCTTGATGTAGGCCTTGGTGTCACGGACAGCGGCCTTGACGAATGCGCTGGCAACGGTGTTGTTGGGCTGGTTGCTAACCTCGTTACCGGCGAAGAAACCAAGGGTGTTGTCGAACTTCATCATCTCATCAACAACGCTGGTGTAGCGGTTGTAGAGGTCGACAGTCCAGCCGGGGTCGTCACGGTTGATGGACAGTCCAGGCTCGGACAGGTCAGCAACGACGTAGATGCCGGCATCTGCGAGCTGGGTCATGCAGTCGGTGTGGTCCTTCTTGGGGTCAATAGCATAGACACGGATGGTGTTGGTGTTGAGCTTCTTGAGCATAGCGATATCGCGCTTGCATGCTGCCGAATCGGCGAGGGGGTCCGTGATCTTGAGAGCATCGGTCGAAGTGGCTGTGGTGTTGGAGTTTACTTCCTCTGCTGGTTGTGAGTCTTGTGTTCTGATCTTGGCCTGCTGGAATGCTTACGTTGATAAGCAACACCCTTCATGAAACTGGCTCGGCGTTAGCTTGGCTTGCATAGATGTGGCGAGCGCGTTTGCTTACAATTGTTCACCACTGTTCTTCATGAAGAACTTTTGCCCCTATTCGCGCGTTGTTAGCCACTGGTGTCGTAGCCAGTCGCGCGACATGTTATTACCTTGATGACAATAGGGTCAACGGCCGCCTGCACGCCTGCGAGCAGGGCCGTGGTCGCAATGAGTCCGCGCATATCGATAGGGAGAGCACAAGATGTCTTTCCAAGATGCGTGGTTGGGGTTGGCAAGAGCTTAGGTTGGTTCGCCGAGAATCAAGAGCAGGGCGTGCGTCTTGGGGCGTTTGGTAATGCGCAAAATGGGTCAAGGAGCGTGGCGCAACAGCAAAGAAAGCTGAATGCAAAAAGGAATTAACTTAAACACTGAATGATTGACTGGGTAAAACAGAAGAGTGAGTGAAGAAACAGCTCTGAGGCACAACGAGTGAAGAAATCTAAGGCCGACCAAGCATCCCAAGACAGATCCACCAGGGCTCAGCGGTACCCCTGATGCTAGCCCTGTTTCGTACTAGCGGCACGTGCGCAGTTCGAGACTGCGAGACGCTCCTTTGCCCATTGCACCCAGTTGACCCAGTTGCGCGGGCGTCAGCATAGCGCGTGGTGGCCACGAGCTGCAGAACACATGTTTGTGTTAGTAAGAAAGTACCATATTTACTTGTCCATGACAGCACGACGACAAATCCCCGTCTAGCTGCTGGATGGTGTTTGTCCGAACATCTGGGTAAAGGACATTGGACCTCATGCGACGCGTATGCACAATTTCGCAGGCTCCACCTGGGATTCGCCAGTCGCCCCACCGCCCATCATGCTGCTAAATTGGGGCTTGACGTTTTCAGATACCTTGCTGCCGCGGCGCGCATTCCCGCCCCCCCCTCCGTGTTGGATCTACAGAAGCGATAGAGATAATAGGTGGGTATGAGAGCACGCGATGGTTCAGGTTGTGGGCAAAAGAGCAGTAGCGGTGGCAATTGGAGCGAGGCAGAATGGTACGCATTTGCATGGCTGCACCGCCTCGCAGTGTGTCGCGAAGAGGGGCCGGACGGTGCAATTGTTGGATAGGCGGGTTTGTGCAGGTGAAACGTAGTTCTTTGGGTGGCGGAGTCGCATGCGGGCGAAGCGGCCAATGGAAGGAGGCTGCGAGGGCTTTTGCAACGCCGCTCTAGCTGGTGGCAACGAGCCAATGTGCTTGAGGGGGTTCCTGAGTGGCACCGCATGTGCGTAGTGTATGGATGGATGTGGTAAGTATGTCGGTATTATGTAGAGTGGTTACTTGGACAAACGTCAAGGGGGCGCGTTCACGCCCAGTCTCCTGTTTTGCGCGCAAAGAGCCATGGTGCTTAGGAGGGCGACGGACATTTTGGGGCACGTGGCAAGAGCGCAGGTGATGTTTATGTACACATGTATGTATGCATGTACTACTTGGATATGTACAGAGTAGCGCAGGTGTTATGTAAGGAGAGCAAAGGGACGAGCGCGGGCTAGAGGGAGCGCCAGTGGTTGTCGATGCATTTTACGGTGCAGCGGTAAAAGAAGGTGTATGTACTTGGTGCACAGTAGGAGCCGAGCTACTCTAGCGTGACGAGTGTCCATGGAAGAGAAGGGGAGAAAACCGGATCTACAAGGAGTGGCAGTGGGCGTAAGAATGAGGACGAGCACAGCCTCCCGGCCGGAGTGCCGATTTCTTGCTTCTGCAGAGCCTCTCATTTGCCAGCTGCTCAACACCCAACCGCCCAAACTTGGAAACTGGGCAGTCTAATATAGCTCACTGGCTACTGGGGTCTACACCGGCTGTGGTAGCGCGCTTTTCTTACCGCAGTGTCGTCATGCCGTGATGGTTTTGCTTTGAGGGCCTCGCCCGCGTGCAGCAGCCAACGGCCCATTTGTCGACGAGTGGCAGCCATGCAGGCCGTGGCACTAGCACGCAAGGCAGCCGGCTGTCGAGCACCGAGTACATGCACTCACTACATGCTTGGATAGGTTTTTTTAATGGCGGCGTCACAGGCAATAAAGGTAGCGGGCGCCCAGGGCGGAGGCAGCGGACAGCGGGCGGACGGAGCAGGCCTCAACAGCGGCACCCCCCTCCCCCCTTTGCACAACGCCCGGCGCCAGCAGGCTGCAACCGTTGAATTGAGCTACGGGCGCGGGCTAGGGCTAGGGCTAGGGTGCAGCGGAAGAAGAGCGCCACGTCGATTGCATTTTGCGATAAGGGCCGGGCTACTGCTATCGCCGGACGAGCGCGAAGGCGGCTCGCCTGGCGTGGTTTGATCAGCGCGGGGCCTGTCGATGGCGCCGCTACGGTGTGTCGCTGCTCCGGACGTGGTCCAGTGCCGGCCCTCGCCTCAACGCACTGTCATGACGTGACATGTGGGTGGGTACCAATGTGAAAAGCCAGTGCAGCAGCGACACCTGAAGGGAGCTGCGAGCACACAGACAGGCCCGCCGCGGACAGCCCTGGCGCTGCGAGAGCGAGTGGAGAGCCAGTCGAGGCGAGGCGAGGCGAGGCGCGGCGAGGGCCCAAGGAGAAGGGGGGCGGTTTGGCTGACGGCTGGGCGTAAGCCTCGTGCTTGTCTTGTCTATTGCCATGAAGATGCAGAAGTAGAGTACTCGTTGGTACTTACTATACACACACACAAGGACGCTGGCCTGACATGGAAACACGCTTCGGGCGTATTGCACTATCGCTTGCCAGGCCGGTGTGCACGGCACCCCCTCCCCCTCCCCTTCCCCAATAGTGAGCAAGAGTGAATGTACCTGGTACATGCTACTGCTCAACGGGAGCGGCCTTGTATTATCGATATGCAGGCAGATCGCAGATCCAACAGAGCCACTGCAGACTAGGTGTACATAGTGTAGACTGCAACTGGCAGGGCAAGTTTTTTTTTTCCGCCATGGCGCGCAGACAGCTTCGAGACGCGGTGAGGGCCCGAGACGTGTTGGATTGCCCATGCGGGCGGCGAGCATGCTTTTGTACTGCGTGCTGGTGCCGTCGTCGTAGGCGCATGCCGTTTTTAGAGGGGCAACGCAATGCCCGGCACGTCACGGCCACGGCGGCGGATGGGGGCACCCATGCACACCCACCGTCTGACGGCGTTAGACCAGCTTGGCAGGCCTGCCTTTCATTTTCAGGGGAAGCTGCTAAAAAGCTCTTTGCCTGCCCGTCCACATTCACTACTGTCGCTCTCTCAACCCCTCCCCCTCCACTCCCCCATTGTCTGCTGTCCCGTTTCTCTGCATTGCCTCTCGTTTCACCGCGTCGAGGTTGTGTAGTCCATCTGCGGACGCTCTCGACTGTCTTGGCCGGGAGCTACTACTGCTACTCCTACACGCAACCCTAATCCATCATCGCCCTGCGCAGAGCAAGCGCCTCGCCCGCCGCGCGTCTCTCCTGGCAACCACGACGCCCCCAGCTGCACTTCCAGCTATCCACTCGCTAGCAGCACCACCACTACAACCACGACCATAAACAACAAATCTTCCCCTCACCTGCTCCGCCACTTGCACACTCGGCCCTTTCCGAGGAGCTGCACCTCTTACCACCACCACTACTACTTCTGCCCTTTCGCACCCCCCCAAAGCGGCCTTCCACTCGTTCTCTTACGCATTGCACGTCGCTGCACCAAGCACTAAAAGCACCTTGTCGTGCGGCAGCTGCAATTCCGCCATTTCTTCACTGCCGCTTGTAATGCCCATTGTTTGAGGTACGTCCGCCCTTCCGACGCCCGTCGTTTCAGCCCTTGCCGCCCACGCCCAGCGACCGTTACTGACAAGCTCACTACACAGATTCTACACACAACCCTAATAGCTTCCCACGATGTCCGGACATCCGCAGGGAGGCCACTACGACGACGGCTACGGCCAGGCTCCTGCCCAGGGCCATGGTCAACAAGGCCAGGACGCATACTATCACGATGACCAGTACGCCCAGTATCATGATGATCGCTCTCACGGCCAGTATGCCCAAGGCCAGCACGGTGACGCCTATTACGATGAGTCGTGAGTTTTGCCACATGTGCCATTGCCCAGTGCGTGCTGCTAACCCTGCCTACAGAGCTTATTACGATGGCCAGCACGGCGGCCAATACCAACAAAATGGCTACTATGACGACCGAGGCCAACAAGGCTACCAGGACGAGTACTACTCTGACCAGTACTACGACCAAGGTGGCGCGCAAGATGGGTACGCACAGAACGGGTACGCTCCGGCCCAGACTGCACCCCTACTCCCGAGCTATCGAGCTACTGAACAATTGCTAACTCAGACGCAGTCAACCTCCTCGCCGTCGTAATGATTCCGAGGAAGACTCCGAGACCTTCAGCGACTTCACGATGCGCTCCGACATGGCTCGTGCTACCGACATGGACTACTACGGCCGTGGTGACGAGCGCTACAACAGCTACGCTGAAGGAAACCGTGGATACCGCCCACCCTCATCTCAAGTTTCATACGGCGGCAACCGCTCCTCTGGTGCTTCGACCCCAATCTACGGCATGGACTACTCCAACGCTCTGCCCGCTGGTCAGCGATCTCGCGAGCCCTACCCGGCCTGGACGGCTGAAGCTCAGATTCCTTGCACCAAGGAGGAGATTGAGGACATCTTCCTCGATCTGACCGCCAAGTTTGGTTTCCAGCGTGACAGCATGCGCAACATGTACGATCACTTGATGACTCTGCTCGATTCACGTGCATCCCGCATGTCGCCAAACCAGGCGCTGCTGTCTCTCCACGCCGACTACATTGGCGGTGAGAACGCCAACTACCGCCGCTGGTACTTTGCCGCCCATCTTGATCTGGATGATGCGGTTGGTTTCGCCAACATGAACCTTGGAAAGGCCAACCGCCGAACTCGCAAGGCCCGCAAAGCTGCAAAGGCCAAGGCTGCCGCTGAGGGCGGTAACGAGCAAGAGACGCTTGACGCTTACGAGGGAGACAACAGTCTCGAGGCGGCTGAATACCGCTGGAAGACCCGCATGAACCGCATGTCGCAGCACGACCGTGTGCGCCAGATTGCGCTCTACCTCCTCTGCTGGGGTGAAGCTAACCAGGTCCGTTTCATGCCTGAGCTTACGTGCTTCATCTTCAAGTGCGCCGATGACTACCTCAACTCGCCAGCTGGCCAGGCTCAAACCGAGCCAGTTGAAGAGTTGACTTACCTCAACAACATCATCACGCCCCTCTA